CTAAAAAACATATATACTGTAGATATCTACAGTATACTATATCCTGTAGACATACTGTAGGGTAATGCTCTTCACGCCCAAAGGAAGACCGACAGATCAAACTCGGACCAGAAAAGCGTTTTCAACTATCCCTGCCGATCTGGTCCGATCTCATCTGGAGACATGAGGCTGCATCAGTCAGCAAAGTAGCTCGATCACCTAATATGTACTGTTGTTTATTCTACCGTTACTGGCACGGCTAACAGTCTAGTAAGGCTAATAGCAGATGGCTGACTCAAACTTTAGCTTGCATGGTGCTTCACCGTTAACTCAGCGTGACTGAGACCAGCACAGCGGGGAACATGGTGAAGTGGGTTGAACTGAAAGACTAATTATCACCTGTTAAATCATATCAATTCAAACAATTCAAACTTTTTTGAACATACTTGAAAGTACAATACCCAATTCATACCAAGCCTGGTCTGCACCTTTAAATTTGAAGACTAATGGAGATTGTGGAGGGAAAACCCATTGTCAACATGGATTAGTGAAAAATAAACTTAATTTCCCAGTAAACAGTCAATGTAGATAAAATAGCTGCAAGTGACAGAGTAAATTCAGCATTTTCTTACACAACATGTTACCAGCCTTTACAATATGTGTTGAGTAGTTGATATAGTAAAACAAAACAAAACAAAACAAACAAACAACAACAACAAAAAATTGACAAGCTACAGGAACTCAACGCTGCTTAACTAACGACAACAATAGTTATCATATCAGCTTTTGTTACATGGTGAGAAAATAAACATTATTGCGGTAGGCCTACCTAGGGTTGCAAAATTCCGGGAATTTTCTAAGTTGTAAACCTTCCATGGGAATTAACAGGAATTTATGGGAATTATTGAGAATTAACAGGAATAAATCTGATATTTACAAAATTGAAGGTTGGCCCTCAACAGGGAACTTAAATACAGTTGGGGAAAACATATTGTAGCATAATCTTGGCTAAAACAACCAGATTTAATGCAAGTCCACTCCTCAATCACATGCACAAATAACACTGCTTACTGCAGGGCTATTGAGGCAAGTCAAGTAAGTTTGGGGGTAAATATAGTTGATCTATAATAGTATTACTATTTTACTTGTAAAAATTAAATAAAAACTGGTGCTAAATGTAAGCTATTTTTCATTTCATTGACTATTTAAGGGGATAGCTTATTATGGTGGTGGTATCTACCTCAAATGTGATGTTGTTTCTTCTGACTACTGCAAGACAGTTTTCTGAAACCATACAATAATTTATACATAGATTGTCAAATATTTTTAAGACCATTCCAGTTGTTTAGACAACTATATTTCTGTTCATGCCATTGCATCAGTGTTTTTACAAGCTTTATTGTTGTTTTATTCTACAGATAAATGCCATGTTCTCCATCTGATGAGTGGAAGCATTTCACACAAGCCAATGTTAAAGGAAAAATATTTACATTGAGGTTTGGATATGATACAGTTTAAACAACCCCCAAGTTCCAGTTAATTCCCATAAATTCCCATGGAATGTTTCCAGGAAGTTTTCTGGAAATTTACCGGAAGTTTTCCGACTCTTTGCAACCCTAGGCCTATCCCAATAATAACCCGCTTGTTGTTATTTTCATTTTCATATGTCAGGTAGTTTAACATCGCTGACGGAAATTTGTGTTTTGCAAAATTCAAAAATACTGAATAAGTCAAAGTTACGCTTGTCATTTACAAATAAGCCCCTCACAAAGTTTGCCTTACAAGCCAGTAGGAGTTCAGACACCAGTCCTCGCTAACCGTCAAACTAGTTGTTTTATCGGACGTTGGTAATTGGAACAGTCTCGAGAAGTGATGCAAAACTGACTTACCATGTCACAAAGTTCCTTCAATGACACCTTATCTCGCAGCGTGAAAATGTTCCATTCGATGATTGGGAAAATGACTTTAATAGTGGCGGTGTCAACATATTGATCACAGCACGGACGGACACCGTAAACGTACACGTTAAAAACGTTCCTCTGCTTCTGGGGGGAAAAAATGTGTTTCCGGAACTCGAAAGTGGAGCCAAAATTTGAATAAAAATAAAAATAAAAATAAAAACTTTTATTGGTGGTTAGATGAAAAACATTAACTTGTTTGTATTTCGGGCATAAAATTTCATACATAATTTTCTTATAAGTATTAAAAAGTGAACTGATACATAGGAGCTTAGCACGTTCGTGTCGCTAGAGCACTTTTTACGTTCGCCTGTAGGGGAGAGTGGGGTAAGTTGAGCCACCCCCTATTGCTTGGAAATGGTAAAAGAAATTGATCATGTGACCAAATATTTAGGAGATGAGCATCAATTCATGGAGTCTGTGAAGGTTAGAAGGACATGGGTGAAGGGGTTAGACATTTATTTACAAACAAAAAAAAAAACTTTTTTCACTCTTGAAAGTGAATTTAGTCTGTCATAAGTTTTATTAGAATTGTGTTCAGACCAAAAAAGATCATTTTAAATTTGTTTTATACATCAGTTGTGGTATCTATGAGCTACAACATGAGGTCAAAAACCTAGAATAAAAGTCCATCATTTTAGCTTAGAGGACTAATAAAGTCACAATAGTAGTTCTGGGGTAAGTTGAGGCGGTGGCACAACAGAGAAATATAAGGAGTCTGATAGTCTGATGATAGGATCAGAGTTTTAGTTCAGATTGTTGAAATGTTTCACTTTTTCTTTTCAAAAATACAGCTGTGAATGTTCTGAATCACTTAAAGGCATTCTCATGTTAAAATGGCTTTTTACAAAACAGCTTTTTAGCAGCTATATATATACAATAATAATAAAAAGAATTATTGTACCAGTTGAATAGAGTATAATAGATAAAAATACACATGAATGTGAAGAAGTGACTCTTATTTAGGGAGGGAGAAGGTGAGGGAGGGCTGGGGTGGAGAGTGGGGAGGTAGTAGGGATACGGCTCAACTTACCCCACTCCTATGGTCAACTTACCCCATACACAGGGTGGGTTGGCCAGTGTAAACAGACAGTTATGTTTACACTCATTCTGTTGGTTTGCAGGGATGCATAACATCTTGAAATATATGCGGATACACTACTATTGTTTAACTCTCAAATCCTTGACCTTGGGAATTTGTCTAAAAAAACTGTTACTAAAGGTATTGTAAAGTGGTACCATTAAGTCAGTTGACTCAACAGTTTCGTGTGACACTACCATACAGAGACAAAGTGACTCTTACCCTCCATTATCTCATTTGTAGCTGACACAGTTTTACATTTTCAGACCCTGTTAGGGACACAGGCGTGGGCCTCAAGGGCAAAGTTTACAGAGGATGTGTGGGTTGGATTTGCAGATGTGCAAACCTGCTATGACTAATTTTCCAACTGGGTTAAAAAGTTGGTCCACAGTCTTATCAGTGGGAAATTTTCTGAATGTTACAATTGAATCCAAGGTTTGGTGACCTGACAGCTGAGTGTCCTACTTATCATTGAGGCACTGCTTTACCTGTGAAGACTAAGCAGTAAAGAACAACCCTAGTCCTCAAATATAGCCTTCTCTATACAGGATATATTGGGTTACGGGTTCTTGAGTGGACTTTTACTAAACATGGACCTCAGCAAATAAGGTTGATAATCAAGCAATCCCTGTTTACCCCACTTTTGGATTGCACCTTTCACCATTAGCAGATGTGTGAAACTACTGAAGATGGATTTGCAACACTGTCTTGTCATCTTTGTTGCCATTTTGGTATCACTGGATCCAGAGTCACTTCACCTACCACTTAAACAGATGTTAGGCATTACCAAGAGTTCATGCCAACCCTTCCTTTGTAGTCAGCTCTACTTGATGTATTTTAGCTGTTTAATACCTCAAGTTACCTTCATGCTCTCTGTTAGTTATCAGTTAGGGTGGCCATATTTTCCACAGTCAGGTCTCTCTACCCCAGAGAACTTAAGTCTGTCCACGCCAGAGCCTTCCCCTCTTAGACTCTGACATTTTTCATTGTAGGTGTCTGGATTTCATTAGTGTAAGCTTCACTCAGTTCCCTTATCATTTCCTGAGCCTCTTCATACTAGTCTGCCCTTCAGTTTGCTCTGGCAGCCTGTTTTTGCTCAATTCCGAGAATAGTTTCCCCTATCCAAAGGCCAGTGGTTCATAATCTAGGCTTTTCTTTAAGAATGACTCCCGTCCATCCAAGTTCATGGCATCCAGTCCCCATATGACTAAACTCCAAATGTCAAATGAACACGTTTCGTGTTTTTCTATAATTTTAAAAGACTTTTCCTCGGATTTTGCTCTCATTGTTCTGACAGGAAAACTAGAGACATGAAATATGGGGAAAGAGAGGAGGTACCAGCATGCACTAAATCATGCCCAGACTCTAAATCAATTGTACGACCAGTGCAACGAGGACTTTAGTCAATAGAATGCTAATAAGTTGATATGCACATAATGTCTCCTATGGGTTTGCAAACTTGTGTTTGTGGCTGTGACATTTTGGGCACCTTCAATGTAGGTTTTCTGGTGTCTATTTGGACAAGAGGATGGTGAAGCAGTATATCATTTATCCTGGTTATTAGGTCTCCCTGGTTGTGTCCAAGGAGCAGCCTGCCTTGTCTCTTTTGACTTTGTCAAGATAAACAGTGTGTGATATTTAAGAACCTCTGCTGGTGCATTGCAGTTTTGTATATCAAACTCAAATGCTGATCCACAATGGTGTTATACTACTAGTGGCCCCATGGTAATACATGAGGTCTAAATCTTCACCAGAACCAATAAAGTCACACGTAAGACTGGCAGTTCTGTTGTGTTTGACAATCTGCCAGCCATTAACTCCCTGAGAGGTTTCTGTGGTAATGAACATGAAACAGATGAGACAGAAGACTGCTTCCTGTTCCCAAGGTGCCAGTCACAGCAGCACATTGAGGTTGGTACACTGGTTTCAAAAAGTGGCACTTGTGTTTAAAAAATTAGGTAAAACAAATTAAAACAAGGTGAGCTAAGACCTTAATAAAACCTTTTATTTGTTTGTCAAAGTCTGGTTGCCAGACAAAATTTACAAAAATTTTCATTCAGTTTCTACCACACATTTATACATTTCTGTGTAATTCTGAGTCTAAACTGATATTTCTGTCACCTATACTCAAGTAAAGCGAGATATATCTGGATCAGAATAATGGAGTCAACAACATAAATATCCAACATTGTAGAGAGGCAAAGTCATTCAGTTATATAAACAACAGTTCAAGTCACAAAAGAAAAACACATGACATACAATAACCAGACGAAACCAACAGTCTGACTTGTCAGTTCTCCAAATCAGTCAGAAGTCCAGTTGTTATGCAGGGATATTTACAGATACTAAGAGTGTTAAACACGCGATATTTGAGTTCCTAACACAAGAAAAGAGAACTACAGAGAGTCTTTAATTTTTAAATGAAAAAGCTGTTTTCATTCCTTAACTTTTCAGCTGGAGTTTGAAGTGATGACGTTTGTGCACTGAGGTTCGCAGAAGGGACCAAAGCGCCCATAAATGTCTTTGGCTCGAACAGCAAAATAATAAGTGGAGCCAGACTGGAACTGTGTCAGCGTACAGGCCATGGGCAGGGGAAGGGCATTCACTTCTCCGATCTTCTTCCAGTGCTGCTGCCCTGCACTGCTGCTTGAGTTGTCTTGGTGGAAGGCATAGAGGTGATAGCTGTCCACTGTCGCACAGGTCTGATCCGTTTCTGCCACACACCAGGACAACACTATACCGGTCTGGCTTGGCACCAGCTTCAGCTGAGGCTGCTGAGGAAGTGAGGTCCGCTCAGCCTCTGGGGGTAGGCGCGCCGGTGCCGGTGCAGTAGGGAGAGGAGGCAGCGACAGGTTGGGGTTCCTGGGTGTTGCGCTCGTGGCAGTGCGGGATTTCACCGCTGATTCCTGTAAGAGAGAAAAATGGTATGAGTTAAGGTCTCAAAAAACTTAACAAGTAATTTCAAGATTTCTTACTATTTATTGTGCAATTTAAAAAACATCAAGGGGACCATTTGTATGAAAGGAGGGTCTGGACATTCACATGAGTTAAGGTTCTCAACAGCTGAACCAGTAAACCCTCAATTTTAAATCAGATGTCCGCTGAAGCTTTTTGCTTTAAAAATCTGAGTAATGGGCCGATAGCAGACATGTTCGGTAGAGCATGTCAGAAAAGAGCTTTAAAAAAATAGTCACATACTGTGTAATCAAACTGAGAACTTGGAGCTGTTTTACTACAAAAAAAACTATGTTGTACACAACATGTAAAATACACTTCTGTGTCCTCACCTGTGGGGGGCGGTGGTGGACCGTTACATGAGGATTGTTGGTAGAGCTCTGAGTGGTTTGCGGGGATGACCTTGCTCCTGCACCTGTGGACAAGGCAAAGATAAAAAATTTAGGTGAATCTTATATTACCCGTTTTATTTTAGAATTAATGTATTCCTCGCACTGATTAAAATGACAAATAGCCAGGATTTGGAGTCAACCTCAGTTATGACATTTGACTCTCCTGTGTATAAACGCTTCTTTTCTGTTGTCATATCTGAATTGTAAACAACATGTACACTCCAGCTGTGGTAACTACATCTCATAGAGTTTGTTCTTCCACTTATCAAAGTGAATAATCGTGCTTTCTTACTGTTAGGGATGCTGATAACTGGGGCGGGACGCTGGCTGGATGATGGAGTTGGGGTGGTGGCCTTTTTGACTCCTGTGACTGGAGAAGAAAAATATTCAGTATCAAACATTTATTTAGAGCTGCTTTTAAAGAAAGTAAACTTTAAGACATAAAAAAGGTAATAGTGTAACCTTTACCTTGCACATCATCATCGTCCTCAGTAAGGTCAATCACAGAGCCTTTGGGTCGTGCTGCAGCAGCAGCAGCTGTTTTGGATGGAGTGGATCCTGAAGCTTGGTTATCTGATGGAAAATAATTTTTTTAAAAGTTGTTATTAATTGAAAAAAAAAAAAAGCTAAAAACATTTGATGTTACAGTCAGGGTGGGAAAACCCAAACCCCGTCATCAGAAGATGATGCCATATTTCTGTGCTTCAGGTTGAAATTTTAAAATCTGATGTTTCGTCATTCAAATATTTTTGATAGTTCCACAAAAGACATCAGGGCCCAATTTAAAGTAAACGAAATGCTCAGTAACTATCACTGCTGGCTATCATTAGACAACAGCTAATATTAGTATTAAAGCACCATCCAGCTAACAGAAGCGTGCTGTTTGACAGTGTTACCTTGGACAATACAAACAGGAAGTAAGAATGCTTGTATGTTTGTTTTTTCAAATGTGAGATGTGCTGCAGGCTAGAGGCTTTTAGAAGAGAGAACCTTGGAATATTAGAGGTATATGTATGTTGCATGTAGAAGAGTACACTTGACACATAATTATTTTCACTATGTTTGAAAAAGAACTTCAGTTGAACAAAGACAACCCTCCACAGCAGCAGAAGCAGCAGCAGCTCCTCTCGCATCCACAAAGAAAACTAAAAGACCTACAGTGCCTTGTACTCAAAGGCAGCCTCCCATGTAAGTACTAACAAGGCCTGACCCTGCTAACCTTTTAAACCTTTGTTTTGTTTTCTTGGAAAAATGGCCTGATGTCCCTGATGTTTACTGTCCAGCATCTTTTCATTGCTGATAACCTCAATTTAACTATGTGATGTAAAGATAGTCAAAATTAAAACCTAAAGCACAACAATGACATTCTCCTTTCAAGTCCAACATTTCAGCTCCTTACAAGCATGACATCATAAAAAAAATTGACATTTTAGAAATATGGTGACATTTCCAGAACGACCCATAATTATCCAGATAGTTCTAATGCCATGGTCTTAATATCAAAGCACACTCTACCTGTCTTGGACGTCAGTGATGTTCCTTGTGGCGGTCCTGGAGCAGTTGAGCCTGTTGCTGCTGGACCAGAGGTTGCAGGTGAAGAGGCTGAAGAAACTGCTCCTGCTACAGAGACAGACTGAGCTGGTGTCCTGGCTGTTGTCACAGAAACTCCTGCGTTGGGTGTCGTTATCCCCCCAGCACCTCCCTGGTAGACGGCACGAGCGAGAGAGATTTGGGTGGACGACATCTGACCAGCAGAGGCCTGAAGCGCTGGGACAGTGGCAGCTGCAGGGACGGATGCTGGTGCCGTGGTGATAGCTGAAGCAGGCTTGATTATAAAAGTGGCGGTGGAGGCAGTGGTTTTGGCCTTGGTAAGAGAGCTAGCTGCAGACAGGGAGGAGACGGGGATGTTGACCAGCGTTCCTGCCTGGCCGTTGGTCATTGATAAAGGCAACTGGATGAGGAGTGGCTGGCCTGTAGTCATCATGTTGCTTCCTGCAGCTGTTTTCAGCAACAAGGTGCCTGCGGTACTCTGAGTGGTTATGCCAGCACCCAAGGTGGAGCCAGCGTTGGCGCTGGAGGTGATCAGCTGAAGGATGGGGGCTTGTGTAACCATAGCTGTAGAGGTGGGTGTTTGGACTGAAGCTGTGGCAAGAACTGGTTGAGCCTGGGTGACTGGTTTTGCAAGGGAAACAGAAAAGATAGTTTGTTTTAGAATTCGAAAGGATGTTTGTCAGCTTTCAGTGAATAAGTTTCTCCTTCTTTGATGTACAGCTAACATACATCAGTCAGCATAAGACTGTAGTAACCCAGAAACACAACTCCTGATTTTCCTCATCTGGTGTTTGCGACCCAGATTTATGCTATTTTAACACTCAGAGCACCAAGATTTCAACCCCTTTTAAAGTCTGCCAGACCATCATGTGAATTTTTATTGTTTGGGTTCAAATATACACCAATAGCAGATTTTGATTAACAAGGTATTTTGTATAGTGATGTATAACACTTTGACTATCAGTATTGTGTTACGGGTTTAATAAAAACTGAAGAATAAAAGAGATGTCACACCAAAATAAGGAAATGTTTTATTCGTAAATGCTCGTTCACAAGCACACATAGCCTACAAACCCACTCAAACTTGCACATACATAGGTGAATAAAGAAGTGGCACAAGATTGTTGATATAACTAATTCCAGCTTGTCAAAAAACCAGAACTTCTAGAATAACTGCGAAACATCATGTGCAAACAAAAAGGCAGGATCAGCACTTCCACACGCACTTTAGGCAAAAGTGTTTGACTCTTAAGACAGGATTCCATCATGTAGATCCACTACACTCCGCTCCAAAACGGCAGGCAGATCAAAAACGCAAGCATGCAGTGCCCACCGGATCCAATCCGCTCCCGATAGCGGAGGAGAAGCGCTTACCGATATATTACCGACAATTCGTGCAAGACTTGATGAGATCAAAGGAGATCCTGCGCGTTTCACCGTAAGACATTGAATGAGATCAGGGGTGTATATGAATGGTGGAGAACAGCTCTCCTTTCTGCTGCTGGTTGGAAGGTGGAAGCTCCTGTCTGGTCGTGTTAATTGTACCAAGAAGACTGGTGTTTTTATGTAGTAGATCCTTGGCCAGGTTGAGGGATGTGAAACGTTTGTCCATGATGACATTCTTTTCCTTTCCCACATACGGTTCAAACATCATCGCCACACTCTCTCAGACATTGATGAGCTTGTTGCTTGTCATCTTTGCCAAGATATGGGAAGCCGTTCAAAAAATATGGTGGTCTTTACATCTACAGCTAACCAGAACTTGATACCAAATTTTTCAGGCTTGTTCACCATGTACTGCTTCAAGTGGCAGTGTACTTTTGTAGGAAACAGCTGCTCAGGTAATGTTGTTGTTCACAACAACATTACCCACATCAACGGAAACTTGTCCTTGCACAGATGGATGTGCCTGTCATGCTCCTTGTCAAAGCGCAAGTAGCTCATGATCTCCCTGAAGCGGTTTCTCGGCATTGTGCCTCTGAAGAAAGCCAGTTCCCATTCCTTGGACCAGAAACTCTCCAACTCTCTGTTTTTCTTGTAGGCTCCTCTCACATAGACCAGGGCAATAAAGGCCTTCTGCTCAGCAACAGAGAGATTCCATGAACTGTCCTCGCCAACTTGGTGTGCCTTGGCCACAGTGCAGATTCGTACGTGTTGCAGTATCTTCTTGTCCAGCAAGCACAAGAAAGCATTCAAAGCGTCTTAAGTGTTTTCTTTGGCAAAAACTGTTGGTCCCACTGGTTCATTGAGGGTATATAAGCACTGCTGACTCCTTGACTGTACTCTTAACCTGATGGCTTTCCAGATAGTACCATATCCCCCACTCACACTGACAAAGATCTACAAATCACAAAATAATTCCTTGTAAGAGACTTCAAGACTTTCAAAATCATACAAAAGAAAAAAACTAAGTTCTATTTCTAAAAAAACTAAGCAATATTTCTACCCTTCAGGTAGTCCTGCCACAGTCTTGTCATCTGGTCTGTTCACTGTTGAGAAATTATGTATATTCTCAGCAAAGAAGTTACATCCTTGCTTATTCTCAATTGTTTGCATTTCACATTAAAAAAATTCACATAAACTGCTTTCTAGTTGGATTATAGTTCTACCCGAAAAATGACGCAAGTGCCAATGTGGCTGTTCACAGCCTTTACTATTTGAATTAACAAGATGTGGCAGTTTGTAGCCATTCAGTTTGTCAAAGGGCTTCTCTGTACTGAAGCCTTCTTAAGTCTCATCAATGCTTTATTCTAAACAAAACCGTTTATAAGATGAAAAAAAAAAACAACAGTATGAATGATAATCCCTACCTGGAGTGGAAACGGCAGCTGATGGGGAATCTGGTACAGCCTTTTTATTAAGTTCTGGTCGTGTGGGTTCGAGCTCAGAGTCTGAACTCTCATCTTCTTGAATCCAGTCCACTTCACTTTTGCTGAAAATTTCTCCTCCATCAGACTCCCCCACACTCATCTCCTGGATCTTCGCCAGAGCGTCTTCTGAGGATCTTTTTGTGATCATCTCATCATTGTTTGTCTTCTTGATGTGTCTGTCTGTATCCCTCTTTCCGCCTCTCTTTGATATTCCCAAGCATAAATATAGAATATGTGCAAAGGCATAATTGGACTATGGTTGAAGGAAACGCGCCAGCGGAGTATGTCATTTTTCAGTTGCCATCAATATGACTGCGATGCCGGTCGGAAGTAAAATTCGGTTTCAGAACCCTACTGACTTAAAACTGCACACTACAAGCAAACGCAGGGAAGCTAGCAAGTTGTGACACTTTTATTTCCTTTTCTCTAATAACAGTTATCGTTCAATAAAAACCCCAAATGGTCTGTCAGACAGTTTTGGCAGTTCCAGTGTTAAACCTTACCTAATATGCCAAACACCAAAGGCATGTATTATCACTCAGTTCAAACCAATCACATGATTTTGTAAACAAGCAAGAAACTTTGAGTCTTAATTTTTCTATTATACATATACTATGAAAGGATTTGCCTGAAATATTGATTGATATGGGGAAACATGCTCCACTATGTTTAACCATAAAGGCAATGCTTCTAAGCGTGATTGCACTTGTGGAACAGAAAGAACTAACACAAGAAGAAAGTTTGAGAGCTGTATTTAAAAGGTACAGCGCTTGGACTTAAAGCTCTGATGTTTTAAAGTGACACCGCTGAATGTTCTTGTAATGGTTCAATGGTGTGCACAGAAATCAAAACAACATTGAAAAAAAAAAATTCTTGCTGCTACTCACCAGAGGTGCTGGACGAAGAAACAGTTGCAACCTGCTTCACCTCCATAGTCGTCCGAACTGGCCTGTTTGAAAAGATTGCTTATACTTAGAGCTGTTCATGTTCACAGCAGGCAGCTGAGTCAAAGAGGTTAGCTGGCAGTTTACTTTATTCCATTTCATTTTATACAGTCATCACTAACAACTGGTGGTGAGATGACATCTTCTAATTGAAGTAAATTACAGATTTTTTGACAAGCATTTAAAAAAAAATAACTCAATGTTGTCAAGTTTGGGGCCAACTCCACAGCCTACTTTGTACAAGTGTCCGCAACTTCACGCTCCTTTTAATATGAACAAAAGAGATTATGAACGCTGATGGGATTAAGTCCCAGAGTATTTAGAGAAAAAAATGACAACTTTCAACTTTCAATAACTAAATACTTGCAGCTGTCCCAGTTTGCTTCTGTAATAAAGACTCAAATTAACATAGTTCTTGCGTCGTATTCTCTGAAAAATTCTGGTCCTCTCTTGATCCGCAGTATTCGATTGATAGAACCTCGGATCCCTCTCCAGGCATCACAAGTAAGTGAAGGAAATCGGCGCTCCATGTGCATCCGGATTGTCCTTCTCAAGTTTTTTGGCAGAGCCCCCTTGCCAAACATCCCATTATAATTGACCTTTCCCACCCACTGACAGTAGATGTCATATGGGACTAAGTAGCGAAAAATGTAAGAAGCAAAGCGGTCGGACCGCGGAAACCCCGAGCTTTTCCTGCAGCTTCGGTAGAGCACATTCTCCAAGTTGGACGAGATTACTCTAAGTTTTATGTCTGCTCTGCATTTCCCCTCATGGTACTCTTCCAGCTTATTTGCAAAGGCAATGTGAGGTGGCATGTCCTCTTCCTCCTCCATCTTCTCTGCTTCTTTCTTCCTCTCGATAGACAGCGCACAGGCTTCACCAACAGGGGGCACCACTTCCCCTTTGGGCACCTTAGGCTGCAGCTCTATTGTCTGCTGGCACAGCTCGCTGTTGGGAAGAGAGGTGCAGTTTAACTACACTCTGCACTGCCCGAGGGAATGCGCAGACTTCACATTGTAGAACGTCACAAGACTCAGGACCTGGACCCAGTTGGGGTTATTTGGGGCGCGAGTACCCAAACTATAGACTGGCATGTGTTTGTTCATTCCAAACCGGTTTAGATAGATCTCTGGAGTTAAAGAGTACAAAGAAAGGCAACCTTGGCAGACCGACAAAGGCCACGAAATCTGTTTGATTTGACCCGTAGGACTATTTTACTCGAAAATTGTTGAGTCTAGATTCCGTCTGTGATTACAGAAAGCACTCTGGGACAATGGCAAGGCAACGGACGGCTCTGTGTGTCGCTCTGGTTACAGTCCAGTATTGTCACGTTCACACAAAGTCCAGATCATTTTCATATAAAATGCTACAGTGCAAGTTGTTTTGATACAGTAAATCTGTGAATTCCTAATATCTAAATAGTTGATCTATTTGATCACAGAATCAAATAGTTTCGTAAACATGTAACTTTCAGGGAGGTGATCTGTAAACCTCACTGCTAAATTCATGGTACACTTACCGTTGAGCTTGAGTGCCTGGTGCAGCAGTAACAGTCTTGGCAGCATTAGCAGCGGCGGCAGCAGCAGCAGCAGCAGCAGCAGCCAGGGCCTATGAAAGAAAGATGCTGTGCTGTTAATTTACACAAAGAAAAAACCTTAAAAACCAGTCGCAACTGCACACATCAGAATGAAAAACTGTCCTTGCCTCATTTTTCCTTTTGTTCTCTGATGCTTGATTGGCCTCTCCAAATTTCTTCGCCAATCGCGCTATCTTGGCCTAAAAAAAATGTTAGAAAGCAGCTTTCAGAGCTGTGCCTTTCAATACCAGATTTGGTGTGGTTACAGACAGCTGTACTTGACATTTCAACAATCACAGTTAACTCACTTGGAGTGTGTTAATGGCGGTTTGGTGTTTAGTGGCACAGTCGATTTTGTCTACCCTGTCCTTGAGCTCTGTGAAATGTCTCTCAAAAATGGTCAGCTCCAACACCCTCAACCGTTCATCCACCAGCTGTTGCACAATCTGAGAAAAAAAAGGGATAAGAAGCGAGAAAACAATCAGTTTTGTAGAAAATTCAGAGCAGTTTTGCTGGTTTGGATGTTTGTTGAAAGACAGAGTTAACATACAAACCCTTTCTAGTTTGTGGTGACCGCCAGCTTTTGCAGTGATTTTCAGTTCCAGTTGTGCCTCCAACTCGCCACGCTCCACCTTTAGCCTCTTCCCCTCTCTTTTGAACGTTTGATCGCCATTTTCGAAACCCTCTGATAAAGTGCGCTTCAGTCCTGATGTGGAGCCCTTCTCCTCTTGTGCTGCTTGAGATTGAATAAACAAATTCCTGCTTGTCACCCCATGTAAGCCTTTCATTGGCCTTAATCGTTTGTGTGCATGTCTTCACAGGTATTATTCACAGGAAACAAATGAAGCTCCAACCAAATCTGCATCAGATACGAACTGGACCTCTATCAGAAACTAATCAGAAAATAATTAAAATTCATCCAAGAGAAGAAGAGTGTTGAAATTATCTAATTTTTAAGGAAGTGACAGTTTTACTTTGCAGACTTCCTTTTGAGGTTGTAAGAGTTCTGACATTACAAATGCTGCTGTGTTTTCCAAAAGCACCATCAGAAATGATTAACCTGACAGGTAGTACACAACTTTACCCCTGAAAACAGACTAATGCTTTCCAGGTTTTTTCATAATAGGGTAAAACTTCATTAAGTCACATCTTCTTTTAGCCTGGGACCTTGGATTTAAGACTGAGAATGATTACTAGGATGTGAGGATTTAACAGTTGTCCCAATCCCGTTATCACAAATTAGCCCACGCTAACTGTAAAAATGTTCAATGATACGTCTTTCATTTCCACTTTCACGTCATTCTTCTAGATTTCATTGGACCGCTTTCAGTGAAGTTATCAACTGGACGCTGTCATACCTGTATTAGAGGGCGGAGTCGACGAGGGCCGGGTTAGTTTTGTGGTTTGTCTAACTTCCGTTTTTTCTTTCTTTGGCTCTACTTTCACTGAGTCCACCTCCATCTTTTCTGCAGTCGTCAACGCTTTCTTCTTGTCTTCTTTATTGTCCTCCTTTTCCTTTTTCTCACATTTGATGTCCTTTTCTTGTTTTACGTCCCCGGAAGAGGAGGAAGCTGGGGGAGATGAGGGACAAGGAGGAGAGGAGTCATAAGTGGAAGGTATGGTGGAGGAAGGCCTCTCCCCTTTTGTTTTAGAGGTCTGAGGGTCATTGGTCTTTGTAGTGTCATTATCTGTATCCATTGGTTGTGTACCACTGGACACTTGAGGTGGCTCAGACGAACTTGAATCCAAACCTTTGACAGAATCTTTCGCAGAATCTTTAGATGGGTCTCCTGCTGCTTTTCGTTCCTCCTGAAAGAGAGCATAGTGAACCAACGATTAACTAAATGGCTTTGGGCACCGAAACTTTTACAGACTGAAGAGAAGCCGTTTATAGTCAAGACACTGCATTGTGAAAACAGTTATATAACATTTCTCAGCTCTACCTTTTTCTTTTCCTCTTCTGGGACATCACCATTGTCCGTTTCCTGGTTTCCCTTGGACTCTTTTGATGCCGACTCCTTTGAAGAGGAGGCTGAAGAAACTTTCTTGTCCTCCCCCTCTTCCTCCATCTTTTTCAGTTCAAAGTTCAGAGAGTGGAATGGCGAATTAGGAGAGTGAGGAGCGTCCTCCTTGGGTGAAGAACCTTGTGAAGGGACAGGTGAAGGGGACAGATTCAAGGACAGGAGAGGAGCCGAAGAGGCGGGAGAAGCAGGCGACGCTGCATCGGGCGAGTTCACGTTGTTTTGATCTCTGTCCTCTTCTTTTGGTCCATCCTCCTTGTGCGTGCCGTTCATCAGAGGTGGCGAGGATCCCTCAGACAAACCAGGAGCTGCTGTTAACAAAGTGTTGTGAAGACTCTCTAGCTGCTGGCGATCACTGATCTTCATGGTTTTCCTGGCCCGGAAAATCTTCTTCTTTTCCTCTGTCACAACAACTTCCATAGCTGCCTGTGGAGTGACACGGGAGAATTAGATGCGTCAAAAATGCATATAAAACCACAGTGACAACGGCAAGGGTTAACTGCCTGTTCTCTTCAGCTTATGAACCTGTCCTTGACTTATCGCATTAAACAGTGGCTGCAGAGTTTCGGAAAAACCACTGGAGGTCACTGTAGAGCCCTGTGGCCTTCTTTGTTCTTTTCTAGAAGGTTCTTTTACAGGGATTTGCAAACCTGACAGTTTTCAACAGCCTAAATCTTAACAATATTATTTTTGAGTAAATAAAGCTAACTAACAGATTCTGATTCCCTGATCACACATTGCTCTAACTGATCCATCAGAGACAGCTGTGCAGATACTGCTCAGTAAGCTAAAAAGCTATCTTTCATGTCTGTCAGAAAAGCCTGAACTGCTAGGACAAATTCAGTTTTCTTTGATTCCATGATTAATCATAGATCTCATGTTTACCTAAGCCCGATCCAGAGAACAGAAGGAATGTGAAGTTAACAACAGCAGCTACCCAGCCTTCCTCCCATCCCCCCACATTCCTATTGGTTCAACACTCAGCGAATCAGAACGGCCAGAATGAGGCTGTGTTGGCAGCAGTAAAGAGGCCATGCAAAACAGGAAAGATAGTCCGTACATTCAACTGATGTTGCAAAAACAGCAATGTTAATGCTAGTTCTCTTCTTTAGAGTCACATGTGTCTGTGATGTCTGAGCTACTTTTAATGGAAGTAAAAAATATGAAGAATTAAAGCTGTGTGAAGCAGGAAACTGTGCTTTGCTGCAGTCAAATTCCCATGAGGCATTTTATTAGCAAACAAATATGGACACTGATGCGAAGTACTACGCAGTTCCTACACGTGATAAATCATCTATTAATAACTCACCTTCAGGCCGAAAGGTTCCTGGTCATAGATTTACCCCCAGAATTCTCCCACGACCTGTGGAAAAAAAAGACATTTTTTTCAGATGAGTGAGCACTAAATACTGTATGTTACAGCTCGACACAACATCGGCAGTGTGTGAAACCATCACACCCAGCAAATCAAAGTGTGACCATAAATTTAGCTCATCCTAATGAAGCACTCTATCTCTACCCCCCGAGCTATAACTGAGCCCTTGCCTTCAAAAGGAAATTGTTATTTTTAAGGGTCACCGCTTATTTATTTAAACTATAATGAAGTTATGTTGATGACTATATAGTAAATCTAACAGCTTGTAATCTTTTGCTTTCTTGGGCATTATTCTCTTCTTTTAATTCAATTTTCAGCAAATGATGCCGTTTTCAGCCATTCCAGTTACAGCCGTCAATCAACCCAAAAAAAAGCTATCAACAGCTAAACCATGCCAATCTAGAGAATTCAAAAACAGTTGTGGTATGCTAACCAAAGTGCACACAAAAGTGATGACAAGAAAAAAAGGTCCAAACTGAGATGTGGAAGCAGGAGTGTCAAACAGAAGAAGACAGGCTTTGTACAAACTCACTTGACAATCCATAGCTACACACACACACAGTTTTCAGCAATGTAGACTGCTTGTCTGAGGTCTGTGTGATACATTAAACACTATTAAATGTTTCACTATAAATGATAGAAATCTTCATATATAACAAGCTATTTTTATCGGTTTCAGTGCAGGGACGACAGCCTGTCTTTCACATAATCTATAAAATCTTATCTGGTGAAAAGCAATCCACTGCTTCAGTTTTTCTTTCTGAAATCTTGTTAATGTTTCCTGATGGTGCAGTGTATATATCTGCGGGACTGCGGCTGACAGAGGCTTGCTTTATTTAGCCAGTTATATTTTGCTAAGAAAGGGTGTCGCATGTGTGAAAGCAGGACACAAAGTGGTGGCGCATAAGCACAACTGCTGTTTTCATATCAGCAACCGTGTCTCCTTGAAAACTCCCACTTTTCTGCTGACAGATTTAAAATCAAGATTTAGAGGAGCATAAGAAAGATAAGAAAGATCAGATATATTAGATACCAAAATAAAAAATCAGCATAAATCAAGAGCTATGTGGATCACAAACACGATCACTGGTCCGTTTTACATTCCAATGTTATTGCCACTGCGCACGCTGGGCCCGTCCCCTCCCCCATCCTACGGCCTCATTTACTGCGCCTGGATTCTGTGCAGAACTCAAAATGGCTGATAGCTCTGCTGTGGGCTGCTACTCTGAGCTCTCAGTAGCTAGCTGAACAGGATCCTCTAACAAATGGATCAGGTTGCAGCAACATCCTGCCACTAGGTTCTTCATTTATCAGCCTGGGGCAAGTTGAATTAGTGAACTAAATGTAAAAATTTTTAAAAATAGCTAAATAATGAAAAAAAAAAGTAAAGCCAAGAATAACGTGATAAAAACACTCATTTTTAGATTATCATACACAATCATCTCCTCGACTGCAGGCGTCAGCTTATCCTCTGCTCAGTTCAAAAACAAAGATTTTTAAATGTTGTGTTTTCTTGTTAGACAACAAAACACCATGAAAAGTACAAAAATATATTTTTCGGGCTGGTGAAAGTTGTTCAAACCATCCCTGTATTTAGGTCTACCTGCAGTTGCAGCACATAAGTCCTCTGCTGAGCCTGACTCGTTCAATCTCTCCTTGTGTTAGAGAAGCACGCAAAGATTGGGTGGGGTGTTAAATGAGTACTTTGGTGCATTTTTTAAAAGGCGATAATGAAAAAGCTTCAATCCACATCCTTTACATAAACCTCACGAATGACTGCTTATTAAATCAGTATTTCTAGTTTGGATAATCTGGGGTTAACCAGGTGAAAGAAGAGTAGCTACACATTAGAGATCTTACACGGTCTCACATAAGCCGTCATGCAAGCTGGAGGTACCAGAAAGATTAACCACAGAGAAGTTTCAGCTGTTTCATCTCAAAGCTTGAAAGTCTTTTTTTTTCCTCTTAATATTGTTGACAGCACAATCTAACACTGATGACATGTTGCTCAGCGGCTGACCATGACTTTATGGCTTTGCACAACCAGACAAGCGACTCTCTCTCACCAAATGAGAGGCCAGCAGGACAACAAGCAAGGTCAGCAGGAGTCAAGTTCAAGTCTGTTTGGACAGGAAAGTTAGAGTTTTGTTCCTGCAACAGTTCAGAGGCACATCAAAAGACAGAAGACAATAAAAACTTAGGAAGAGCAAGAGCAGCACCTCTGTGTTTCATATGTAAAACAAGAAGTAACATCTATTCCACCTTTGATAGATGTCGATACATGTCTGAGAGCTGGTACAGACAAGAATGTTTCAGGGGATTTGGATTTGACGTATGGCTCTCAAGAACTTGTCCAAACTTTTGCTTCAACTCCTATCTGTTTCACTCTTGCTGCACCAGCACTCAATATTTTAGTCCCACAGGGTCACTTACAGTTGACCCTGTGGGCGACTGAAGGGAGAAGCGCCACATTGAACTCAAACAAAACCACAAACAGTCTATTTCATAAGTATGCCACATGAGGCCATATCTTTTTTTGTTTGTTTTTTAAACCTGCACAAATCCCTCTACAAACAGTCCTGTTGGGGACATTAAGAGGATCCGGACTCCTGTTCAAAGACCTTGATCACAACACCATAAACATTATCTCATGGACACTGCATAAACTGACTCGCCACAACATCTGACAGAAGAAAGTAGCAGTTGCACATTCATCTGAATACAATCTTTCGATCTTTGAAATGCAGCAACATTTCAGAGAAGGAACAAGAACCAAGTTTACAACTTCTGCTACTGAGCCAAAAGATGAGTGTAACCAAGGATCAAGTGTGTTTAACTGACATGCCTACTCCTGGTTATACCCCTAAGTAGTGCTGGGCGATTGGACGATATATATCGTTGGCACGATAGAAAATGTCTATCGTGCCATTTTTATTCTTATCGTTTCGGGCGATAGGTTGTATTTAATCCATAGAGCTTGTGCCATCAGATGATTCATAGTAACAACAACAATAATTGCACATTCAGTAAGTGTATTTGGTGTCGAACGGGAAAGAAAACAATATTTTCTTACAAAGAAAAGGATGCGTTGACATGTAGGCTCGCATTTCTCTTTCGATTTTGCGACATGACGCCGCTTTACGTGCCCTCTTTATGTCCAGCGCCTCCCGCCGTTGCGGGTTACCTGGGTTACACACGTGAGGGGATCATTGTAAGCAGTGCTTAATTTGTGCCGGAGCAAGTCAGAGCGCGATCCGGGACCTCTTTTGATCGGATCTGGGACCTATTTCAGCCGCTCCGGCACCTGTTTCATCTGCTCCGGGACCTTCCCTGTGGAGGATGACTTTTTTCGGGAATTCCCGTGGGTCACGTGATTCCCGCGGGATGGGAGTCATTTTTTTTATTAATCTCTTGATCGGGACGGGACGGGAAAAAAAGCAACGGGAGTGGGCAGGAGCGGGAACAACATGAAAAGATGATCTTTTTCAGCCGTGTTTAACAACCAGATGAACAGGTGCGTCCATTTTTGTAGTCATCTCTCAGTGAGAGTAAACACTCTTGACCGCGCTAGCAACACAAAAGAACTACAACAGCGGTTTGACTTCCTGTCAGCTGGGAGCGCGGCTGCGCATTTGTACCCTTCAAGCCAGCAGCGAGGAAACGTAATTTTGTGACATTCTGTAGTTTTTCAATCATTTCTGGAGTCGTGGCGAATCAAATCACCTTACCTGTCTGCCCCTGATAGGCGAATAAAGCGCTCGGATTCATGCTCGGGTCTTGCTACGTGCTTCAAGAGTAAAGTAAACAATGATGGAGGCAGAGAGCAGCTTTGGAGGAGAAACATCTAGCAGTGTGAACAACCTCTTCAAAAGAGCCCTAAAGACCTACCTTTTTAATAAAGCCTTTGGTTAGTTTTCCTCTATGCTTTATGCTTTTACTACCTTGCCTCTTACATTGCAACTCTATATATTTTATTTTTTTTTAATTCTTTTTTATGCTAATCTGTGACTGTCATTCTATTGCTTTTTTTTATTGTTGCTGCTCTTTTTTTACTGTGTACTGTAGCACTTTGAGATTTCTTTGTAAATGTAAAGTGCATTACAAATTAAATTTATTATTATTATTATTATTATTATTATGGAGTGCTTCGGCTCACACTATCAGCGTTTTCTGTAAGTGTTACATAACTTTGGGTGAGCACAGACATGAACGCACTTCAGCCACGTATTTGTTTATTCATTTTTCTAGTTTTAAGTGCTGGTCTTGTACTGGTACTGTACTAGTGCAGCTGTATACACTTAAATTTTTCATAGAACTGAAAGCATACCATAGCTATATCGTGATATATATCGTTATCGTGATATAAAATGATCCATATCGTGATATACATTTTTTTCCATATCGCCCAGCACTACCCCTAAGTGTTGGTGATCAGCTAACATACCGCAATCTGACTACACACCCTCTGAAAAAGCATCTTCAACAAATTTCTCTAGTTCAAGAGAAAAGGCAGCTAAATCTCTTCCTCTGTTCAAGTGTCAAGAGCTCGAAATGAGTTTGAGGCTGCAATGACCAAAAAACTGAATTAGATTGAAATGAGAGTGAAAAATGTTAACACATGCGTGAAAAGAAAAGAAATGTCCACCTTCAGCAGGACGTGTGGGATTGAGGCCTTCCATGTATTTGTTGATTGTGGGAGCAGGGAACGGCTTACAGGCCAGCAGAGAACATAAAAGAAAGGAGGAGGGACTAGTAGGACTAGTCCATCTCGCTCCTACTGGGAGGAGGTAGTCTAAAGGGCATGTGGCCTACACATGCCTACTACATATTTACTGAACCCTTGATAAAAAATGCTTAATACAACAGTGTGAAAACATGTAAAACATGAAAAGAAAAAAATTTGGGTGATTGTTTTTCTTTCAGACATCTACCAACTGCAGGGTATATTTAGACCAAAGGTGCACACATATCATTTGAAGAGTCATAAACTACTCGTGTAGCGTGGTGATCATCAATATCCACCCAAGCTAGCAGCGCACAGGCAGAGGAAATAAGACTGCACAGACTGTTGCATAGCAACACCCATCCCCCAACTCTAGCACAAGTAGTCCTCATTATGGAAAGCTACAGCAAGCACGGACTAAACCATTCCGAAAAAAGTTAGGGGGGGATCTGTTTTATGAAAATACTAAAAGCAAAAAAAAGCCAGATGATAAATAAATTGTCAAGGACTTCTGAGATGAAATGTTTCCAGTGTGCAGCGCTTTACTTTCATTTTTCTGTTTGTTTAAATAGAGGAAAGCACCTACTGACTTAGAATAAAAAGCGATGTTTCAATCTATAATCAGCTGAAAACTCATTCTGGTGCTTTAACAGAAAACTCTCTTTATAGTCCATCTAGAAACAAAATGAGAAAAAGTCTGACTCAGCTGTTTAATTCCAATTGCTCCTTCTTGTCTCTTTGCCGAGCCTTTGACCATTTTTTTTATCTCAAATGTAAACATACAGGATGATGCTATCACTGCCATCAACCGAGTATATGCTGCCGTTCAGCTAAGAATAAGCTGAGCCTCGGCCAAAAGTGATTTGAACGCTGAGCGCTGTGGAGGTTACTGTGACTGAGAGTGTAATATGATCTCACCTTTTAGCACTCTTTTTGTGATGAAGGCTAACTGAGCAGCTCTTCTGCAAAATTTAAAAAAGGATATGCACGGTGATGACTTCACTGACAGCTGATCCATCAACCATCCATCCCTGATTAAACACATTTGAGAGAGCCTTCAAAAACATCCATCTGCTTCAGTGTCTAAACAGACGAACCACAAGGAGTCTCTCTTTGCTGGATACTATCTTACTTGAGATGGGGCTGTCTTTCAATAAAAAGGTCAGCACAAGCACAGCAAATCTTTCCTCGTTCAAAAAAGCAGAGACAGTTCAGTAGCATTGACAATTTTACTTTTGCTGGATGTTCCGAGTTCAGAAATCACCACAGCACATAGTCCTTTTCTTAGCACCCATTACAGTCTCCACAGGGATCGTCATCGTGTCTCCCAATTTAACAACAGACACAGACTTAAACATAGTTTTTTTTTACTTTTAGATGCAAAAGACGGTTTGCAACTAGAAAAAATGTCGAATGAAAAGTCTACAACAGCCAACAGAGGCCAGATTTACAAAGATAACTATGAAATGCAATGGTAGACATGAAAAACAAGAAACAATGGCTTTATATTGAAAGCTGAAATACTTGATCACATGGCTTAGCTGGATCTTTGGGGGAGGGGCCATGTAAAGGCATTCTCAATCAACCAAAAAACATGATTTTTTTGACAGACTTTTCTTCACAAAAAGAGGGCCAACACCTCTTATTTTTTTACCTATGAAAAACAAAACAGATTCAAAGAAAAATTTGCCAATCTGTCTTTAAAAAAGAACAATATGCACTTTAGTCAAGGCCTAGCTAGCAGCGCACAACCAGCGCCAGATGGCATTCCCACAACACACTCAGTTAAGAGGCGGGAGCACCCACCCTCCCCCACCCTATTTTCACTCTCTCTCACTCTGTCTCTCTTTCTCTCCCTCACTCACATACACACACTCACTCACTCACTCACTCACTCACACACACACACACACACACACACACACACACACACACACACACACACACACACACACACACACACACACACACACACACACACCATATCTCCCTCTCTCTCTCTGGAACAGCCTGTCTTGGTCAAACATGGACTAAACCATTTTTGAAGAGGAAGAGAGTGGGGGTGGGGCTTTGAAAACAAAAACCTCACTATGTATCTATAATATCTGATTGATTAATTAATTAGACTGAATGATCAGAGTCCTCTAAGATAGTTTTTTAATTGTTTTAGAGTAGTTTTCGGAGTTTTCATAATTAGCCTGGCCACTTTGCTTTTGCAGGTAATTTTTTCCCCCAGTGTCTTTCCTTAAAAAAAAGGCTTATATAAGCAAAAAATGTACTTGTTAGACAGAGATATATATTCTTAATAACCATATCTAATGTATCAAGGCTTTGAATATGATCTTACTATAAATTACAACAGCTTGATCAGTCTTGTTTGTCAAGCAGAAAATGCCGCTTTTTTAGTCTCACTGTCCCTTGCTAGCTACAACCTGCAAAAAAATAGAGCACAGCATTACTCAGTGAGCAGCTCTCTCTGCCCACCCTCCCCCACAGCAGGGAGAGCTGCTGTTGCACGGACTAAACCATTATGACATGGGGGTGTTTCTCCACTCGCAAGGAACAAAGAAAACACACCTGAGCATCAATATTTCCCTTTCTGAACTTTGTATCTGGAATTCTCCACAAACACAAAGTTTTTTTTTTTTTAATTCAGAGTAACAACTGAACCAAGTGTGATTTATAACTGATAAATTTTATGTTGGAGAAAAACAAGAGTGGAAATGATATTTGTAGTAACAGTCAATTCTCACCAAGTAACCCTCATCCATCTCTATAAAAAGCTCTGTTATGGGGGCACACAACACCATGTCTTGCGTTCTTAGCACTGCTCTCCTTTCTTCTAGTGCAGAAACACAAAATGGCCACCAGCGCTGCTGCGAGCAGCATGCAGAGCACAGACATGAGCAGATCTTCTCTCAGACTCCGCCTCCAAAAAGAAAAAAAACGATCAGTCTAACTGCAGAAATCTCCATACCCTGTACGCATGAAAGTTGGGGGGAAAGTGACCAAAGTTTACAGTATCACTGGCTTATAGAAATGTAGAATCTGCAGAGGAAGTCACAGTTCACAGCTAAATTCTAGTTCAGTGTTCCTGTTGTTGTGAAGAGCCCACTCCTTGTGGTGGCTGTTCAGCACTGTGACTGCAGGGTTCACTGAGCAAATCAGATCGATCACCCTGAGAGTTGGAAGACTAACTGCTCATTATGATATTTCAGGTAAAAAATTTTTAGATAACCAAGTAATTAAAAATGCTTTCCCTTCTTAGGCTGCTTTTAGTGCTTTGACCAAATGCTAAAGAAACCTGACACCCAGCTGACAGTCAGACACAGAGGGTACTACTGGTCTTTAGTTGTACACAACCAAATCAAAAAGAGGATGTTAATTTTTTTACATTTTCTATGGAGACTACAAACTCAACCTTAAGACGGATTTTAGCCAGTGAGAGCAAAGGCTGCATTCCAACATTACCGCGCATGGAGCGCAGTCCTCCCCTCCCCCACACTCACTGTCTGCATCTGGATCTGGATCCACTGCAACTCAAAATGGCCACCTGGTCCGCTGTGCGCAGCCACACAGAGCCCTTACAGCCTGTTATAGCATGCACACTACTAATCATGCAGAAAGATGTAATTAACTTTAATCCAGAAGTGTACTCTTTTTATAAAGAATCTGACTGAAAGACTTGATCTAGCCTGTAAGAATTTAGCATTAATGTTGAAAATTGCTCCTCGACGTGGCTTTTACACCAATCCAGGTTTCACTTGATTTTTGCACCATCACATCTGAGTGATGTCTGGGCTATTAGACAGCTCTTTGTAGTTCTTCACTGTCCTCTTTTTATTGCTACTGTAAACAATGCCTCCTGACAGTTCTAGCAGGTTGGACTGAACTGAGATCCAGATCCACTTCCTACTCTTTCTATGAGAGAGATCAGAGATCAGAAAGGTGTCACTGTCAGAAATGAGGAGCTCCTCTAATTAACCAACTCCTAGACCCTGTTTACACCCCAAACTATCAGAAGTCCTAGGTGATCTGGTCATCTGGTAACAAGTGGACTTCTCTTAGTATGTGGATTCTGAGTGTATATGCCGAATTTTATCCGACTGTTTCGTAAAAAATGTGTCCCAGGCTACAAGGACAGACAGTTGGGGTCACTATATCCAAGAATGATGATCTCAAAGTGAGGACGTGTTGTGATAGCAGGTGAGCACGGTACTTAAAACTCTCCACTAGACTAAGATGTAATGACCGTTTCTCTGTGAAGTTTATGAGGTCTCTCTGTGACAACTTCATCTGAGGGCTTCAGTTTCTGATCACGGTCCAAGGACAGGTTAAGTTGTTGACTTGTAGAAGAGGCACCCTGTTTCTCATCAGTGATTGGAGAAACTCCGGTCTCTCATAATCATTGACAGAATTGAGGTACAGAAAGTGTTTTGATGAAATTCTGTGAACAGAATCCAAGAGACTAATTTAGACCCTCTGAAAATGAATGCATTCAACAACAGTGCAATAAGCATGAGGCTGCAGTTCTGTAGCAGCAGAGGATCACTTTACCGGTGACATCTACTCAAGTGGACACAATCCTTAAATAATACGAACAAGTTATCAACATAAATGGAGATTTAACCCTGCTTTCTAACCAAGCCAGCAAGAATCTCATTTGTGCAAAATAGAGGCTGTCTGAACTGCCAGCAATCAATTTCAATTTCAATCACTTTGATATGCTGGTAACTTAAGATAGCCTACAGTGCCGTTCATATCAATCCCATTCACAGCCATCAGGAAATTGTAAGCAATCAAGTCTGCACCACTTCATCCACCTGATTTGACCATGTTTCCCCTGAATGATGAGTTACATGTCTGCTGCTTTGAGGAAAGGAGGAAACCAGATGGAGCCAAAAGCCACGTCTGAGGTGTTCGCACGACAGCTTATTCTCTCATGTATGTTTGGTTTTTTTTCGGTTCACATCAAACCAGGCTGATTTTCTATTTTCTTAATGGGAGTGCTCAACAAGATACATCTTTAGGCCAAGCTGAGATGTAGTGAAATCCTGAGTTTGAAGTAGATGTACGCCATCTAGACAGAGCTGGTAGAGGAAATATCAGAGGTGCTAACACTTTAATATAAAAATCAGCTTTTGCTTCAAGATACTAAAACTGTCAAGCACTTGTCCTACAGCACTGCCTCTTATCCGACCATTGCTTAAACACTGAATGCGTGATCTGTTCAAGTTTTTTTCTCTGTACTTTTCAACGAGAGGAGACTAGCAATCACTGGATAGAAGGAAAAAGGGAAGAAAAATAGGGAGGGGTGGGGGTGGGCAAAACCAGGAGTTTTCATGTGAATCAAGCAAGCACATGTTAATATTGCTGTAACCATGCGTTCCTGAGAAATGCTCATGTTATGGCTACAAAAAGGCTAAATACTCACTAGAAGAACTCAAAAAACAGGTAAAACATTCATGTAGTTTACAGGAGGCTCTTCTAAGACTCGGTCATAATGACACTTTAGGTTAACTGCAGAGCCGGAATATCTGCATGCAGTTTGCTCTCTCTTATATTTGTTCCAATGCTGACAACCTCTGGACCATCTTTGTAGTAACTACAGATTTAGTCAGATCGAATGAGCTCTAGCTAGCACACAGTCAGTGCTCAAGTCCCAAGCCTCACAGAAAGCGCCAACACCCATCCCCCACACCAGCAATCAGCCCCAGTCTGGAGTTTTACAGCCGAGCACGGACTGAACCATAGCAGCAGAGGGGGGTTTTACTAACAAGTGAGGGAGCTACAGGGGTGAATGACATATTCAAAGCTCTCTTACCAGGTTGAGCTCTGTAGCTGGAAGTTTGACTCGAGATTAGCCTGTGTGAAATAGGTTAACAGTTTTGGTGAAATCTTGTCTCATTTTAATAGATTGAAGATACATCAGCTGTGGCTTTGAAGCTGTGACACACTCTCTCCTCTAGCTGTTCCAACTTATGCCTCTGTTGCAAGATCTTTTTCTTGCTAATGCATAAAAATGCTAATTTCTTTTAAGTTAAATACAAAAGTGTTTCCCAGTAAGAACAGAAGTCTAATGCTGTGGACTGCTTCTTTCTCTTCTGCCATGAACATGCGCTCTGATTTAGGCAAAGAGCAACGATCAAGAGCAAAGTCTAGAAAGAAGAATCAGAGCAACATAACAAACAGCTAACCCTGTACTCAGTTATTTGGATTACTAACAACCTAGCTTACTCTTCACTTGCCCCTCCCCCACTCATTTCCCTTTGACAGATCGCTTGCGGAGAATGTTACAGCACAAAATGGCTGCTGCTGCTGTGCGCAGTCACAGCAGTATCCTTTTTTACCAGCTCTGCAGATGAGCAGGGTTAACTGTTAACCAATCCACCATCAACTTAAACAAAAATACTGTACCCTGCTGCTTTGTTCCCTTAAGGCTGATGATATGTCTTAATGTACGTGCTGACTCCTTTGTATTTATTTTATTTTATTTTTTCATTTCTGTTTTTTAGGCTATGTTTCCCTAAATGACATGAATTTAAATAAATTATTTCATTTGATACACAAAGTATAATTAAAAACTAAGACAGAGTGATTTACTATGTTTCACTGAGCAGGCATTTTTGTCTAAAGCATCGTGCGGCAGAGAGCGAGTACAACACAGGCAGACAGACAGGAGGGAACAACATTGAGGAAGTGCTGCTACAACAAATTCCGTCGCACACAAGGTCTGTGCTATAGAGACAAAATGTAACTACATCATCTTCATGGGTGGACCTAATATTGGAGCCGGTATTGTTCATTTGGTTGATTATCAGTACTAGCCTTTTATTTCAGATGGCTGATGATGACGTTGGAAATTTCTGTTTTATTTTAATATTTTCAAAATTATCTGTAACATTAACGACAAAGAATGGGATTCAGTATCGACCAGGGATATCTAAATCGTAATCGCAACAATCAGACCATAGCAATTATTTTTATTGGCCTGTGCCCATTAAGGGTGGGAATCACTAAAGGCTCTAGCTACCGCTTAACCTTTATTGCATGAACTCACAGCCAACCAGACTAAAAAAACGCTGCAGTAACATTCCATAGCTAATGCGATGCTAACATATAGCATAGCAGTAGTGGCACCGTGTTTAAATTCTCGGTAACGCAAAAATATTTTATAAAAATATGTGACAAAAGTCCCACAACCACCGGCATATGCAATAAGATCGGTTAATATGGGGTGGTAGAAGCAGAGCTGTATTCAGTACTACCAATGAAATATGACATCTGAAGGCTAAAGGCCCCTTCACACCGGGACTGTTTTTTGTGCGATTATTTCGGACGTCAATATTTTTTTCGAACCCGAATCCCTGTCAATACAAGCGTTCACATCAGCGACGTTTGCCCGTCCTGCAATATTGCACCATGTATTTTTTCGGATCACGGTCGAATTTTCTAAATTTTCGCATACTGTGTGTCCACTTCTGACCAATCAGATTGCATGTTGTTGCAATGTCTGATTCACCAGTATATCCAACATAGCTGACGGGCTGATTGTTTACGTGTCGGAGAACAGAGTGCTTTTCGATAATAGACACAAACATTACAAAAATAACGACCTGAAGGACAACTTGTGGAGGACATAGCGTCGGATTTCTCATATGACGATGGTTTGTGTGCTTTAACAGTTTGCTAAACGTCTTTGTTTAAACTTTCATCTGTGCTAAGTAACTTTAGCTCGTAAGCTAACCTGTTCAGATACAACATACCATATGTATTTTCATGGTCTCAAACTCAATCACCTTGCTGTCACAGCACCATTAGGTCTCGGTTGTTACCTTACGTTTATGGATTATAGTTTAATGTGCTTATCTGGTACTGGCTCTGACTCAGTACATGCTATCATGACAGACAGCCATCTCAACACTAGTGTCTAATCAGAACTGAAAACAGTCAGTCTGGTGTTTTATCAGCCTTCTCGCTTCCACCCGGGACGCGTCTTTTTTCCCCCCGGAAAGTCGCAAAATTGCATCGGGCTTGATGTGTATAGTCAAGCGCATCAAAATTCGCCTCCATATATTTCGTAATTTCCAGTCGGTCCCGGTGTGTAAAGGCCCTAAATGTCCAGTGTTATAAGCAGAAAGCACAGACCGTGTAAAACAGATTACTTGTGAACACGTTTTATTTAATTTTCTACTGAAGTTACTTTTATAGAAATCGACAAGTGTTTCCCATTCATGCCACCTGTTCTGTGGTCAGGCATATGCAGTGTGATTTAGGATTTTACTTTTACTGCATCTTACTGTATGCACTGTTCAAGCACTTGACATCCTGTCTAGTGTGAGCTTTTCGCTTGATGCATGCTAGGTGCAGGCTCTGTTGAAAATAGACTTGGAGCGAATCTTTGGACCATGAGTGCTGCAACTTGTCCTGTACCCACAAGCTGCTAAGTAAACGCTACTCATGGGCATCGTGGCAACATTCCCTGATGTAGCATGTAATCTAACAGCAGCCAACCAAAACCCTCACTATATCCTCACTGCCAGCACATTTGATAACCTGAATTAGGTCACAGGATCCTTCCAATGCATGAAGTATACCTAATAGTGTTAAGGCAACACAACACTCCAAAGCTATGTGGACTCGGCTTTGACGATGGCAATCCAAATTCATCCTGTAAATCTACTTCCTATTTTTTCCAAAAAAGGATAGGGTTGGTCATCTCGAGTCTCGAGTGTCAATGGGAACCAGGACTAACAATCTGATTCTCCCTGAACCGTTAAAATTTTTAAGATACAATTCCAAGTTTCAAAGCCGTGTCCGCCGACCAGGAGAAATAGCCATCAAACACCAACGAAGAAGAAGCCACAGGGAGTGTGTGTGTGCATTGTAACTAGGGTTGGGCATCGAGTCTCGAGCATCAATAAGGACAGGGACCAACATTCCAATTCTCTCGGAACCGTTCAAATTTTAAAATTTCAATTCCAAGTTTCGATGCCGAAGTCCATCAACCGGAAGAAATAGCCGCCAAACACCAACAAGAAAGATGCCGCTAAACACCAACGAAGAAGCCGCTGAACACCAACGAGGACGAAGCACATGAGACGAAGCCACACAGAGAGAGAACAGAGATAGAGAGAGAGAGAGTGCACTGCAACCCACACCGGCTGCGGTCAAAGGTTCGGCTAACTTTAGCAGGAAGAATGAACTCTTATCTCAGTGCAACATTAGCAACACAGTTATATCGTGCAAAGGAGGATGCATGACCAATATGATTAAACACCTTCAGATTCATGGAGTAGAAACAACTGATTGCCCTGACTTTGACGTGCTGCGCTGGTCCTACTCAGTCAGTATCAGATAAGTAAAACAATAAATTATGTATGTCTTCTGCTAACACTGAGGTGGCAAATGAATTGTTTACAGGAGGGTCAACCTGCATTATAAAGAACCAGAATAGAGAATCGTTTGGAACCGGAATCGAAACAAGGGCTCAGAATCATTCAAATTCAAATTATGCCTGACCTTACAAAAGAACAAGCCAGTACTGACAAGACACAGTTGAGACTAGTCAAGGGGCCTTTGCTGATGGTTGTGCACTTCAAAGGGTACCTTCAATCAGTACATGAATATTGGAACTGGACTACAGAGCAGTGAAAGACAATAGCCCAAAGCAGCATGAAAGCATGTTCAAGGTGTTGCCTTAGCACCAATATTCACAATCTAGGTCTCAATCTAGGTCTTATCTGTGAGATGTGCTGGAGGCCCAAGCCAGAGCCATGGACGTCCCACCTCCAGACTTACTAGACTTGAAGTTTGATACTACTGTTTTGATTCCAGCAACCTTTCAAGTTCACGGTCAGGCCTGTTTAAGCTGTTCCAGATCAGAGCTCTTGTGCTCCTTCTCATATAAACCTAGTTGTAAAGCTGTTTATTGATGTAAATGCCTATCTCTGGATGTAGGAATAGAAGGGTAGAACTTGCATGCCAAAATTAAACCCAAAACCAGGCAAAGCATGCGCTCCATTAAAACATTAGACCTTCAGTGCAAAAAACAGTTGACAAGAGTTGGATAGTGCCCTCTGGACCTCATACCAAGACAACCAAATGGCAATCAGGTGCCTGAGAGCTCATGTCTGTACTACTGCAGCTTCCTCACTGGTATGAGCCCTTCCTTATCTAGCATCTAGAGTTAGTTGTGCTGCTTGATTGGAGTTGAAATTTGCAGTGCTTCACTGTATATTACACTGTGCTCTCTGTTACTACTTGTGGTCAGTGTAATATAGTCCTGATAACCGGCAAGTAAGTAAGAGGAACAGCTGCTCCAGACTCTGAACCACTCTGCATGCGAACCCAAAAATGTAACGAGGCAATTGCAGTCTTCTGCCTCTTGGTAGCTGGTTGTGCCCCACCACATACAGACATAAACAAGCATTCTAAAGGATCACACACAACTGGTCACACACCGCAATTCTGCAACAAGCCTTGAGCCTGGAATTCCGCCATTATCACTATGCCTAGATTTCTTACACACCGCACTCTGAAAGGACCTAAGATCTGTGTCGAAGTGTGTAATTGCACACCACATTACATTGTTGCAGACATTATGCACAGCTTGTTAAAACACAGCCATACCTCAACATACACACACTCAGTATTGCAAGTACATGCAGCAAAGTTCCCGGCTGCCAGCTCCTAAGCTACACATCATCACCTTCTTTCTTCCATTCCATCTCTGTTGATACCTACATGGGAGGATCAGAGGTGGAATGGCTTGCCTTGATCATTGTCCTGCTATACTTATGTACAATAATAAAGTTTCATCTTTTTTCAGTCCTACTTTGTCCTTCTGGGTTTTGTTCAATACCGGCTTCCAAGCAATGTATTTGTGTTTTTCAACTTCCAACTCAAAGCATGGAGTGCACAGATCGCTTCGGCCAGTTTCAGTACAATTGAGCCTTGTGCATGGAAGAGAAAATCGATCCTAATCCACATATCCTTACTTTGTGTATCTTTCGATCAAAACAGCAGACCAAAGGTTTTTTTTCTACCAGTTACCAGCAAGGTACCATCACTCTTATTTAAAAATACAGAACACAGACCCAATGAGGGACAGCAGGTGTGGGTCCGGTAACAAGATTACTTCATTTATCCCCGAAGGAAATTGACTTTATTCATTTTTTTTACGTGGACCTTTGTACAGCGAAATGGCCACTGACACTCTACAGTGAATGGGAGTGAATTTTTTAAATATTTCAGGGAACATTGTTTACTCAAGGACATTGTACCCACTGACAGTACCCCTTGAAAGCAACTTATTCCTCTAAACTAACCTGATCTCTGTTTGTGCCTTCTAACCTGAAATTAAGGAGTCCCTGAAAGCAGCTGGCAAAGGTATACTATCTGAACAGTATATTGCTGGTTTCTTTATGTGGAAAATTTTCACGATGATTGAAGGCTGTTGGCCTGGTTTGTTTGGCTAGATACCCAGCATTGTTGAGCAGGGGGGACTTTTTTAAAATGTATTTGTTCATTTCTAGTGAGTGCCTACCAGCAGGGTGCTGGCTGCTCCCGTGGTCATCATGACCAGTACCTGTGATTAAGCTTAAGCTGTTTAAAACGCCCCCCCTGTCTTTTATCTGGTTTAGTGGTTGCAGAAGTCATTTGACTGCAACCCACCTTTTCAATTGAACAAAAGACTTTAAAACTAAGTTATTTGCGAATTTCTGGATGTTAAAGGTGGATAGGCAGGATTCCGTTAAAGAAGCATCTTTTTTGTGGTGTATATACCAAAAAGCATTTATTATCAGTCAATAGCTAATTGTTATTGATGACATTTGGGAACAACAAGATATCGCTGTAGTTTCTTTTGCCTGTGCAGTCAACATTTTTAAATTTTTGAGCGGCCCACTCTTTCTGACTGTAAATAAAGCCATTCTCCGCCTCCCCGACCTGATTGGTTGTGAGGCCGATGCTGCTCCTTAGTGCTGATTGGTTGTGAGGCAGATGTTGCTCCCTCATGTTGTAAGGCGTGCTCCACGAACAACGCTCACAAGCCCAAACAAAGTTATCGTACCACAAACCAACCAGAAAGTACAAAAAATTTCTGAATCATCCTTAGGCCACGACTGCCAACACAAGTAAGAAAATGAAGTAAATACTGGAGACTTTGATGGAATAACGGGCGCTTAAAATGGAAGTAGACAAGTGCCTAAAAGCTGGGTGATGATGGGGGATGCTTCAGGATCTTACAGACCCTGTAACCTTTTTGCTGGACAGGTTAACCACTTTAACAAAGTAAGCCAAGTGTCTGTAACAGAAGTGTTTTTTTGTCAAACTTGACTTACTGTGTGTTGCAGTGCTGCTAAGATGTTTACCTTGGGTCCTGGAGTATGTCACTTTATTTTAGTTGCAGAAGTCCTGCAAACATTGTGTTTGCTGGTAGTCTGTTGGCATCTACAGTAGCACCAATGCTTTTTACTTTAACGTTGACTGGGCCCCATTTGTAATTATCTTAAGTATTTATCTGCATTATATCTGAATTTAATTGAAACAGTACAAGCAAGGACAAGTGTGTTTGTGGGCGGGGCTTACTGGAACAGAGAGGGAGAAGGGGAAAACTGGTTGGTGTAGTGTGTACATTCAAGATTTCTTCCCAAAATGGGCACTTTCTTAGATCCTGCCTACCCCACCTTTAATTTACTCACTTCACATATGCTCTACACAGGTCAGCTAATCACACGTTTCAGAAGCTCTCTGATATGGGTACTGGATTGTCTTAAACAATACTGAGTTGGGAAAAAAATATATTGTAATGCATTGATAAATCCATTTGTATTTAGTCCAAGTAAAAATAGAGGCATAATGGGCAGGGAAAGTGGCACTTGAGTCAGTAGAATGGAAAAGTGCCTTTTGTTGGTGCATGTTTGAGCATGTACGAAGCACTCCTGATGTATGTTCACAACTTATTCCTCCTAACCCTAGCACTTCACATATCCTGTTCTGCATTGTGCCAACATGGGAAAACATCTTGTGACTGATGTGGTTTTACAAAGATGTGTTCTTCCTTTTCTTATCAGACTGCAAGTGGTTTTTCAGTCGAATCGGACATGAAAAGAATCCAGTTAAACGACTAAAGCCAGCTTGCTTTGAATCATTGTCTTATTCCATGTGTAAAAAAAAGGACGGGACAATAGCTGAGCAATAATTCACAGAGTTGCTCTAGATTGGGTGACCATCAAACATGCAATTTATTTCCGTCTGCCTATGGTCTACCTTGTGCTGATGTAGCCTCACAATTTATTAAACAGCTAATTATTAGACATGTGATGGACATTACTCTGTTCCCTTATTGACATGCTGCTAAAAAAGAGGGATTAATTGTGATATGAAGAACGAAGTTGCACATACTGTGCTTGAGCACAGAAAATTCAGCCAGAGTGGGTCGCATGACTAGATGAATGGATCAGCACCACTGAGACATTATGCACAAGGCTATAAGAGTGGGTGGAGAAGGTGTTGGTAAATCTAAACAAAATACTCAAGACATCAACCGCTGCTTAAATTTCTCTATTATTAAAATTAAATCTAAAAACTCACCAGTGTCCTCTTGCTGTTAAATATTCTGATGGGTTTTAGGGTATGCCTTTAAAGTTTGCAAATTTGCTGCATGCTCTGCACAACTATCATTAACACTAGTGCAGTCACTAAAAATGAATAATTAAAAATTGATTATTATTATTAAAGTGTTTATTATTGTCCAATTAGTTTGCCTTTTGACATGCTTATTAGCAGCATAAAATACACTTTAGAACAACAATTGGGTACTGCAGTGCTTAAGCTCCACCATATTTCTATAGCCCTCAACATCCGCCTGAAGCAGAGAAACCAGCTGATACCGGTCGAAACCGGTTCCTACACACTTGGGAAGGTGAATAAAATAAAAAAGAATAAATATGGGATTTTTGGACACCATTCACAAAATAATGAGTATACATTCAATGTGTAAGATCACCACGAGCAGAAAAAGCAGGAAATAAACCATCATGGTTTATAAAAGTATCAACAGATTCAGTTCACATTGCTTTGAACTCAGAGAACCAATATACAGGCTTGTTTGTTGTGAGACTGATATCATTGCCAGTAAAGATTTATTATTTTGAGATGTCTCTGCTAGGTATAAATTGCAAAAATATTTCCAAAGGTGCACATTAGAAACATATCGATTCAGTCACAAAATATGTGGAAAGTAGAGTTTACTCCTCGATGTCTTTATCAGTTTAGTCAGACAATTACCCTGGGATGAGTGTGACACATCTATGTGTTACTGCTAAGTTAAGTAGTATATTAGTCTTCTAAATCTACAGATGACGTTATCTGTGATGAGCCAGTGGCCAACAGCTACAGCTGACCATAATTTGACAGAGGACATGAATAAACGCAAAATAAGAAAGTCTAAACTGCGAGACACCTGAACTCCTCTTCTTTTAAATATGAAGGACATTTAGGGGCCTCACTATTAAAACAATCAAATGGCAGATCTTCATACATATATTATTTTTTATCTAGTCACTCACTCTGAAAATATTTGCAGGAGCTACATGATCAAAAAAAAATTGTTTAGTGATAAACTAGAAATAAAATTGAAATTGGCATAGCAAGAAAAAGCTCATTTCAAACATCAGTGAGGCCTTTGGAAAATGTAGGTGGAGCCTTTAGAGGCTGCTTCCCCGTCAAGCAGAAAAAAATAGCTTGTGTAATGAATTGCAAATGCACCATGTGAGCACAGCCACTGGGTGCAGTGGGGGAGGTGAAACCAGAAACAGGGCTGTACCATGTGCTCAGAAGGTCAAAAATACAAAAAAACAAAGCTTACTTTTTGGAAACTAAATGTAATGCAAGATTTTTTTTAAATGTATATTTTTTAAAGATGACAGTCTAACTCTGCAGACTGCCTTATTCTTTAAGCTGTGAGTGACTTATGGCTGTGAGACTGACAAGTCAACACAGCTTCAAAAAGGGTCAATTTTCTGTGCATCCCTTCAGCTGGATCTGATATGAAAAGATTTTTTTTTTTTGTGATTAAACTTCACCTAACAGGAGAAAGAGAGGCACTTCCTAACTGCTCTTACCATTGACATTAAGCCCCACCCACATTCTAGGACAGTGTGGTGCATGGAAAATTACTGGGCTGAACCATTTCTGACCAGGAGGGGGTTAGACTGCACAACAGGAAAACTAAGAGTTAGCTCTTCACCGTACCTGACTTCTTCAGTGTCAATTGGACACAAACTTTCTGTTGACTCCAGTAGTTTAGGAAACTTGTATTTTCTGAAATCTTTATCAGTGTTCATCAGATGACAAAAAGTATCTAGCCCCATGATGCACTACAGTGCTATCACATTTCATCTAGATATATTACATAAGATCTCTGTGGAGACAACTTGTCACCAAGATCTGCCTTTGTTTTGGCCCTTTCCCAAAAAGGTCATTTCCCAGTGAGTTCAATGTGCTTGCTGCTTGTCGTAGAACCAAAAAAACAATTTTGCCAACACAACAGGTCCATACGTGGTAGGTGTGAATGTTTTGTGAGGATATGTTGAGAAGTCATGAAAGTACAATAAAATGAACAATAATTAATTTATCATTCACCTTTAGCATATGGATTGGGAGGTAGAACTTTGATTGCGTATGCTAGCATTTTCAGCCAACTCACTAAAGCTTCGCGGTCCTGTAACCTTCAAAACCAAAACATTGCTAAAATTCACCACCAGGAACATTTACTGTCACGCTAAAAAAATATACTTATTAGGAATTACTGCTGTTAGACTTACAAATCTTTGTTGAAAAAAATCAGTTTAAGTGTATTAAAAACATATGAATGTATTTTTAAAGTATTTTACTTTCAACTGCGAAAGCCTGCCGCTAGCCGTCTAAAGAGGGCCAACAGCAGGCTAACTGCAGGCTGCTAACTGTGCAAGGTGATCACACCAAAACTTATAAAAATACAACTAAAAATATTTGCAAAATAGTTCATAAACAAGCCTAAGTTCAAATGAGAATGTGTTCATGTGCTTCAATTCCACAAACCACTGCATTAGAATTAGCATGCTAGCTGCAGTACCTCGACTCACCGTTACTTCGCGTCGTCGACCGTTGATCGCGACCTACTGGCGTCAGAGTATATATATCACACTTTCCGCTCTGCCTCCTGTTGGGGACTCTTCCGGACCGACTGTACTGTCGCTATTGTGGTCGAGATGTGGTGTCTTTCCTCCAGTTTTTAAGCATTCAACCGAGAAAAAAAGGCAACTGAAGAACTGTGCGGCCAGACCTGTGTAGTTGAGCGTTCGCGGACTCTACCGACTGGTCTCCTCCTTCTCATGCGAACTGACTCCTCCTCCTTTCGCGCTCAAAAATCCACCATGAGTCGACGTCACCGGTAGGAGGCGGTTGGTCGAACGCGTTGAGCAGCAGTCGCGACTTCGACGATATTTTTTTGTTTTGCGGGTTTTTTTTTTCTTTTTTTGTTGCTGTGTCTCGCCTGGCTGTGGTTTGAGATCAGTAGTTAAAGGTAGGTATGAGCAGCTCCAGTTAGCATGAATGAGCAGGCAGGAGCAATACAGCAGCACCCCTGCCTGGAGTGACCAAACCGGCAGACAGTGTGGTGAAAAGTACCGCACAGAGACGACGGTTGGAACAGGGGACAACAGGGGAGAAGGATATCAGCATGGAGAGGGAGGTGGGGGGAGGTTTGCCCGCGACAGACTGAGAGTGCGGGGCTGAAGGGGAGGGCTTATACCGAGGAGGAGGAGGAGCCAGAGGAAGAGCGAATAATGTCTGTAAACTACAGACAGTCAGGGCTTTGGTTGTTTGTCAGTAGGTTAAAAAGAGGATAACACTTGTGTTTGAGTGTTTCTTATGTGTTCAATAACTGACCTCACAGGGATTGTTAAGTAGTGATCCCAATTTTACTGCAGCATTAAGATATTTTTTTTTAAAAGCCAAACAGTGTGAAAACTGTTCAGTCAATGCTTGTGAATGTTGACTCAGCTGAATTTGTGACCTGTAAGAGAAACTATGATTTTGTTTGAAATTTAAGTGATTCATGTAACCCCACAAATATAGGCTATATACATTTTTGTATGAATCAAGTGATTCTCTAAACAAGATATCCGATATACCAACACTGTGATTCTTAGCCTTCTGAAAATCATACTTTTTATTTAGATGAGCAGCATTTGTTTTTTTAAACCCTCCTCCTGTGTTAGCTTCTACAACGTACCCATCAGCAGTAAATTACACTAAAAACAAATCTCTATCATCCAAATTGGTTCTCATCTCGAGGTTAACTTGTTAGGGTTCATTATCCATAAAAATATTGCTTGTATTACTTTTTGGTGTCAGTGTACCCTCATACAGACATCAATACTGACTTGATCTCACATGTCTGGACGTGCCCGATGTTGTTATTTGTACATGGTAAAACATGGCAAAATTATAAGGGGATCTGACTGTCAGTGTGGTGCCTGAGAGTGCACTTATTATTTCAGTTTTTGCTCTAGTTATTAGATATTGATCTAACCAGGTCAACAGTGACCCTAACGGCAAGTGCCATAATCTTAATAAGAGCATTTTATAATTAAGTCAATTAAATTTTTTATTTTCATTTTGTTGAACTAGAGGTTGCTGACAAAGTCAAAAAGTCTCGATTGAAGTGGTTCTTTTAAGAATTCAAAACAAAAGGTGGTCGCTGCAGACCCTCACACAGGAGGAGGGTTAAGCAGTTAGCACTCCTCTGGTCTTCTACTGCATAATCAGTTGTCAGCCATTTTGTTGAATCACCTTGCAATTCCCAAAAAGGCCAACAGAGGGCGAGTCATGGTGGTTTTTGTCTTTCAGGAGGTCTTGAAATGTTCCTGTTCTCATTGATACACCCTTCCACCGACTGGCTTGTTTCCACACCAAAGGATAATTTTCTTGTTAGCTGCTGGTTAGCTGTGCGTCTCACTTGCACTGGGGTCTGCTCTCTTCCTCTCCTGCACTTGTGCACATCAGTCAGAGACTGCTATGCTGGTCTAAAAGGGAAAAAAAGCCTGAGGGCTAGGCAAGTCTTTTCTGCTACCCAAAGGTGTGAACAAATGCAGCTAGGCTACAATTAGTTCGTTGAAGCTGTTATGACCAGGGAAGATTGAAGTCGGCGCATAGAGCACCAGGATTACATTACACAGCCTGATGATCAATAATACATTTTTCATGCTACACTGACACAAGTCATAGTACGAGGAATAGCTCCTAAGAGGCAGTCACGTAGCTCAATATCCTTGTCAAATTTTTCTCTTTTTAAAAAATCTGTGTTATTGCCTCTGAGACAGATAAGAAAAATGACCTGGTGAGAAGGTGTTTCATTCTGCTTGGCCTTACTAGGTGTTGTCCGCCCACTGTCTTTTTCTTGTCATGAGGAAAGAAAGAAGAATGGAAAAAAAGCACAAACTGCACATGAAAGACAGCTAATGTCTTTAACCCTCGATCGATATGATCAGCAAAGGCCAACAATATAATTGAGTAGACTTCATTTTCTCCGGTGAGTTAAATTTCTTGCCTTGTTAAATACATAAAACGTGTTGCTGTTTCCTAAGTATTTATAATAACAAACCTAAACCTTGTATCAGCAAGAGCAGTAGGCTTCCTAATATCCATACAGCTTCATTACGTTGAAGTTGTTGGATTAGAACAACTAATGAGGCCATAATTTTGATAATGGGGGAATTTTATGATAGAGTAAGCTTTGAGTTTCCCTTTGAAAATAAATAAAGTTCTTCTTATCTTGAAAAAACAGATCAGAAACAGATGTTTTCGAAGAGTTTACATACCCCGCACCGTGCAGTCATGAAAGGGATGCTGAAAAGTAGGTGAACAAACAAACATCTGTGACCTTAGCTCTGTCTACTAACAAACACATTGATGGTTAACAGCATGCTTCACTTGAACTGATAATGTAGTTTTCTTTATTTGACTGATCCCTGCATAAGCCTGTAGCACTTCAAAAAAAAGCAAACTCTCGAATAATCCCTGACTTGGAGTGTTTGTTTTGCTAACAGTGTAGTGCTTCACTGCAGAAATACATCCAGTCTCATTAATCAAACACAGAGCTTCTTAGCAGCCTTTACAAATAGACATCAGCTTAATTTTATACCGTGTAATCATTAAAAAATGTAATAAAAATAACATAAAATTAGGATTTTTCAAGTGTATTCTGTGCAAGCTTGTTGGATAGGAGGGTCATGGCTAAAAACCTGAGTATCACTGTTACGTAACGATCAGGTGTCCTTTGGTTAAAAAAACACAAAAGGGTAAATTAAAGTGGCCTATCATGATTTACATATATTAAATGCAGAAAGGAGGAAAAAAAACACATCACTAAGCACAAAAGATGAAAATTTTAGCAACACATTCTCATGGTTAGTTGAAGCACGAACATGAAGAATACAGAGAGAGCTAAAAGAACGCCCATATGTGCTTGTTCTGCTGACATCTAGAGGTCGTGGTGAGTATTTTATGTCGTACTATCTGAATGTGTGGTTTTCCTTGACACAGTAACACCCTGAAGATTTGATTAAAAAAATATCACTCAAGCTCATGTTCTGTTCATTACTCAACATTAAACTTTCGTTGACAACACAGTTTTTCACATCACAATGCTGACCGTTCATCATCAGCAATAACAAGCAAATCTTTTACCTCGAATACTAAGGTTCAGTGCATTTCAGTATGAGTTGAAATAGTTTGAAATTGTAGTTTCCTGACGGTGAAGGTATGTCTTTCACCTGGGATACATGAATTTGCTCATGGGATGCAAATCAGTTCACTCGTAACATAGTTGTGTAAAGCAGAAACAAAGAACAAACCCATTTCAGTCACTTGGACATCACCCATGTCAACTCAAAAACAAACACTGACATGCAGGCCACACACAGAGTGCATGCTATTTCCTTAGCTCCTTATAATTTCAATAACGGCACATTCACATTTGAAATCAGTCACACAGTCTTGGTGTTCCTGCCATAGATCCAAGCAAATGCCTACTGAATAAAAAGGCAGAAGAGAGAACTATAGCTTGCAAGTTTCTCAGAAATTCTCGTTTTTGTGAACAGTCCTGAACAGCGTAACTTTGTCCTAAACTTTCTTTGTTCCGTATGTAGGTGATCTTATACTTGAAGGCACGCAGTATCCAAAGTACAATGACTGACCACCTTGAGGAACATCAAGACGCCCCCTCCCCAAGTCCAAGGTCCAACGATACTTTGGTCGCTTTCACACTAGCCTCCTTTGGTCCAGATATTAGGACTTTTCAGTTTGATCCGAAACAAAATTTCATGTCTAAACACTCCCCCGGACCACAGTCTAGACTTTTGTCGGACAAAATAAGCGGACCATGGTCCCCCAAAAAAGTCGGGACTCGGTCCGGTTCGAAGTGAACCATGGTCTGGTTTGCTTCAGGTGAGAATGTAACCAGACTTTTGATAGAACCAAATAAAGGAAGCAAACCAAAACAGCAGTGCATCATGGGTTGAAGACGGATGTGTGTTACCAGCTAAGAGAATAGGAAGTGGAGGGTCTGTGAGCACTAGCAGCTCGACAGAGAGGAGGAGGAAGCTGACGGGTTATAATTTATCAAACCAAAACGTCGGAAACTACTGGCAAAAGGACAGGTTACATCGGAAATCAATACTACAGTCGTTAATGGTTCACATCCCATCATTAGATCTACTGGCCAGAGTTCATGTAATGTTGAAAACATACCTCACTCATCTTCAGCATAATAAATACAAAAAAAACATAGGCACCCATAAGGGCCAGCCTTCGTCTTCTGTAACATGTCCTTAGAACCATGTCATACAGTCTATGGTCATGGCTCACATGTCTCCATCCATCCTGGTTGCAGCACAATATCAATATAATAGCTGTCAAAGCTAGTGCTATACGCTGACGCTGCTCCACTGTTGACGGAGAAAAAAAATGACAGAAGGTGATTTTCTCTTGCAAATTTTCTGACCAATGGCTGAACGACCTGTAGGCCGCATGTGATTTGTTTACAAAAAAGGTATGTTTTGACAAATCACAGTGTGAACACAGACCAGACCAAAACTTGATTGTAGCAATATATCATTTCTTCCCTCTGATCCGGACTTCAAGGTGTGAAAGCGACCATAGACATGCTGCTCGGCAAAGTTCTCTTTGGCATTAGACTGTTGAGCTTGTATTCTTTGGGCTATCAACCATGTGAGCTCCCCCACACTGAATGATTAACATTTTTACACATCCTTTATGCAGTCAAGAAACAAACACCCCCGCCCATTAACATATCATCTCATAAATGGCAGGAAATTACAACAGTATCCAAATATAGTAAAGGTTGCAGCTGTGGTCTGTACTGGTAGAACAAAGAGAGCTTAGTTTATCATCAGGTTCCTGCTTATCAGTTCAATGTCACACTGTTGGGAAAACAACCTGTGAGTGAAATTGAAGCTTTCATTTAGTTGCATGGCTTCAGTGGAAAAGTATCAGCCACATCTTAGGTTGGTTCTTGATCATCAAACTATGAGTGTGGTCTAGACCTGCTCTTGTTCTTTGAAAAGCGTCTTGAGATGACGACTGTTGTGAATTGGCGCTATATAAATAAAATTTGATTGATTGACAACTGCAAGGCTGCACTTCTCCTTTCTCATGCTCATTAGCTAAAACAAACATATAATCCTGCAAGCATTCACACCAAGTAATTTTCAGTAAATGATAATTAACATACTGTACATATACAATGATAAAATACACGTTACAGCACACACATACAATTTTTCTTACAACTCAATAAAGCTAACTTCTTAAAAAATTTCCTTTTTTCTTTAGATCCCAACATTCAATTGTTTAAAAAGTAAAAGATGAAATTATTGCCTAAAATCCCATATTTTTATTTTTATTTTTCCCAGTGAAAACATAACCAACTGTGAATATTTGTAAAACATCATCTCATAAATAGACAGCTGCTATTTACTTGTTTGGACTTCTAGACTCATGGCAACAAACACAATACAGGCTTGAAAAGTTAAGAAAGACAATAAACACCCAAGAAGGGCCATGGTCATTCTCATGACTTCCTGCACTGACATAGTTCTTTGAGGGGAATGAAAGTATCAGCTGAATTTGATCTGCAGCCAAGGGGAATGAATGACTGAAACTCTGTTGGCAGAGTTGAGGCCACAATTCTTTCTTGCAGACCATATGGGCGTGTTCAGGTCCTGGAGGGATGGCGTATTGCTGCAGATCACCTTCTAGGATGAGAGAGTTCTATGCTGCTGTCTGCAGTGGCAGCAGCACAACAGATGGTAATGGGGGACGGTAGGATGGACTCAGAGATGATGGTATAGAGTTACACCACCAATAATTAAGGCAGGTTGAACCTTATCAGCAGCTGCAGAAAAAGATGAAATTTAGGAGTGCTTCAACACCCCCAAAAAAATGGTCTGTTGAGACCTGAGAGTTTGCAATAAATTATGTTACTCTCCAACAAAAAACAGACAAGGGCATATAAAGGTGAATTTAGGAGCACGTAATGAAAATAATACAATACAAGCGTTTAGGAAGTTGCTACGATGACCATAGTCTGATTTCTTTTTGATAGGAGCTACCATTTTGTCAAAATAAGCCCAAATAGAAGACCAGCACCAAGGCAAAAAAATCACTCTTTTTCTCGTTTTGACTGCTTCAACCTGCTGTGTGCCTATCATCATGGGCAACCAGCTCAAGTTGATGTGGCAACCTGTGAGCCTCAGGCCAGGCCCACAGCTGAGACCAATTAACTAATCAGGGATTGCTTTAAAATCTTTGCATCATTGAATCCTTTTTAAAGCAATTTGTTTAACGATAAAATGTGGACTCTCAGTTGAAATCCTTTTTAGGATTAAGGGGGAAACACACCAAGACACTTGCCCCTGTACAATAGAGATGCTTTAAACTTTACAGCGAGGCCCCAGGCACTGTTATTATACTGTGGATTTTTTTCGTATTCTTCTCTACGACAAATTTCCATTTGCTACTAGTCCTACAGCTTGAACAGTTGAAGAACAAATTAGAAAGTACAGACACTGCATTACGGATGGCACAGTGGTGTAGTGGTTTGCACTGTTGCCTCACAGCAAGAAGGTCCTGGGTTCGAATCCGGGTCAGGGCATTTCTGTGTGGAGTTTGCATGTTCTCCCTGTGTCTGCGTGGGTTTCCTCCCACATCCCAAAAACATGCCTAAGTGGGGTTAGGTTAATTGGCCACTTCCAAATTGCCCATAGGTGTGAATGTGAGCGTGGATGGTTGTTCATCTCTATATGTCAGCCCTGCGATGAACTGGCGACTTGTCCAGGGTGTCCCCTGCCTTCGCCCGAAGATGCTGGGATAGGCTCCAGCCTCCCCGTGACCCCGGGAATGGGAATAAGCGGTAGAAAATGGAAATGGAAATGGAAAGACACTGCATTACTAACTAGCATTGAGCTGAAACATTGCAGAAAATGCCAATGGAGAAACATGTTGCGCTCATTAGAGTGTTGGCACCTATGGAGAAGGTCCAACACAGAAGCATAAACTCGGCCTAAGTCGATCTGATCAAGTGCCAATGAGCACCAGGTGTAACTCATTCACTCACCTTTCATAAAGATCAGGTACACCATCACTGTGCAAAGATAGACCCTTGGCACTGGCTCTTGGAAGGGAGAGCAGCAAGACAGACTTGGTAAACCCAAGTGTGTAGGGCAGATGAATTGGGAAGGACTAGTGGAGGCCCCTATCTACAAGGTCTTTGACTCCTACCTCCAGAAGGATTTCTTGCGCATCCTGGGAGAAGTTGGGGTCATGGAATCTGAAACAAAGCTGTCATTGTGGAAGCAGCTGCCTAAAGCTGTGTCCTGAAGGTCAGTGGTGCCTGTTGCAACTTTCAGGCATGGTGGTGGACACCAGAGATAATGGAAGCCATCCGTCTTGAGATGGGGGGCCTTTTGGGTTTGGATATCCTCAGGTCTCTAGAAGTAGCTGACAGGTATAAGGACGCCTGCAGTTGTCGTAGTCACAGAGAAAAAAAACCTGGGTGCACGAGGAGTTCAGGGAGGGAGTTTGTTTGGCCTCAAGGAGGTTCTGGCAAACTTTCAGGCACCTTGGGAAGGGATAGCAGGGCTTGGCTCAGGCTGTTCTCAGCAGGAGTGGAGAACTGCTGATCTGGACTGGGGATGTTGCCGGATAGTGGAGGGGACTCTCTGAGGACAATCGCACCAAAGCACTGCCCCATAAACAAAAGTATAGGGGCCAAACAAGCAGTTTGATCAGGATCAGTGCGCTATTACTTTTCTCTATTGCACATGGATTTTTCATGACACAAGTTGCGAAAAACCTCAGAAAAATTTTGCCTTGAATTCAATGGGGCAAACGTCTACTGCTCCAGCGTACTTTCACCTAGAGACTCCATCTAAACTATGTAGACACACTCTATATGCATGTTTTTCCCACAGTTGTAGACACACTTGTTCTCGTTCATCTAAGCAGAGAGACACAGAGAATTGAAACACTGAGCCTCTAAGTGCGGCAATGTCTCTCTTTGCTCCTCATTGAGGCTTTTACAAAGATTTTCTGAGAGAAGCAGAATGGACTTGTTTGCAACTTGGGAATGTGTCAGAACTGTTTAATGTAGAAACACCAACATGATATCAAAGTGTTCAGGAAGTTCCTTCGATGACCATAGTCTGATTTCTTCCTGATAGGAGCCATCATTTTGTCAAAATAAGCACCAAGGCAAAAAAATCGCTCTTTTTCTCGTTTTGACTGCGGTGTGCCTATCGTCATGGGCAACCAGCTCAAGTTGATGTGGCAACCTGTGAGCCTCAGACCACAGCAGAGACCAATTAACTTATCAGGGATTGCTCTTATAACTCAGCATCACTGATTAGCTTTTAGAGCAATTGTTGAACAATAAAATGCTGACTTTCAACCAGAACCTTTATTTTGGTCATACCGAGGCACTGGCCCCTGTACAACAGAGATGTTATAACCTTTACAGCAGGCCCCCATACAATAGTGCCTTGGGGCTACCAAGGCACACCAAAACAGGTGTTTTAATCTAGATCTTTTCTCTTATGTATATGAATTTTTCACAACGTAAGTTTTGAAAAACTGAAGAAAACTTTTGCATTGATGAAAAATATTTAAAAAGTTATGTGCATAACAAAAGCCACACTCCTCTCTCCCACAGAAAGCCCTTTAAAATGTACGGATTGTTAAACCCAGTTTAACCAGATTTCTTGGGTAACAAAAATTACCCATCGGAAAGCTAGATTGTCCCTCACTCAACAATCCTTATATTGTAGGTTTCCTTAAATGAAAAATAAAGTGGATATGTGGCTGGATCACAATTACATTTGCTTTGGAACACATTTCAAGTTCAACTGGTAAACCGTTGTCTTAACTTGCTTTTCTGTGCAGGAATAAATTCTGCCCAAATGTGTATAATGACGGAGATTCTGCAGGCTATAACATTGCTAGTCTTAGACTACAGGGACAGAATAAGAATACTCATTGACCAGCCTTTGCTGTATATATTTTTTCTGGAAGTGCTAAATATGTACATTTTTTTCTGTTTTTTACTGCAATTGTTTTAGGATGCCCCTGGACAAAACATTTCAGTCTTTGTGGGTTCTGTTGGCTTGAATAAAATTAAGAAATTCACCAAAATCAATTAAATAAAAAAGTCAAATCATTTTGATTCCACTTATATATGTAAAGAGTCCGGTTTTGTACATATTTACAATACAGACAATCTCTTCGATGTGGGTAAATAACTTTCAAAAGATCATGGGAATGTGATTTTATTTAATAAAGAATAAATTACAATAAGACATTAATGTATAAACAGCTCAAATTGAAACAACTTTAAATCATATCTCAATGTGTCACAGCAACTTGAAAAAAAGTTATTAGATAATTTACATCGTGAGGTTCACTTTATTCAGATTGATGAGAGATATGTTGGTTTTCTCTGTCAGTTTTGTTACAGGAGTGAAGACAGCGGTGTCTCACCTCATGATACAAAAATGTAATGTACACATCACACATTCAGACAGTTGCAGTAATGTGCGACCTGATTGACTGAGAGCAAACAGGTGATATGGACACAAGCATGCACAAAAAAATACTGTCTGGACTTGACTGAAACATTTGACTGCACTGAGATCACAAACAACTACTATCAGTTTGTTGCACATACCTCTCTCTTCAAATCAAAACTGCACAAGCGTCAATAATTGCATAAAACCTCGACTCAACTTAAAAAATAATCATCAGAAATTAAATTTCTTGTAAGTTTGGCTTAGTTCTCCTCAACTGTAGACAGTACATACTAGAACAGTGTTTTTTTTTCTTTTTTCATAAAGAATACTAAATAAACATTATCCAGACCTTATCTGGAGGGATGTATAAGTTATCACTGATTGGAGGACTCAAATTATTAACTTTACGGATGATTAAATTTGACCAAAAATCCCAGCAGTCAGTAATGTCCACGGAGGACACAATCAGTCTGTTTCTCTGTATCAAGCCACTAAATAAAAACAGCAGAGTGCTGCCACCAAGTGGCAATCAGGGTGACTAACTTAAAATTAGTAACAAAACTGAACACCAGATTTGAGCTCAGCTTTTTTCCACTAAAACTGTACTTGGCACAAGTTTTCCTTTTTCTGTCAAATGAGTACAGTTAGAAAGAAAAAGGAAAAAACTAATATTATTAAAAAGTGAATGGTCTTTAAAAACTGACACTGAAATTTAAATTTCTGTAATTAAAAGAGCTTGTTTGAAAAGTTAATTTTTCAATGTTATTAGCCATGCTACTGACACAGGTAAATAACATGCAGCAGGCTGTTAGGTAAATATTGAGTACATGTTTCTGTTCAGCTGTGATATTACACACAGAGCCAGTCTGAAAAAGGTAAAAACTTAAATCCTCTTTGTCTTATTAAAAAATAGGCATTTCGTGTAAGCTTGGGCACAAATGCAAAAATTACTTTCCTTTTTTCCCCTTTTGTCCCACATTATTCAGTTTGCTTGCAGTGAATCATAGACCCTGTAGTATGCACAGTCATGCATCTCGTGGACCCTATAATTACATGCACTCACTGCTGCTCATGGAATTGCATTGATTTATTACCGATGTCTCTGCTTCTTCTCATCTAAATGTGCAGGTCTGTCCAGAATTGAATCATACAATCAAATAAAAACAGGGTGAGGGGATATTAGAGAATTTCCTTTGATGAAAGCGAGGATAATAGTCCACAACATTTTGTAGTAAAAGTCCTCCTGACAGTAAAGCCACACAGGTTTTTCTAATCAAACAAAAACTTGCTTCTTATGCTTTAAAGGAGTAAACTGTTGAGTCACCTACAGAGCTAACTTTAATATCACTTCAACACAGAATTATTGTATTAATTATTCCAGTAAATCATCTAATCTGTCTGAAATCAGACATTAGTTGCTACACAACATTTGAACCGAAATAATAATGTGGCACTTTCTAAGCATGTACTACTTGTAGGATGTTCATGGAAAGGCATTGGCAGTAGAGAAAGTGTACGTTTTATAATGGCACTAAGATTTTGGGTGGGAATGTCTTTTCATGTCAAAGTTCATAGGTATGAAAATGACGATATTAATGGGACATGATATGATGTTTGAGAGGTTTGATATGTGTCTGTGGTGGTGTCGGGAGGCGGTGTAGGTGATTGGTGGCGTTCAGAGAAAAACGATTGAATTACACCAATTTTCGAAAGCTTTTAAAGTTTTCCAAGCATGCAGTGATGCTGTGGTAATAATGATTAAAATACTTGTAGACTCATCGGTTAGCTTCATTGCACTTTTTTTTATTGTTACCAGTCTTGACAGAATAGTCTCCTGACTGACTACAGGTTACTTTCCTGCGTGTCATTGGCGATGGGGTGCAGACCACCGTTTTCGTTCAGTCTTTTGGCACGATAGGTTTCGTAATGAATATTGTGAGTGACCTCCTTCAGATCCTGGAGGTGAGACCTGAGGAACACAAAGATACCAGAACAAAAAGGGGATACATTACAGGTCATGTACCTTGAAAATGAAATGGTCTAATACAGTGCAAAAATCTAAGTAAATCAAAAAGTAGCACTGGATCCAAGAAGGAAATTGGTATGATAGATGCTATACAAACTGAACTGGTCTCTGCCTCTCAAATGTAATGCTAATGTTTTTTTTAGCATTCTGTGGTATCTTCATTTTGGAGATGAAAATAAAAGTTTTCTCAATGTTTACCAGTGTTTTAAAATTAAATAATGACTCGATATATAAGAACAATAACCAGCAGAGTTCTGCCCAGTTGTTCCTACACTTCAATTATGATTTGCATATCGATCAATAATGATAAAGATTGAAGAATAAGTAAAACAATATAGAAAAATAGATAGTTTCCCACAATTTCTCATTATATTGTATGTAGTTGTGTCTTTAATTTGTGTTTATTAAACAGTTTGGACCTAAAATGATCGAGTTGAATTTTCTTTACCTTATCAGGAAATCCCTCATCTGAGCAAACTCGCAGTGGTTGGGGTTTTCAACTGCAATCACAAAATCAGGCAATATTACATTTGATTCATCAAGTCTTTCAGCGAGGACCATCAAAATGAATTCTGCAGCGAAGTGACATTGAACTGGATTGATGAAATAAATGAAAGACTAATGAACACACCCTCGATGATTCCCCACGGTGTCTTCCTCCCAAGAACTCGTTTGTTGTTCACTTGATATTCTTTGTCACTGCCCACCACAGCAAAGGGCATGGCCTCCTACGGATAGAGACATATGTAAACACAGGGTAATCAGCGTACAGCACAGAGTCATACGTCTACATGATTGAGCAAAGACACAACATGCCCCAGTGCCTTGACATTCAGTCTGGGGGAAATGATGCATGACTGTGGGAGAGACAGTGTCTAGGTGAGAGGGGGAAATGGGTGGGGCGGACTCGTGTTTTAAAGGAGGAGGTGAATAATTGGGCAAATGTGATTTAAAAAAAAAGACCAGAAGCACTCACTCTAATCTTGTCATTGTCACTCTTGTCTTCCATGTCCTCATCGAACTCTTTCTGCGGGTAAAACTCAATCCCGCTCGTCTCCAGCTCCTTCCTTACCTACAAAACACAAATGAAGACACATCTTTGACACACTGACACATTTAACCTACAGATAAGCACTAACACTGATAAGTGGACCTGGCTAATTATCAGTTAAGTTGGGATCATGTTAAAACCTACCCGCTGCTTAAACTCCTGTCTCTCCTCAATGGTCATAGTGTCTGCCTTGGCTATGACAGGAATAATGTTGACTGAGTGACTCAAGCGCTTCATGAACTCGATATCCAGCTGTCGGAGACTGGCACAAACACACAGACAGAGAAACAGCTAGAAGACAGCACACAGATGAGAAGTGTGTAAGCAGGTAGATTTAGGTGCCTGGTTTCTCCCAGGGGGCTTGTATGAAACAGTGAAAAGATGATCGGGATAATGAAGTGCAAAAGGGGGCAGAGGTTTTGTTTGTTATGTTTCATGTCACAGTACTTTTCCTGCACTGAGTGTTGTAACAATTACAAAAGATTTACAGTGTGAAGGCGACTGAAAAATAAGCTCATTAGTAACAAAGGCTGAGTCCCAGTTCTTGTTTGTTTGCACACAAAACATCCTGTCAGTCTCAATTACCTTGGTTTAAAAAGGACGTGATACACTGGCTGTAAAACATGAAAGACTGTATTCTTTCCTTAATTAAAGAACAATTTCACAGTTTTCAGCAGTAGCTAATTGTGAGGTGTTCAGAGAAGTGGGAGAGCGTGTGTTGTCTGTAATATCAAGTAGCACATTTGTATTAGGACGTTGCTTTTCTAAGATGAACTGCTTTAGTCAAAAGGATATGAACCCCGTGTGTGTGTCTTTTATCCAGTTCAACTTACGAATGTCCAGTCGGGGAGATGAAATACAGACAGCAGTGCACCCTGGTGTCAGGGATGCGCTTTTTTCTGGTGATATTGACCTCCTCCTTTAGGAACTTCTCATACTGCTCATTGATGAACTTTGAAATGGGCTCCCAGCTGTTGATACAGAGAAAAGGGTTACTTAAAAATGAGCTTGAGGCTCATGAACGCATGCCTGGACTTCAAGTAAAGGTGAGTTATGAAGATTTGATGATACTAGAGAAGAAAAACCTACCAGTTGTCATTATTGATTTGGTCCCCAAACCCTGGGGTGTCCACAACTGTCAGTTTCATCTTAACACCGCCCTCCTCAAGGACTGTAAAAAATCACGCAAAAAGAAAACTATCATTCTTAGATACTCATCAGGCTGTGTTAAATACTTGTTCCTGATTGGTCAAATCCTCTGGACAAGCCCTCACCAATGGCAACTGATTCTGATAGCTAGATCAATACTTATGTTGCGTTCAAGTTACCTCGGAAGTCAGATGTCTGAGCTGGGAATGACGTCACACCCGAGTTACCAGCGTTTCAGTTACCAAGTCGGAAAAAAGCAAAATTGGAGATGGAAACAAGATGGCTACATCTACAAAAGGGGATGCTCAAATAACTTAAAATAACTAACATAACAAGCACTAAAATAACTTAAAATAACTAAAATAACAAGCGCTAAAATAAATTTTGTAGATGTAGCCATCTTGTTTCTGCCTCTGATTTTGCTTTTTTCCGACTTGGTAACTGAAACGTTAGTAACTCGGTTGTGACGTCATTCCCAGCTCGAACATCTGACTTCTGAGGTAACTCAAATGCAGAATTAGGACTAATAATTCACACACATCACACGGAATCAACCTGCTGTAAAGCAAGTCGATGACACTGCACTGAGCAAAACCTTTATGTTTCTGTTAGCATCTTTAAATTACCAGGCTGAGCAACATGTTTGTTTTAATATTAGATCTTAGCCTGCAATCCAAGAAACAGAAACAGAGCTGAAGTCACTGGTAGCTGCACCCATGAGTTATAGCGATGATAGTAACAGTGTTCGCCTCATTTATTTTTAAAGGTCTGTCAACTAAAAGGCCTCATGAAGAAGAAGAGCTGAAGGAGGACAAAAGTCATTATTTCAATTCTTGCGAATCACTCATTCACCTTGGCTAACCTTTGATGGAAACGTTCAATTAAATGTTAACAAATAAGCTAGTAAATGTTTGACTGTAAATTGTGAAAGAGAATTATAATCAATTTGGACACGAAATATTCCTACAGAAGTCTGGTTCACCTTGTCAAACACAGCCTTTAAAAGAAGTGTTAGGTTACATAGTGATAATGTCAGTATGCTTTTTTCACTCAACCTGCAAGAAAGCAGATCAAAATCTGCTTTTTAAATCTATATCATTGATAAACAAATAAATACATCTCCTTTTTAAAGACTTTTTATTATTTCATGTCAGTTTGTTTGTTTATGACTCTAGTCTGTAGTTAATAAATGTAGGTATGTAAGTATTTAAATCTTGTCCCACCCTAAAAGGATCTGATTAAATACCTCTTTACCATGCATTGTGCAACTGGTCCATATTTGATACAGACAGTATTTGAAATCTTCATTTACAACTGTGGTGTGGCAACTTAGACTGAGCTCTATCCAAGAGTTTGTTTCCCTGGTTCTGTTAAATCCCCGAGGACATACACAATTTCAGTCTTTCGTTCATTTCCAAATGTCAAAATGAGCCTGTAAGCTCCACAAGGAAGAGTGCCCAACACACCAGAGAGCTGCCTGCCGCAGAAACTGATTTGATACTAACACTGGGGGATGGGTGCCTAAGTCAGATATTTTAATGAGCCACATAAGACAGCTTTTAATCAGATAATTTTCTGTGTCCTTGCTAATCAAGCGTTATTTTAACTACAGATCAGGGCTGCACAGTGTTCATTCTTTCAGCAGAAGTGTGTGCATCTTCTTTTTTTTGTTTGAGGAGCTCAGTGAAGAGGAGAACGATCTGGATTTCTTCCCTAATAGCACTGTGGGAAAACCACAAACTGAGTCAATTGAGATTGTTTGGTAGAACAGTTCCAAATCTTTTAGGCTTCAAATGAGGTATTTGCTATTATGCAACGGCCCAGAGAGTACTGCTCTGGAAAAATAAGGAAACCTCAATCCTCTCTTATCTCTTAATGAAACTTGCCCTTGATTTAAGGAACTTGGAGCTTTTGCTACAAACTGAAAAGACTGTGCGGCTTATTCTAAGCATCTGAATGAAATAAATCCAAAAGGCAAATAAAGACTAGCTGGAATAATATGAGCATGCACTCTGAAAGGGTGGACACTGTTTCCAGGGAAATTACACAGCTTGTTGACTGTTTAAGATTTTACATTTTACAAGCTCAGTCTATCAAATGTATGTCAAATGAAAACAAAAAGAATCCCCTTTAAAGCATGCAAATACCATCAAAGCTGTGGGCAACAGTCTGTCAGATTGAAAAAAAAACGTCTATCTTAGGGGAAAATCCGCACTTAAGTAGTGGGCATCCATAAACCAAGAATAATCTCGACAAGATGATGAGGCAGACTTTTGTGCGGTTTAGTCATGGAAGAGTCTCAGAAATACGGTGAGGCTGCTCATTACTGACCGTCAGCATGGATGACTGGGCACAATGAAACCCTGCACATTACTGCTGATATGAAGAGTTGAATAAGTCATCTGTTATGTAACGCTGAAGCTCACCATAAAGCTCAGACAAATAAAACACACAGATGTGGTTGTATGTCAAACTTCACTTCACTTCCACTGCAAACCATAAACACATCTCGCAGGCAAGTGTTTCAGCGTTGTCATTTTTAATGGTCTAGTTGTGGTATTTTGGTTGTGCTATGGTGATAAGTAGGGCTGGGCGATAAACCGAAAATTTACCGATACAGAAATTTACGACAATAACCGACGTCATTTTGCCCATATCAATATATTCTGTGCCAAAAAAATAAATACACAAAAGTTGTTTTTGGATGTGTGCAGGTAGGCTATGGTCTCATGTCCCTTTAAGACGTTGTCCTACATGGGAGACGTGACTCCACCCCATCCAGTCCGTAAAAAAGAGGGAAAGACAGGTGAGGAGATGGAGGACGGTTCAAAAGTTGTAGCGGCTGAAGTAGACGAAGTTAATGTGGGAGGGGGTGAGCAGCTTGTGGAGTAGTTATCGTCCATTTATCGTTATTGAGGTGAATAGCTCAATATAAAGTGATTCGTGATATTGATTTATCGCCCAGCCCTAGTGAAAAGGGATATTCTCATTTTTGTTTGTAGATTCACAGAATCAGGTACTGCTGTGGTACTAACATGTGTGGTAGCATTTGGCGGTGTTATGGTTCCTGGCTGTGCTGCAGTATTTGGTCAGGTTGTGATTATTGGCTGTGTTGTGGTAAAAAGAAACGCTGTGATTTGAGTTTGCAGAAACTGTTTTTGTTCTAGAGTTCTATATTATTTGTATTATGTTGTAGTGATTTGTTGTTTGGAGGTAATTGAAGGTGTAGTGGTCTTTAATGATGATGCAGTTCGTGGTTGTGTCATAGTATTTAATTGTGTTAATTTTGGCTGTGTTGTGTTGTGTGGTAATGTCATCTGTATTTTCAGTGTGTTTTTATATTGAGGTTGCATCACAAAATTTCTAACACCCTCTCTTAATTGATGTTTTTGGCCCTACAGACTACAGCTGTTGGCAGCCTGTGTGTCCACAGGCAGGGTGTTTTTAGTGTGACATCACATCTGTCATCTGGACCAAGCGCTGGTAAACATAATCTGAATGGCAGTCTGTTATTACTTGTTACTTTTTTCTTTGCTCGTAACCATAATGATTTTTCTTAATATTCGGTTATTATTAAAGACTCACTCCATTAAAACCAAACTGTCTTTGTACCAGGGAGACGGGGCATTTTGAGAGAATAGGATTTGAATTTAAACTGTCACAATAATACTGCAAAAGATGACTGCAGAAGACTCAGACAGAGTTGATAAACTTCACTGATACTTGTGAAGTCTGAGTTTCAAAGAAAATTTACAGTGTATTATAAAGTAGGTCTCCTTTCAGAATAAAATTTAGGAAAAAGGATTTTTCTTTAGTTAACCAACACAGCTAACAGCAAAGACAGAGTCAATGTTGATGAATGGTTTAAGACTTTTACACAGAAAGGATATACGTTGTCGAAAAGTTCTATAATTCAATTGCAATGAATTAGCACAAAGGAGCTTCCAAGCTGCAGATAATATGACACAGATTATTTAACAAGTCTCAGTAGGATTTCTTTGAGGATGGTCAAAGATAGCTCATCTTCTCTATCAAATTAAATGCTGCTATAAATGTCTGGCTCCAAAGAAAGAACAGCGGCTCTGTCACTGCACTCACCATGAGACACTGCTTTAATCTCCACAGTTTTGGGGATCTTCTCATCACGGGCCCACCCTGCACTCTTCCTGCTCACCTGGGACTTGAAGAGGCTGTTCACCAGAGTTGACTTTCCAAGACCACTATGACCTGAGAAAAGAAGGAGAGGAAAAACTGCGCTGAAAAGGTGGATTTGCTTTGCTTTTGCCAAAAATCAAAAGAGTCTTAAAACTGAGGATGAATGTATAATTTGTTGCTTACCAACAACCATGATATTAAAGTCAAAGCCGGTCTTCATGGTCTTCTTCCTCATCTGCTCAATGATCGTGTCAATGCCAATATAACCCAGCAATGTTGATCCCCCACTGGAGCTGTGGGAGCCCACATGGGCATGGCCTCCATTGAGTGCTGCAGTGTGAGCTCCCCCATGGCTGGCCCCATGGCCTACACCATGACCCACACCATGACCCACACTGTGAGTGCTAACCTCCCTGGGGCCATGACTCCCAATGGGCACTGGAATAGCACTCGGAGGAGGGGGAGCAGCTCCTCCAATGCCAGGGCCCTGGGGTGGGAAAGGGCTTGACGGGGAAGGAGCCCCCACATTTGGGGGCTTGGCAGGGACAGCTGGTTTTGGTCTCACTTCTGGGGGAACTACGTCTGACATGTCTAGAGAAGAAACAGAGGATAAAAAGTAACATTTTTATTAACACATGTTACTGCCAAATGACTAGAAAGTAGGCCAGTAGAGATCTTCCCTGTTTCATATTTTTGTCAGAGTCATCTGAGTGGGATGGTTCACCAAACTTTTACTTTTTGCACAATTCTTGTTTTAACATATCTGACTTTGAAATAAAGAGGCAGGATTTCTGGGGCTGTTAAATTTGTTATAAGATACACAGACACCAGAAATCATTATACAATTCAGCATACTGATTAGTTGGGTTGTCCTCGAATTCTACCCTCAAAGGTCAGGGGTGGGCTTGTTATTCAGGACAGAGAAAATGATAGTCATGCTACAACAACATGTCATTGGAGTCCGAAACACTTAGCATTGATTATGTTATTCATATATCAGGGTCAATGACGTATAAGGTTTTTAAACATGCCAATTTTAATACAGCAAAAATGGGAATATATTTTGCAAAAGGAAACACTAAGGATGTTGTTTATACTAAAATTAATGTTAAATTTTTAAATTACACAATTTTTAGTACTTTTTCATATAGATGAATTGGCTGTGGCCTTAAAAAATGTCATGTGGTGCGACCATAAATTATCTCAAAATTATTACATTTTTTCAACATACTTAATAGTTTTTTACAAATTGTTGGTAATATCAAGTAGATAGAAACCAAGTGTTTGCATTTCATTTGAGTTTTTGTAAATAATGATCTCACATTTTAGCTCTATAATGTCCCAGTCGCTAAATTAAATGTAGTTAACTGACTAATATTTTCTTTAAACTGCATAATACTAATAAAAATGTTTTAAAACTACCTGTCACTTAAGCATATTGTACCAGGGATTAATGTTTCAGTTACAGAAATTAGATATTTTAGTTTGTATTTCATACAATTAATGTTATTATTGGTCGCACCACATGATATTTTGACACTTTGAAGTTCAGAAAAATTACAAATAAGACCTGATTTTTGAAAAGGTGAAGTGACAACATATATGAGAGAGATACTACATATAGAAAGTATATTTTTGTGCATTTAAACCTTTTCCATTTTAAAAAAATACAGCCGGACAGAATATTTAGGCGTCACGTCATTGACCCATCAGTGTATACAACAGTTGTTTCCGACCAAGTAATCTAATCGTATAAGTGCTGACAGAGAGTACAACAGCACTCAAACCTTTTACTGTATCACTGATCTAAAGCCAGGTATCCTTGATACAGTAAACTGACATTACAGCAGATAGTGTATGTCTTGATTTGTCTCTCTGGTGCCTTTGAATCAAACAGCAGACTTTAATTTCACCAGTTGCATGACAGATTACAGCCATCTCATCCTGAATGTGCCCAATCTTGTTTGATGATAGATTAAAACACACTACAAAAAAAAATGTTCTGGCACCCATCTGTTTGACCACAAACACAGAATGTATGCGTTGCTTGGTAACTGTCTAGTTTTATTTGGGGAGCTAGTTGTGACAAAGTATTACCTTACTCCAGTGAAACTTTTAGAGTTGGTAACATATCCAATAAAATAGACACGACATCCCTCAGTAATACAGTCTTTGAACATCCTAAGCAAAGGTAATAAGAGCATCTGTTCTGTGATCTGCGCTTTTCAGTGAAACAAACAGTGCAGGCAGATGGTAAGAGTAGCAGACATGAGGTTGAGCCAAGATGTAGAAAAGCTCAGCCCTGCAGGGAGTACACATGAAGCAGCCTGCTGCCTTGCTCTGAGTCTCAGACACAGATCATACAGGTCACCGAGGCAGAGGCTGTCACTTTGATTCACTACACTCAGGATTCATGAAGCCCTGCTCGCCCGCTTTCTCTGCCCTTCTGCTCCTCTTTCACTCATACACTCACACATCCACATTATTCAGCATCATTACATGCAGCAAAAATCACACTTTGGGACCTCTCTGGTTTACGATGCTGTCCTGGCAGGAGAACTACGACCTGTTTTCTTCGCTTTGAAAAAAACCCAAAAACGTTATTTCTGTGTTTCCCCAAAGATTCACGTTAAAGTGTGGCACAATATGGCTCCATATTTAAGCAAACCAAATTGTTTCTTCATCAATACTGGACCCAATGGTGGCTCCATCACAGCAGGTCGACCCTATTGTCTCAAACACGCTGAATAAAACCATATTAACGGCTAACGGCAGCACCGTGTTAGCTGTTAGCCTTTGGTCTAACGGCTAATGGTCGGCTCAGCGGCGCGGATGTGGTGTGTCACACTTACCGATAACCGTTTAACCGGACTGCAAATCAAAGGAGGGCTCAGTTTCTTTTCCGTACACTGGTCTAGAGTCACTCAAAGTCCAAGAACAAACGATGTATGCCCATACACTGAGATAAAAAGATGAGGAGCGGTCATGTGATGAGGTACCTCTTCTCTCCTTCCCTCTGGCCGTGAGCCCCCCTTTACCGTTGCTAAGGCGACAAGAGGAGAGGGTGTGGGGAGATGCAGTGCGCTTGCGCAGTGTAACTACCTCGAAGGGACTGCTTTTTTGGTTGTCTTTTCTCTCAGCGTTAAAGTCTAGTATTCAGGGGGACGTTGTCACCTAATGATATGCAAAGATAGATTTTCAAAATGAAAACTGTTTGCCAATTGTAAATGAATACAGTGGTTGAAGATGCACTGAGATCTTCAACTAGAGTTGGTGTAATAAAAGAAAAGAGACTTGCCCTTGCCATTGAAATGACTGACTGCTTATGTGAATCTAATGTTTCACTTTCACAGTGTACTGAAATGTGCTATATTATTAGAAGATCTTATATACTTTCTTACATTTTTGGCAGGGAAAAAAATATAACCTGCAGTAGGGCTGGGCGATATGGGAAAAGTTTATCATGATATATATGTTTTCATATCAGTTGATATTGATATATATCACCATATAAAAAATGAAATTTAACAGAGCTTATTGGTAGCATATCTTTTGCAATACAATAACTACTGCATCTGTGAGGTCTTTGTGTCTCTTCCACATTTTGTCATGAGGCGTTGCGCTATTAAAGTGCTATGGTTGCGTGTAGCTGCAGCCTGCTACTACAGAATTGTTTGCTACTTGATTGGTTCAGCATGAAGTGGACCTGGAGAAACTCCCCTTTTCATTGGCTATTCATTAGGGGTGGTAGAAAAAACAGATTCACTTAAGTATTATGATTTTTTGTTTTACAATTTTTAAAAATGATTTTTATGTTCAAAAATTAATTTTTTCCCCCAAAATTTTAGAAAAAATCTTAAAAACTGACTCACATGTGATGTGTATTTTATTTAATTTTTTTAGGAAATATGGTTCCTGGAATAGTCAGTAGATAATCATAATCATTCAACTGTTTCACTGGTGTTAAAAATGCAGACTAAAAATCGAGAAAACCGACAATATCGTAAAAATCGCAATTAAAATCAAATTGGCATCCAAAAAAATCGTAGAAGAATCGAATAAGGAGAAAAGCATATCGTCCCAGCCCTACTATTATTACAGTCTACCAAAACATGTCAGAATGCAGACTATCTAAAAACATATTGACCATGTTTTATATTGATATTGAGGGAAATTAATTTTGATAAATATTGGTATTGAATTTAAGTACAAGTAAGCCCACATGATTGGATTAAATACAGCTATTCGAATTCGACTTGATCAAGACAGTAATACCCAAATGCCAAAGTATTTATTCCTTCGTCTCTGGAGTAAAATCTCGATTAAAAGTGTTTTAATTTCCAATAAGAAAGGTAGTTGCCTTATTTAGTATATATTATGCTTACGGTTGTTGTTACTAAATACTATCGTGTAAAAGCTATTTAATATTGTTGGTCTTCTTTTAGCTAATTTAAACGTACTGACTTTTATTCCAGTTTTAACAAAGTGCCACATCTTGTACATTCGACTTTCAAGTTTTTGCAAAGATCTGAATATGCTGAGTGACTGTCAGTTTAAATTATGAAGTGTAGCGTTAAATGAAAAATGAAAGTGAAATGAAAAGTGTATAATCACTGACTTGGGAGACTGTACTCGGATTCATTTGACAAGTGAATCCTGTGTGACCATTTCACTATTTTGAAAATATAATGGAATACTTTCCAGACTGACCTGAAATTGTCAGAATTAATTTCGCTGGAAGCATTTCATTCAATCTTACATGACAGACTTTGGGAGACCGTGGAACAGTGCCTGTGTTTTTAATTATGTTTCTGGAGGTCATTTTCTTCTTGTTTATTATTATCTATTATTGTGATGTGTGCTGCCGACCTCTTGGCCAGGTCACTCTTGTAAATGAGATCTCGATCTCAATGGGTTCTTACCTGGTTAAATAAAGGTTAAATAACAAGATAAAATAAAAACAAATCCAATGACGTAACAATAGCACGTACTCTGCCAGCCAATGACAACCAAAAGCCAATAGAAAAAGCTGGTAGGTGTACCTATGGAGCTTGGTTTGTTTTGTGATAAAATAGAGGACAGTACCCCTAAAGGGAGCATCTAAAAACCACTCAGTCATCTTTAGTGTGAAAACACATGATCCAAAACAACATGAACCTATAGTATTCAGCTTGTAGCAAAGGGAGGGAAATTTTATTGTCTCCTAACTAAAAGATTCACAAGGTTTGAAACAACTGAACTTTCCACAGCTTGCGTCATTATTCAGCTCAAATCCTAAAGCAAAGCATGGACACCCCTTATTCATAATTTGTCAGGTTTTCTAACTTTACCTTTGATCTCACGTCTTCAAAACAGTAACTACAAAGAGTTTCCAAGTGTTGCCGTGATATTTCAAATTAAAATGCTGACTAACAACCATAAGTTTAAAGGAAGGAAACCACAGTGGTGGTACTCACACTTTATCTCAGCGTTGCTCTGCTTTCATCCCTCCTCCGACTTCCTTCCTGCATGTTTGTTGTTGTTGTGTTTGTTTGTCTTAGAGGCGTCACTGTGATAGCCCACTAACCAGCGCTGTCATGTCTCTCTTCAACAGGTCTGTTCCTCTGCTGATAAGGAGCAGTCCCTCAAATCCCTCTGCTATCCTCTTTGACCACCCCCTCATTTGAGTTCCCACCCCTTCAGAGAGAAAGTATTCAGCTCTTAACCAACATAGACTAAAAACAAGTCGGATGTGTGCTTTTTTTTGAGTTATCAGGTTAAAGGCTTATCATTATATCTGTACTCACCTACGTACACTGAGCCCGGGTAATACATCGTGACATAGCAGGGGTCCTCTGCTTCCTCCATGACAAACACTCTGCCCGCTGGATAGTCATTCAGTTGCTGTTGTGAAAGAGAAGCTGTTGTTGCTGATGTCTCTTCTGGTCTCTGGATTGCTTTGTGGTCTAACAAACCCTTTGAATCGGTGCCAAAACTGTTGGTTTTGAATGGGCATTGTGCAACAGAGGATAGCCAGCTCACATCGCACTTCTCTGAGGGATAGCCGGGTAGATTTTCAAGCGCTCCGTGATGGCCTGATGATTCAGAAGTATCAGTTTGATTCACTCCTGTGTTGCAAAGGTTCGCCTCACTATCGCTTTCATACAGTTTGTTATCTGAGTGTTTTTTTTGGGATGTAGCATCAGGTTTGGATTCAGGAGCTGGTCTGGAGGCCTCCTGTGTCTGAGGAGCTACCAGACACATCTTTAGTTGATTTAATCTGTGTGCACCCGGCAAAGCCTCTGTTTTCTGATCGATTGCTCTTGACAGATAATCATTTGAAACACAGTCAGGCTGGGTTACTGCACTTTTCACATCAGTCTGTGTGGTTTGACATGATGAAGGGCTGTGTTTTAGAGGAGGTTTGAAGCTTTCTGATAGTGGTTCAGATACATTTTCAGTAGATGTTTGATTTTTGTTTCCCCCCTGAGGTCTATTGAAATCAGAACCTGTTAGAAAAGTATTCATTTTTGTTTTGTCGTTTGAGTAGAATCGTGTTCTTCGGCTCTCAATATTTGGTGAGACAGCTGGCTGATTGAAGAGAAGCTCTGTGGGAAATGACATTACTGGAGTCACTTGTCTCTCTGAATACAGTCGCTCACTGAAACGCTCACAGGAGCCAGATCCTCTCGGGTGAATGTTAGTGAAGTCTGTATGTTTCCTGTGAATGTTGAGGCCAGACTGACTGACCCGTTCACTAAACACTGACTGCAATTCACCAAATTTCGTCTTAAGATTTGATGCTTTTGTACCCATCGCTCTACTTTGCAGAAGCTCCTGCTGTTGCCTGATACTTGACTTTGGTTTTGGCATTGCACTGATATTTTCGTGTCCACAAAAAGGCTTTTGTTTATCACCTGAGATGTGATCTGTCTTACTCAAACCGGCTTTTCCTTGCATGACGAGAGAGTTGTGGGACACTCCTGTTTGTCTTTGTGACTCTCTGCATGTCATGGAAGAAGTTCTCCTCAAAGCAGGATGGGTGAAGTCCAGTAAAGCTGCTTGGTCAAGAATCTCATGCTTTGCCTCGTTTGAAGACCTCTGTTTGCCAGACACATGCTCAACTTTAGGATTTGATATGGCGATAGATCTGGCGCGTCTCTCCTGAGCGACATGAGAGGGTTGCCTTCCTCCTTGGTTATCTGAACCCTTCCCTCCTCCACACAGTGAAGAAGGAGATGGACTCAGTCTAGGTGTCGGGACAATGAGAGTTGGAGACACACTTGGTTTAGGTGGAGGCTGGTGCAGTAATGGAGAGGGATCACACAGATGTGAGGTTGGGGGACGGCGGGAATCTCTTGGCTTTGGCCCCAGAGTGGGAGAGGAATTTGGTGCTGGAGAAATGGAGATGCTGGGCTTCGCAAGAAGAGTTGGAGGGTTACATGATTTTGGTTTAGTCCTGGGAAGGGTTGAAGCTCTATCTCCGTAGTGTCTTTGTGAATAATGGCAAGATCTGCTCCAACAGGCTGGGCTGGATGTCTTGGAGGAATAGATAGGAACAAACAATCTGGGGCAAAAACAGGGACACAATAAAAGGAATACAGAACAAAAGTCTCAGAGTTTTATGAAACTAGGCTAGGAGAGAAGTTTAGATTTAATTTACCTTTCAGATTGTATCTGTTTCGGAGTTTCAGAGATGACTCCTTTCTCGTCGAATGATGGGATCTGAATGGGTTTCTTTTTGATGACAGGAGATGACAGAGAGAGAGGAGGGGACAAACAGACCGGTGGGTGCTCTTTCACTTTTTTGTTGGATGCAGATGCTTTTTGGAGCAAAGGTGCCAGATGGTTGAAAACACTCATTGCTTTGTATATAAACTGTAAGGACAGAGGTGAAGGAACGAGACTGTAATCACATTTATGGAAGTTTGTAAAACTAAAAAACGTATATTAATTGAACAAAATAAGATGAATATTCACATCCTTTAGTTACGCAATAGCACATTATAAAGTACTCAAACTCAAGTCAGCCTTTCAAAATGTAAAGGAAAACCATCATAAAGAAAAAATATGTAACTAGATGAAAAACAATGAAAACTATGGCAATCATGCGCCTGTTAGCATTAAAACATCACCATCTTTCCAAACAGTATATCATAACACATCTTTACAATAAAAGAAATAAAAGTTTTTGCAGTTACTCTGGAGGAAAGCAGACACTGACCTGCTGCTTGGAGCTCTGTCTCTGCTGTTCACACGGTGAGGGAGTAAATAAGTCAAAGAGGGCAAGACAAGGAGCACGGCAGATGGAAGTGGTGGGCACACAAGTCATTCTCTCCATTCCTCCACACTGAGGCTGCTCTGTTTCACTCCCACTCTGATTACTCTCTCAAGTTGTTTGGTTCAGAGGGACTCTGAGAGGTTTGAATGTGGTCTCATGAGACAGTCTGATAACAATGGAGGACTTGCTTACACATAGATATAAGTAGATTGAAGAAAAGTTAACTATATGAATATAATCAGCACATTTAATTCTAAAGAGTCAAAACTAAAGGAACATTATTCCTCAGGGTTTTTTGTACACTCACGATTATTTTGCATTATTTGTTCTCAGCTATCCACCGCTGCTGGTCTGGATCTTGTTTAAACTACATTACATGATGGTCAGTTTAGTGCAAAACTTTGTACTTTAACCTTGAGGTGTGTCCTCCTCAAAAGGCTCACAAGATAGGTAAATATATAAATGTTCATGTAGCGTTTATACAGTATCTTAAAATTTACTTTACACTACCCTCTGAGCATTTTTTGGTCTACAAGAGGTCTAATAGACGTCTAAATGTAGCCTAGACTATTGGTCAAAAATCAGACTACCACAGGTCTAAAAATGAAAGGGTTTTTTAGACATCTAAATTTTGACTAAATCTAAATCTGGGCTAAATCTTTACTACACTGTATATTGCTCAACGGCTCAACTTGGAGATCAGTTATGCAACTCACAGCTGCTTTTTGAAATAAATATCAAATAATGGGTTAAAGTGCAACGTCTAAATTCTGTCTCAAAATATACAGAATCTAGACGGTTGAAACTGGGTCTAAAAAAAAAAAACTAGTCATCTAATAGACGTCTATTGCCAAGTTGGTATCTCAGTATTGTACCCAGTTATTTTCCTCTTGTGCAGATACTTTCCACACATCACTAGCGTCGAGTAAATCAAATATTTATGGCAGCATAATAACAGAGAGTAAATTCAAAGATCTGAGGATAACAGTTTTATTTTGTATGAACAAAGGAAGCATATGATCATCAAAAAAGGACATCATACTCCCAGTTCCTTCCCCATGCTGTCAAGTAAAAACAATGAAAAATGAAAGTACACTTTGAACATCACCAAGTACTATTTTTCTTTTTTTGGTCCATCTATAGGATAATCTTGGCGCCTTGAATAAATCACTTGGATTTGTTCAGTACACACATATATTTCTTTTCAATAAAGACACTACTACACCATTTTTTGGCACATTGGCACTAACAATCCACATGCTTTTCTGCAGCTGCCGAGCTAACACCACCAGAGGGGGATTAAAACCCTCCCTGATGGTAACAAATTCATTGCACTTAATGTCATCCACTGCACTAAATCAATGCACACGATAAGTAGACTTCATGATACATGTAAAGTGATTGTCGAGGTACAAAAACATATGCAAAAGTTGGTACAAATGAGATGGGAAAGACATTTACATCATGATAGAAACGCTTTTCTAAAGGGTACTGTGTCCTCCATTGGCCGTGTGTGTAGTCTTCTTCTCCTTGTGCATTTGGCTTCATTTTAAAAATCTTTACACTCATCTCCTTCACTCTTCCCTGATGTCTACGGCTTACGGTGATAGAGATCAGAGAAAAGTTAGGATCAAGACAGGGCTCCCTTTATCAGATCATCTCTCCTTCATCTTCCTGTCTCCGTGTTTAAGGTGTAGGCTCCCGTCCCCCGTCCCCCATCCCCCGGTGTCCTGGCAACACCCCTGCCCAGAAGCCGTGCCCCGCTCCACCTCACCCTCTCGATCAAATCAGAGCGTTTCTATCGTCATCTCTGCAGTTCACGCTGGCTACCAGCGGGTGATGCCGGACTGTTTTGTTGCTCCACTTGTGGGCATCCTGCAGCCCAGGCTCCAAGAAGTACAGACAGGCTCCGAACCCTGCCAGCACCAGCACCGACACCAGCAGGTAGAGGGGGACGAACCAGTCCAGGAAGAGCCACGACATACTGTCGGCTGGGAAGGGATGGGAGAGAAGGAGATGAGGGAAGGGCAAAAAAATGGATGAGGAGGAGAGGCATGCCGGAGGGGCAGAAAGAGGGGAGGAGATTTAAGAAAAGGTGGATGAGTGGAGTTACTCTGTCATTAAATCCTTCAAAAAAATCATGCATGACAAACTGCAGCAGCACCCTGATGCCCTAATATTGTCCACAAAGTCTTTCTACTCACGCAGATTTAACAAAGCACAGGAACCGAGACCTTACACAAGCAGGCAGCATGCAATCTCTGGCTGTTTCACATACATTATCTTAAAATCTGCATACACACACACTCAGGTGTTGAACTATGAAAAACACGCAGGTGCAAAATAAAGCCATCCTGTTTACCTTTAAGTGCTGCAGAATCAGTCGGTCTATCTGGGTTCGATGGTACTCAATGTGCAGCTGCAGGGACTCAGATCAATCATCAGATTTTCTCCTGCGCTGCTCCTTCGACTGTTGCATGTGAGGCGTCCAAAATCACAGGTGCTCTCTGAGAGGCACGAAAGACAGGAGCTGCATGCGGCTTCATCCTCCAGCTCTCGGCTCTGACGTTTAAAACCGAGGGGTGGGGGTTGCTATGGCAACGCTCCTGCTGATGGCTGGGAGGATGGAGGGAGTAGGAGGGAAACTTATATAACTCTATTTTTTTTTTTTTTTTTGGAGGAGTAGGAGGGGGACAAGCCCTTCAAATGTCTATGGATGCTTGCCGCCTTTTCTGCTCGCTGCGTAAAATTAATTCCAATCCATGTGACACCGAGGCTGTCGCACAGTTTATATGACATGAGGAGAGGGGGGCTGTTGTGATATGTAAGCAGCAGCTCCTGTCATATCAGCTGTGACTGATGGCAGCTGTAGCTGTTTATGAGTCAAACAGAGGTAAAAACACAGACAAAAAAACAAACATTTTCTTTGTCTCAAACACTGGAAACAGAGAGAATGACCTACATCGTGACAACTGTCAACTCTTCTAATGACGGCCATTTTTAGCACCAGAGTCATGGAAAGCAGCTGAGTCAAGGAGATTAGTCTAAAATACAGAGCTTTGATATTTAGCGATGAAACCTGAAGTCTTGACTGAACAAGTTACAAGAAATAAAAGAAGATATTATGGGACTTGAGTCAGTGTAGAGCTTTTACATACTGTATATGTTCTAGTTAACTTCAGATCCCATCGTATTTCACATATGGACTTTGTCGAAAAGACTTAATAATAACATTTATCACTTGAATTGCAGATTTTTCTAGTAAAAATGACCATGTCTCCTGGTGTTTTCACAGTCCAGCCATTACGCAGACAGATGCAAGCAATCTATCATTAAATCAACCTTTAACCTTCACAGCAGCAGTGTCACAGATTTACTTGGTTTTTGCACATTAAGATGATTACTCGATGTTAGGTATCGGAAACTTTTCAGAGTTATTCGAATGTGAGCTAATCAGTTTGGAAAAAAATCACTGAGAGCTGAAAACAACTTGATGAGGCTTCTAGTGTGAAATTTCACAATGCGATGTGTGTGTGTGTGTGTGTGTGTGTGTGTGTGTGTGTGACAATGCTGACAACTGCTGTCTAATCACTTTACTCCGCAGAAAGTGAGAAACAAGCGGAGCGACAACTTCAGGATTATTCAAGTGGATGTAGAGATCACCTTGAACTGTTTCCACTATGTGCTGAGACAGACAAAGATAATGAACGTTTCAGAAATCATACCCTTTATTTCAAATGGTCATGCACCGCTATTTTCATTTATTACCTTTTCTTATTTAGATAAAGCCAACTTTAAAGGATCTTCCTTTCTGCTATGTAGACTTCTTTCCTGTTTGTTTCTCTCTCTCTCTCTCTCTCTCTCTGTTGTTTATTCTGCACAGTCTTCCACACACATCATACCTGAAATGACTGCTCAGATCAAACTCTCATTTCTGTTATGATATTCTTGGAGAAGCGCTGAGATCCTCTCTTGTTGTTTTGAATCATAAAAGGTATAAAAATCTTTGTCTGCTCTAGAAAAGTAAAGATTTTGACAGGGTTGAATACAAAATATGTGATCTAGTTATAAAATTATAACACACTCATTTCAGTGTAGAGCTGAACAATTTACAAAACTACCAGAAGAGAGGATTGTATTCTCGAAAGCATCTCCAGACTCTGCCCCAATGTGAAGTGTACAACATTTTTCTATTAAAGAAAAACCGATAAAGAATATTTGATGAATGATCAGGAATATTTGGGAGGCCAAAAGTGACTTAGAAAACAAACTCTCATTTCTCTGGAGAACACAAACCCTGCAGCGAAGGAACACACTGAGCTGGCATGCCGCAGATGAGAAAAAAGCTAAATGAGATTACTCCCCTCAGAGAAAAGGAGAAGAAGAGATAAAGACTTAGACTAGAGTCAGACCTCTCGCTTCAACATAATGTGGACAGACTGTTCAGACAGGAAGAAATAAAGTACTTATCAGCTCAAAAGACAAATGTCAGAATCTTTTTTCTTGTTTACGTGTGATTAATTGAATTTTGTTTAACATCTATTTGGTTGAATGTCACCAAGAGTTGAGATGAGGGACTCACTGCAGAGGCTGGACCAGTTCACTTCATTCTGTCTCCACACCCACACGGCAATAACTCTGAGAACATCTTCCACAAACACAGGGAGGGGATGATGGGAGAACAGGCCGTGACTTCTCTTGTCCAATGCCACATATCTGCACCCTGAGAGGAAGAGAGATGAATCAACATTTTAAAGAAACTATAAACTAAATGGAGTAGTTTCAGCTGTTTTCTATCTTATGTGTTATCTGCGGTCATTAGTGGCCGTGACTGAGGTTCTATGAACAGCAATATTGACTGGTTTGTTCTTTAGTTGGTCTTTGTTCAGTAAAAATGTGTATGTTGCAGGAGCCTTGTGTATGAACATGGAGAAAAAGAGCACCACTTTGTAATTTCAAATGGGGTCCTCATTGAGGGGATTTTCACCTCAATGTACGAAACTTTTTTTTTCTCAAGTCCCACAACAAAAACCTTGACAAACTCTTCCTACAACCTTCATCAGACCTTTCTAAAAATAATAGGTAAGTTTAAATCTTCAGCTAAGTAATATTGTATATGTTAGCTCAGCGGGGCAGAGAAGTTTGAGCACACTTAAAGGGATATTCAGGCATAAAATTAATTTAGTGTCAAACACACCATAACACCAAGTTAGACACCACCTCAAGAGATGAATGTTGCCAACTGCTTGCTTCTCTAGTTATACAAACTTTAGTAACAGCCGCACGATAGCAATACACAGCGGTCCCAGTAGCTATGTGGTCAACAAAAACGCCACTCTGTAGCCACAAATAATGATCAGAACAGCACCTAACTTTTTCACCTAACATAAGGGGTCCCAGCCATAGCTTTGCTTAATTTTTTTTAGCAAAGAGACTAAACACAACTCACCTACTCTCTTCCAGCAGCCGCTTGTTTGTAGCAAGACCTCAGGCCAGTCCATTATGGACTGCTGCGGGGTGACGCAGCTCAAGGAAGAACATTTATGGAAATGCAATCAGACCAAGACACTAAGGTAGAAGAGCTACCAGGTCTGCAGTGCAAAATGATTAATATGGTGATTATTACTTTAAGGAAATGATAAAGTAATGATCATAAATATTCTTCCTTGAGTTGCATCACCGCGCTGCGGTAATGGACTGGCCTGAGGTCTCCGTACAAACAAGTGGCTGCTGGAGGAGAGTAGGTGAGTTGTGTTTAGTCTCTTTGCTAAAGAAATCAGGCAAAGTTAAAAAGCTGTTTGGTGGCTAGTACTATGGCTGAGACCCTATATGTACTGTTGATGAAGTTAGGTGCTGTTCTGAGCATTATTTGTGGATATAGAGTGGCGATTTGGTTGAGCGCGTGGCTCCAACATAACTTCAAGATCAAATACCTACATAACTTAAGACTTTTCTATTAGCACTCACTATAGGATACTCTGTGTCTCTACTTAGTAAATGTAACATAATAACACGCTGATCCAATAAAATAAACAATACAAAGTAATGTCATTACCTCTGTCATAGTCAGCACGGTAACATTCCTACATTAGCCTCTAGCTAAAAACACCATTGAGCCTAAGTCTCACATAGTTGCTAACATGAATGAAGAAATGTGTAAATTGCCCTGATATACAGTTAACTGAATATCCAGTTAAATATACTCAAATCCCTTTTCTGCTTAAATATGCTTTAACTCAAAATAAGCTTAGAATAAGTCGGATTAATTTGGGGCACAGCCTTTTTTTAACACACTCCGTAAGGTGAGGGTGTAAGAAACTACATAAGATAACCATTTTAAGGGAAAGATGAATCAGTTCCTCCGCTCTGTTGTACACACCTTTGGGTAAACGTGAGATGAAGGTGATGGATGAACCAAAGTTGTCAGGCACAGCACAACCATGATCAGGACCCCTGACTCTAGCTTTGAATTCTTCCCACAGGAGCAGTATGGAGATCTCTGAAACTAAAAACACAGTATGCATAGATAACACAACAAACCAAGATTTCAGGGGAGCTCGCTGCATTCATTACAGTGGGTTAATAACTAAGCTTCATTCAGCCTGTGTTAGTGAGGAGAAATACGCTCTTGTTTCATTGTAGAGGACATTTCAATAGCTTTCTCCAAAGTTAACCAGAGGCAGAATATAAAGCAGCATCAGTGCATCTGATCTGAACTGTAAACTCTATCATGGAGTTTCTGTAGGCAAGGATTTAATAAGATGTAACCCCCATGAGAGGCTGTAATTATAGCCAGTCATCACACACTCCAGAGGCAGGTCTTGTTGGTTAATTTGCATTTTGGTTCCATTATTAGTCTGTCGAGACATCACCTGAAACAATGTCAAATACCTACTGGAAAGGGCTGAATCAGGTTATAATCTGATTTTTAATAACACAGGAATCATGAAACATTCATTTAGTATCCAGAGTATCAGTGAAAGAAAGGAGACCATAAATGTATCTGTCTGCCCTTATCTGCCTCTGAAATAAGACGTACTGTCCTCAGAGTGTATCGAGACATCTTTAGATGGGATGGTCACATACAGTATGTGTGAGCGCACAACTAGCATTAATACCCTTACTGATTATTCATATCTACTTCAACAACTGACATTACAGTATAATACAGTATAATATTTGTGTTTATTCCTGTGTATCTTTTCTCAACTTTAAAAGTAACACAATCAATGAAACAACCCTAACCCTGAAACTGATACAAAAGAGGATACGTGCCACATGAAGAGAAAAAAAAAATAATTACAGGAAGGCGATTAAAGTCAAAATTTCAACATTTAAAAAACTGAAATAATGTCAATAAAGTCAAAATTCAAGATTAAAAATTGAAATTTCGAGATTAAAAATGTCAAAATGTTGTGAATAATGTCGAAATTTGGAGACTAAAAATTTTGAGAAAAGTTGAACTTTCGACTTTTTTAAATTTCAACTTAAATCTCAAAATTTTGACTTTAATCTTGAAATAGAAATTTAAAAATCTCCCTCCTGTAACTGTTTTTTTTCTCTTCTTGTGGCCCTAATCCTCTTTCCTAGACTGATGATTTGTTTATTGTTATTTTTAATGCCTGAAACTGGTGTAAGTGGAGCAGCTGAAGAAACAGCTGTTTTTACAGTTTCCACAAAAAAATACAATTTTAATAAATGATATATCTGACTGTTAATCCAGCAGGTTGAGATTTTTGTTAGAAGACACTACTCCAGCGTGAAGATGATAAGATAACAAAAACTGCTTTTGTTAATAAGGGCGCCAAAACCCACTCAAACCAAAAGTTCCTTACAGGAGCTTTAATGATGCAAAAACCGGACCAAAGCCACAACGTTAAAACCTCAATGATTCCTTGCAAACCCCTTTAGACCGCTTGACAGTCAAAAAACAAATGTGTTCTGCATAGAAGAACATTTCTCTCATTGTGAAAAACCCACTAAATGTCATACTAGCGTTGAGCAAACTATAATATCACTGCTGCTTATCTGTAACTTCAGCAGAATTTGGTCTTATAGTCATCCACCATGAAAGCACAAAAGAGGAAAATCTAATTTGAGATCATCACGACGAAAGTAAGGACGGATGTGTCAAAAGCCTCTGAGAGATCAGTCCTAATCCCACCATAATGGGATGTGGTGTAATGTTCAGAGTAGACTGTATGCAATTTACTGCCAGTGGTGTGATAAGACTTGAAGCTGGATTGAAAAGGGACTCATCCCTGCGTTCCCAGGGCTCTGTGTTCGGTGACACTTGTAGAGATTTGTAGGGTCTGTCTCTGCAGTGAAATTTCTTAAGGAGAAAAGAAGAGTAAAAAAAAGGGGGATGATGTTTCAAATGCTATTAGGGTGGTTGAAAATCTGAGCAGCGTCTTTGCAGATGTCAAGGGATCCTTATTTTATATGCAGAGGATTTATGAATATAACATCAAAAAGCTCTAGGTGGGCGGTTGATATATTTTGGCCTTTTCACTGAATATTAACCAAGTAAAAAACACTGCTCAGAAATACTCAATTATATGAAGGGCAGCAACTCTGTCCTTACAAGAGCTGCATAGAAAACATGAGATTTTAGATGCTGTAAGTGAAAGTTATGTCTTAATGGTGTGCAGGATTATTGAATGTAAGGAAAGAATATGTAGAAACAGATATTGGATGTTATTAAAAACATGGTGGTAGGCAGTTTAGTTGCTCCTTTGACCAAGCTAACCTACTTTTTAAGTCTCATACTACACAATTTAAAGAGTTTTTTTTGTCTTAACATACATACTTAAGGACTTATTTTATGGTATTTAATGTGAGTGCTATGATAGGCTGCAAACATAAACAAAAAAACCCTCTGTTATGTTGTGTGGCTGGATACTTCATGTCAAAAATATGCAACTCCTCTTAAAGTATGAAAGTGTCTTTTCTGTTTTATTTGTTGAAAATCATGTCAGATGCATTATTTTGCAGGGATGGTTACAAAGGAGGGTCCCCTTTTACAGGGAGCAACTAAACTAACACATGTGATCATTAAGACTCACTCATGTCTTTTTACGTCTCATGACACAAAAGATGACACAAAAGTAAAAGCCCTTGCGCGACCTTTACAAGACCAAAATATACCCTCTGAGTCCATCATGAGTCAGGATGTGAGAGGATCTGACTTGGGTCGCAAACCTCTGTTGGAATGATTTTCCCTGTGAACCCGTGAAATGAGGTAAAAACTATCCTTATGCGCAGTGGAAGAACCTGGAGTTAAGATGGAAAATCCCTCTCTGCCTCTACCTTGAGACATTTAAAGTTAGTTGAAAGTTGTCTTCTACAGAGTTCCTACACAGTTGGAATTTCCATAATTTTCCATACCCTACTTTTAAGACATATTTTTGGAAATGTCTACTTTTTCTATTTTAGAAAACAGTATTCTAGAACTGTGGTAATAGTCTGGAAACATCAATATTTCCCATAGGTAATTTTTCATTTTCCAAACTTTTTAAGACTTGGAAATTGATCAAATTTATTTCCATACTTGCGTAAGAACCCTGCTTCTATTTGGAAACAGTGACCTTGCATTGAACTTCACTAGGGAACCAGAATCAAACCAACATAAAATGAAGATGAATAATACTTTTGTGACAAAATCTAAATTTTTTGTTGTTTTTCTGTCTGCAATCACTCTGATCTGATTTAATAAACAAATAAAAACTAAAAGGACGGACTCTTTACTCTGCCTTTCTCTACCAACTTAATGGAATAACGTCACACAAATGAAAGATATCAGGTTTAACAGTATTGTTAATGTAAACAAAGAGTTGAATCATTACAGTACATCTTTTCTCCATAGCACAAACAATGTTCAACTTAAGTCACTTTACTCACTCGAGCAGCAGCAGAACTTTTTCCCACTCCTTTTGCACTGCAGATGGTGCCCACCCACTGTGTGTGACTCCAGTGCAGAACAAGAACAGACAAGGACTTTGTTCTGAACCGTTTGCTCCATGAACTTTGACAGTGTTGTTTTCTTTTGTATCAAAATGCGTCTGCTAACAAAGTGAGGAACTGTGCATTGAATCGATTACTCGTTGGAGTTTTGGCGTCTACATACCCTCAGCTAGTCTCGAGTCTCTTTGAGCGAACACTGCACAGCTTCAAGCAAGAGAGGTCAAGTCAAGTAGGGTAGATTTGAGGTATTTGACTTTGGTTCATAGCTTGGGTTTAGGGCAGTTTGACTGGGAGAGCACTTTAGTTTGCAGGAAGTCGGACACAAATGGAGCAACAACTTCCGGTTTATCCAGATGAACATGATGACTTCCTGGTACCGTCACTACTGAGTGCTGAAACAAACGGATACAGAGAAGGAAATTCACTGAAGCTGTGAAGACACATTAAAGGGGGATATTCCGGCGTAAAATTAATTTAGGGTCAAACACACCGTAACACTGAGTTAGACACCCCGTCGAGATTTGAATATTGCTGACTGCATGCTTCTCTAGTTATAACAATTTCAGTGAAGACTGCGCGATAGTGATACACAGCAATCTGAGGAGCCATAAACAAACCTCGACCAAAAAGCCACTCTATAAACTCTATTAATGTTCTTCCTTGAGCTGCATCACCCCGCTGCAGTCGATGGACTCACTCTGAGGTCTCCGTACAAACAAACGGCGGCTGGAAGAGAGATGGTGAGTTGTGTTAAGTTTCTTTGCCAAAGAAATTAGGCAAAGTTAAGAAGATGTTTGGTGGCTAGTGCTGTGGCTGGGACCCTATTTGTACTGTTGATGAAGTTAGGTGCTGTTCTGAACATTATTTGGGGCTTTAGAGTGGTGTTTTGGTTGAGCGCGTGGCTCTCTGTATTGCTATCTGCGGTTGTTACTAAACTTGGTATAACTAGAGATGCAAGCAGTCGGCAACATTCATCTCTTGACAGGGTGTCTAATTCGGTGTTACGATGTGTTGGACCCTAACTTAATTTTACGTCGGAATATCCCTTTAACTTCTTGTTACATGGTCAAAACAAACCACTTCAGTCACATTGATCGTATTTTTGTACTCACGTTTCCCTCTTGGAAATGTTGGAGAAGCACTGAGGTGAATTTATTCTGAGCTGATTCAGAGAATAATCGGTCAGAACCGCCTCCTGCTCTGGGAAAAAAAAAAAACAGTTTTAATGAATTTTGTTCATGAAAGTAAAGCTAACAAAATAAATGACACAGAGTTCAAGATTTCTCTAGATTTGTTTACATTCAGTTATCAGTGAGCTCACAGTAAAAATGCCAATAAGGGATGTTCTCATCAGCAGAGAGAATAAACTCAACAATTTGTGAAACACACTTTGGACAGAAGTTGAGAATACAAGCACTGCTTATGCTGTAAATTTGGAGAACTTGAATGAACTTTAAGAGGCACATGGGAGTTTCTTATAACTAAACAAAGATGACTGACGAACTTTCTTAGGAAAAGCATAAACATCAGTGAAAAAAAACTGTTTGGCTCATCTGAGTTACACAAAATGTAAAATGTGCATTTATCTGTGTATGGACATAAAATCACTGGTGGATAGTTGTGATAAGACACAAGATTTATGATTGAAATCCATTGATAAAATATCCCAGTGTAGAAAACAAGTTTTTTATAAGGCTGAATGTCTTACAGAATGAGTAAAACCGAAGCTTGGATCTTCGACAGCATCACCAGACTCTGCTCCAGACTGATGCGTGATATGTTTTTCTGAAAACATAAAATAAAGATATGCATGTACTGTACCAGCTGACATATAAAGCCTCAGAGGATACGAAAGGTTTCTTAGGCTTTAAGTGACTCACAAAATGAACTCTCAGGTCTCTGGAGAACACAAACCCTGCAGAAAAGAAACACAAGAGGCTGAGAGAAGACAAAGCAAAACTCTCCCTTCAGAGAGGAGAAGAGATGAACACAAACCTCCTTCAACTGGAGAAAGACCTCGCTTTAGCAGGATGTGGACAGACTGTTCAGACAGACTTTGGTTTGCAGTCGACAACCTGAAAGAAGTCAAACACTTGAGCAGCTGAATATAGGGAACATTTTAAAGGAATCTGATAGTCTGTTATAAAATCCCGACAACTGGACTGGTCTACCTTTGGACTGCCTTCTCATAGGTGTGAACTCTTGTCGCTTCTGTTTTTTTCTCAAACTCTAATATTGACTCCATCCCCTCCCTGATCACTTCTGATATTTTTGCCTGTAGGGAGAAAGAAAAAGAAAGGACTGAGAGGAGCAGAGAGCCAACACACTTTGATTTAGAAAGGATTGTGTCGAGGGAGTAGAGCACCATTCAGAAAGAAAATAAAAGCTCATTTTCAGAGACCAAATTTGACTCAACGGGAGAAAGAAAGACTTGATTCATAAATTTACCAGACTGAAAAGCATTACACGTTGTGATTAACTTTGTTTGTACACAACAACATGCCCGATCACTTCATGACAAAACTGCTGACAGTATTGTTCGAGAATATGTTGGCAAATTGTTTTCTTACTTTTGTATTCATGAGGAGAAAATTCACCAAGTTTACTTACTAAATCAAAGCTGCTGTCAAGTTCTTCTAAACCTTTGGAGAGTGAAGTTACCATACTAACAGAGCAATTCAGTCTTTTAGCGAGTAGGTGGGCATGTTTAAACAAGAATATATCGAAAACTTTTGAGTAATCTGGTTTAAATAATACCGAAACACATCTAATTTTATCCAACAATAATTGATTTTGTCTGTCAAAACTTACTGAGTCTGTAGGTACAAATCCATAAGTGTCAAGAAGAATAAGAGCATCCACCATCTCAGGATACAAAGCAGTGAACTGTAGGAAACACAATCGGACAGTTTTATTAGATTTTATTTCACCAGGTTGGTCCCACTGAGTTCAGAGATCTCTTAGCCAAATACAACAGCAGCACAAAGTTTCAACTTCAGAACAACTTGTCATACAAATCTAATAACCATCAAAGAAGTTGGCTTAAATATGTTTATACATAGACTCTGGATTTTAGACTTTTAACTGAGGATTTTTGAAAAGTTTTGCTTTTAAAATCAGACTGTAGATTGTTGAAGAGAAAAGGTGCTATGATTTCTCCTTAGCCCTGTTTTCTAAAATGAGAAATTACACAATATTGAACTAATGAAGGTTACAAAGGTCATCCTTCAAGATTTAACGGGAGTAAAGGTAGCCTGGAACTTTTCCCAGAATGGATATATAATAAATGACCAAGCATGTGTGCACTTCAACCATGCCAGTTGACTTTAAATCATAAAATTCAACTAAGAGTGAAGAAAACCAGAGTTTGTAAGACATCTTTGAACAGCGTGATACACAATTTCAAGGCTGTGAAGATTATGAGCAGAGGAATTCATGTTCAACACAGACAGAGACTACGCAGACTACTTTGTAGAAATGGAATATCATATTTTCAAATATGTCTAAATGAATGTATAATTACTTGAATATAAAAAACTGTTATTTTTTTGCTCTCTTCAAGCTTAATATGAGCAGGAGGCTGCTTCCTATCACCGCTATGTTTCTAAAGTAGCTCAAAACAAAGGAAGCAGTGACAAACTTGTTCTGTTTTTAATGAGAAGCTGCTCAAAATGCACCAATTCAAAGAGACGGGGGAATAAACAGGATGTAGTGCACAAAGAATTTATAATAGATTTGTAAAAACTTGTCAAATTAAGAATCATATTTGTAAGTTGAGAGAGTAAGCAGACCACCCAAATGCATGCTAAAAAGCCCCAGAAGCTCAAAGATGTTCTGTATAAATATGTAAATAAAACACACAAGGATGAAACAGGCAAATCATCCTTTGTTTCATGATATTACACAAGAGAAATGAGACATTAGGACTCACCATTGCTGCAATTTCACCACCTGTAAATACAGAGAGGATTCTTTCTTATAAAGACTCGGTAAGACAGAAACATATGCACAGGTCATTGGAGCTTTAAAGCACCACTCACCCATACTATGACCTATGATGGAGAAATTCTTCAGCTGCAGAGCTGTGGGAGTTTATTTCATAGATTATCAATATGATAATAAATATGAGAATTTATGAGCAATTTTGTCAATGCACTCACCAGCAGCAACTCTGCTCACATCGACCACATATGCAAACAAAGAGTAGAAAACTCCAGGAGGACGATGGGAGGACAGACCATGACCTGCCAAGTCCACCGCCACATATCTGCACTCTGAAAGGAAGTGTAGATATATTTAATGTGTTTATCGCAAGGTTTGATATGAGTTCATATTTCTTCAATACCTCTTTGCAATTTTTAAAATAAACTGTTTTCTGTGCAGAATCAAGTGAAATGGAGGGAAAATTCAAGAGTATTTTTAGTTTGATAAGTTCACTAACCAAGCATAGTTTACTCATCACATACATTAAATTCAGAACTTGTGGCCTACACTGCTTAAAGATCATTCCTGCACTTGGTTTCTGAGCACTTTCCATTGTTGTAACATCAAAACTGGTGAAGGTGTAAAGCAGTTACACTTTAACTGACATTGTCACTGTGACCATTTTCAGTGATCAATAACTGAGTAAATTATTGACAGGACTCTTGTGTTAGCGCCTCCTGTTTGCGGCGAATCTGTGTGGATTCTCTTCATGCGATGGTTGTGAATGTTTATTTGGTTTTTGCTTGAAAAGGATAATTTTTCCTCTTTGGGGTATTGTAGGTGAGAGTAGGTGAATTGTGTTTAGTCTCTTTGCTAAAGAAACCAGGCAAAATTAAAAAGATGTTTGGTGGCTAGTGCTGTAGCTTGGACCCTATATGTACTGTTGATGAAGTTAGGTGCTGTTCTGAGCATTATTTGTGGCTATAGAGTGGCGTTTCGGTAGAGGTTTGTTTATGGCTCCTCAAACTGCTGTGTATTGCTATCGTGCGGTCGTTACTTAAGTTGGTATAACTACAGAAGCAAGCGGTCAGCAACGTTCACCTCTCGTCTAAATCTGTGTTATGGTGTGTTTGACCCTACATTAATTTTACGCGGGAATATCCCTTGAAGTCTGTACAGAAAGTCTCACTAAAAAGCCTGTAGTGTTTTACCTGCAGGTAGAAGTGGGATGAGAGGGTTGAATGAATCACAGTTGTCAGCCCAACCATGCAGGCACAGCACAGGATAGCCATGACTAGGACCCCAGACCCTGCCTCTGATCTCTCCCCATGGGACAGGTACAGAGAGTTCTGAAACTACAACACCTCAAGGTCAGAACTCTGCGGCTCAGACATCAGAAAACACACCAGGAAAAAAAAAAGTCATCAATTTCCTCAGATAAGATCATTTTTTAAACACAAAACTGAAAAGACTTGTGTTGTCATTTTGCAGACTGGGCTTGCGTCTTCGTTTTCTTCTTCCACTTCCATGCTTGACTAAAAAATCATCCTAAATCTCTATTTTGTTCAAGGACAACAATGAATTTGCTTCACACAGCACTCTGAAGCCTCGCCACTTTTAATTAAAGGTATCCGCTGTAGGCTATAGGCAAAATGCTGCTGTTAGCAGACCGTTTTAACCTCCATGAACTGCCTTTTCTTTACCTTCTTCTTCGCCCATAGTTGTTGCACAGTGTCAAACTCTTGCAGAGCAGCTTACAGTTTTAAAGAGTGTTAAACACAACACTTCCCCGGTGTGTGATACTCATCTAAACTTCCGTGTGCAGCCGTAAAACTCCCATTACTGCAGCCATGGACTCTGCTCCACTGGGTCAGCTTCTCCCTCAGGCGAGTCTTACAGTCAGTACCCCCCGCGAGCAGGAGCACGAGTATATGGCAGCAACCTGCAACTGGAAACAAGACAGGAGCAGCTACGCCAAAATGTGCAGTTCCTCTTATGACCGCTGGATTCTGGCCTTACAAACAAAACGGTCTTAATAAGGTGCATACGGTGGCTGAGTACCGCCACTGCAGTAAATAAAAAAGAATGGGAAAAAAAAAAAAAAGGAAGTCACAATGGAAGTTACCGATGCAAAACAAAAAGAAACCGAAGCCCGCTGCAAATGAAAAAAGGAATGGTGCAGATTACAAAAAAAGCCACCACGGAAGAGTTAGTGAAGCAAAGAAAAAGGTACTTACTGCGAAAATATAAGCCACAATGGAAGTTACCGATGCAAAAAAAAAAAAAAAAGTGGCAATGCAAAACAAAAAAAAAATTACTTACTGTTAAAATAAAACAATGCAAAAAAAAAAAAAAAAAAAACAGGAGTGAGAATGATGATGCACAAATATTTTACGATCTAGGCACAGAAGACGACGGCGAGAAGACGAGCAAAGAAGTAAGTGGAAAGGTTACTGTTTAATTTCGCTTCGCAAACTTTTCAATGTGTCATTTTGTTAGGCCATGTAGTGCCTGAGTTGTCATGAAGTTGAACTGAAGCTAACACTACACCGGCATCCTCCAGTTCAACTTCATATAAACTCAGGCGCAACATGGCCGAACTAAATGACACACTGAAAAGTTGCAAAGCGAAATCAAACAAAAACCTTTTCGCTTACTTCTTTGCTCGTCTTCTGTGCCTAGATCGTAAAACATTGGTGCATCATCATTATTGGTCCCCGGCAGCTCACCTCCATTGTGGCTTCTTTTGTTTGCATCCTTTATTTTCACAGTTAGTACATTTTTTTTATTTTGCATCACCATTTTTTTTGTGTGTGTTGTTAACTAGTAAGACATAACAATTGAACGATCACAAAATTTACAAAAAGTGCTGAATAACAATAAAAGAGGAACAACAGAAAACAATTAAAACTGTTGCAGAGAGGAGGAAACAATAAAGGAATAACTGATCTTCTGCATAAATAAAGTATGACGCATGCACATAACTTGTTTTTTAACTCAGTTTCTTTAGCTTTTACTTTTTTTCTCTTTTTGTATCTCTTCCATGCTGCTGTAATTTTGGAATTTCTTATCTTATAAACTGTAGCACTGTGCACACTCTGTTGCATCTGCTAATGTTTAAAATGTTTCACTACAGCACATAGTATATCAAGAGTATGGAGGCGCATCTATCACATATCACTGTAGTTTTGATTGATGGTGATTTTTAGGAGAATGATAAACTCTATTTTCAGAAACTCAACAGTATAGAGTTGTACATATCAGTATATATCAGACAAAAGTCAGCGTTCTCCAGTATCATAATCCAGTGTTTTATAAAGTTTGATATTCAAAGTTTTAGTGCAGAAGAGGATATAAAAACAGGTCTGCTGGCAGTAGAGAAAGCCGTGTTCTTCACTTCAACAAAGATAGAGCTTAATCCTGGTGATTCTCTTCCACTCCAGTACACGCTTTTTGAACTTCACTCACAGTCTTTTGAGTTGAAACATGAGGCTGGAGACTTACAAGGCAGTGCCCAGCTGATAAAATATGAACAATGGGTAGCGGACATCTAAGACATGAGCCATGCAGCACATTTCAAACATTCCTCAAAGACGGCAGGTACAAGGTGATGCATCTTTGGTCTGCAAACACCTCTGGGGCAGCCGGGAGGCAACAAATCAAAAGCAGGGCTCAGCAGCTCGAGAAAAAAGCCAGACAATGAGGTCTAAAAGGAGCATGCTGTCAGATGTTTGTTTTGACACTCTAATTCGATGAAACTCCTTTTTCTATTAAAGCATGCCAAAATCTGTCTAACTGCCTCTTAAACCAACACAGAGGTTTTGATACAAAAATTAAAAAATCTGTCGCTTTTACACAAATGACCATTACAGCAAAAATACGCCTACATTTACACTACAAATACACATGATACTGTATAAATGTAATCAAATACAACAGAGAAGCCACTGCATTTTTACAAAATATCACAAGTTCACATTTATATTGTCATGTTAAGAAATGTGTAAAACCAAAAATTAAGATTTATCTTATAACACGGACACATTGGTATTTGATGGCGGTTACTGTAGTAGAATCTTTCCATACATTTAGTTAAAGAAATACAGAGTTATTATCTTTTATCAAGGGGTTACAAATAAGCTGGGTTGACCTACTTAAGCAGCCTCATAACCGAGAGGTTGTAAGCAGGGCTGCTTTGCAGGGACCAAAACTTATCAGTCATCCAGAACATTTAGAGGAGAGTTAAGATTAATCCAAACAAAGTGGTGAGTTTCAGAACAGTACAATTAGAGATACAAGCAGTACACTCGACTGTATTCAGATACACACCTGACAGCATAAAAGGGAGTAGGAGAAAAGTTTGTCATCTGTACAATAAAAGACACCCAGGCTGCTCTTCAGATCTCATCCTGTCTCCTGTGATTGTTTTACTGAGTTTACGCTGATCTTCCAAAACATTACGAGTAAAATTGAAGAGATGTGAACATGTTACTGATACATAACTCAAATATAGAATTAGATTTAGATTCTTCCAACCATTCAGCTGTGATGATTGTCAAACAGTAAAGTTAGCAGCATAGTAACTGAATGCTAAATTTGTTTTAAAAGTACGGGGGCAAAAGCCACTCCCTGTTATCTCTCCAATTTTCTGAACATAACAGCAAAGTAGCCTAAAAGTATAACTTCAAAAGTACAATGAACACCCCCATGAGACTACAGCTGTGACCAAAATATTTTATTTCACACACTAGCAAAAAAAAATCTGGTAAACTGCTCCAGGTTTTTCTGTCTAAGAAAAGATTTCAAAGTTTGGAAAACAAAACTGCAGTAAAGGGGTTATGGACCTCTGTTGTCCGTTAAGGCTAAATCAGCAATTAACAGTCCAACTCAACTACATGTATGTTATGTAGGCGCCAAGACAAGACAAGGATGAATATCTGTGAAATATCAGTCTTCTTGTGGCTTTTTGATACACAGTCATTCTCTTTAGGTCTAAATGGGTGAATCATTTTCAGAAATACAAATACATACTAGCATGTATTTGCATGGAACCCCAGCACTGGTTTTTGTCATCAACACAGACGTTATGAATTCACAGAATTAAATGTACTTTGTTGTGAAACCGTTTGTTCACAGTATCAGTAAATGAAGATTAAAAACTAAGCTGCAACCACAATATAGGTGCCGTTTTAATCCGTCCCTTCAGGCTATCCCACACAATTTAAAAACTGACTAAAAGAACAGTCACTGTGACATACATAAACATCTATATTAATACTTAAATTAATAAAGGAGACAACAAAGTCATCATGAGCTGATGCTGAAGGCTGACTTGTTGAGGTTCAAGCACTAAGAGGAGCATCAACATCATTGAAGAGTTATAAAAGAGTTGTCAAAGTTAATGTTGTTGTGATTTAAGGCAAATTTGTTTCTTGTTTGTGTTCGTTTATAACCTAGAGCTCTTTTCATCTGTTACACTGTCTGACTGAGACAAGACTTTAGTCTGAAGGAAGTCAGACACCAGTGGAGCCACGTTTTCAGGGTTGTTCAGATGGACGTGGTGGTCTCCTGGTACTGTCACCACGGCGTTCTGAAAGAAACAAACAGACAGTTACACAAGTGCCAGAGGTGAAGTAAAACTTTTTGGGCCCACACTTTTGGTCAGATATTAGATTTGTGTTTGCTATTTGTTGTTGGTAAAGTTTTATATAATCAATGTCACTGAACTTAAATATTTAAGTTGTGAGCTGGACAGGAGCTGCAGTCTAAAATTTCATGTCTATTCATCACCACGCGCTCTTTCATACTGAAATTTATTACCCAGCCGTGTTACATATTTCATTCTGAATAGACAAAATCTCCTGACAATAGTAATTAATTTTAAACAACAAAGGCAACACCAGGGGGACAACCTGATCATACATATTGTATCAAATCAATCAGGCAAAAAATTAGTTTTTGTCGCAGGCTGGTTTTGAGAGGCCAGAAATAACCGCAGTCAGCAGGTTCAAATGTGAGAGCAGCCTGAGGAGCTACTGGACCTAAACCACCTCAGACAGAGAGGAGTGGAATAATATCCTGTCCTGCAATCCAGGCAATGTCAGCAGAAGTGGTTTGTGCATCTCAGAGTTAAAGGGATATTCCGGCGTAAAATTGATTCAGGGTCAAACACACAGTAACACCGAGTTAGACACCCCCTCAAGAGGTGAATGTTGCCGACCGCTTGCTTCTCTAGTTATACCAACTTCAGTAACGACTATGGGATAGCAATACACAGCGGTCTGAGGAGCCATAAACAAACCTCAACCAAAACGCCACAAATAATGCTCAGAACAGCACCTAACTTCATCAACAGTACATATAGGGTCCCAGCCACAGTACTAGCCACCAAACATCTTTTCAACTTTGCTGAATTTCTTTAGCAAAGAGACTAAACACAACTCACCTACTCTCTTCCAGCAGCCGCTTGTTTGTAGCGAGACCTTGGGCCAGTCCATTACAGACTGCTGCGGGGTGACACAGCTCAAGGAAGAACATTTATAATCATTTCTTCATGGAAATGCAATCAGACCGAGACGCTAAGGCAGAAGAACGAGGGGGTGTCTAATTCGGTGTTACGGTGTGTTTGATCCTAAATAAATTTTACGTCCAGTAGGGACACAGTAACTTCAACCACAGTGATAGTGATATTGGCAAGTGTTCAAGTCCTGTCATTTCTCACTAAAGGTGTGTGAACAGGAAATCCCAGAGTAGTAAGACAATCGAATAAGAAGAGAAATGGCAGCATAATTCCTGCAGAAGTCTGTTGTCTAACATAACCGTAGATGGAAATGTTCAATTTTTTAAGGATTATAACAGATAAGCAGACTAATCTCTTAACTTGACTGTGGAAATGGAGGGACTATTTATTTGGCTGTATAAATAATGTTCTTTAACTCAAAAGTTTTATCTCTAAAACAATATTTTCTGTCAACTTTTTAATATAGCTAGGTTTCATGTGAGGGTCCTGCTCACCCTGTTCGATTCATATTACCCTTTACATTGACGATGGCTGGTTTGAACACGCCTATATCCAGCTGAATGAAGGTCAAAGCTGCTGTCATTAGTGATGCATAGCTGGTGCATGTTCTGTTTTTTCTCCCTTATCTGCAGCATTTGACCAAGTTTCAGTATGTAGGTCAACACTGAAGTTCTCGGCGAGGAAAATTTCTGCTGCCTTTGAGACACTGAGCTCGTACTGCACTGCTACTTTGCATCTTTGCAGCTGTCTGTCTGTCTACTAGGCACAATTACACACAGAGGCTTAACATCTAAAAATAAACACAGAAATGCAAGCGTACCTACTTTGCACCAACAGACTGTTTAAGTACACTCACATTTTTGTCTCTATAGGCCTGGAGAAGTGCTGCTATGAGTTCCTTTTGATCCGGTTTAGCAAATTTTTTCTCAAAGCCTTCCTCGGCTCTAGAAAGACAAAGAAAAAGATTATGTGTTATTTTAGAGATGTACAGTCTAGTGCTGCTGAATGTAATGAAAATATGAGGTGTGGAAATATCTCACAGAATGAGTAGAACAGAGGCTGTGATCTTTGACTGCACCTCCAGACACTGCTCCCAAGTGATGCGCACTATGTTTTTCTGAAACCAAATTAGGGAAATTGAAAATCTAAAATCGTAAAAACGAACAGAAATGAAATAAAAATGGTGTGGGCTACAAACTTGTAAAAGTAAGGGACAATTATGTGCAGCTTACTAGATTAATACGAAAGTCTCGTGAGAACATCACTCCTGTAAGAGGGAAATTTATCATTATCGTCATTCAGAGGGACTTTGTTGCCATGAGTAGGGTTTTACACAACTGTACAAAAAAGAGGAAGAGGAAGGTGTACCTCCATCCACATGAACTAGTCCCCTCTCTAAAAGTATGTGCACAGACTGTTCAGACAGCTCTGGGTTTGCAGCTTGTAGCCTGGAAGCATATAGAGATTTATTTTACATCAGGGTAAACAAAAAAGCAAAGTTCTGAATGGACATGTAAATGAATGTTTGGTGTCCTACAGATAAGAAGGTGTAACACCTCTCTGCTGCCTTTTCATAAGTGTAAACTCTGCCTTTGTTCTCTTCTGCCTTTTTTTCATATTGAAGCAGCTCGTCCATCCCTTGCCTCATTGCTTTAGGAACGTCCTCCTGAAAAACAAATAAAAAAAAAAACAGGCAGAAATAAATGATGAGGTAAGCAATTCAAAGCCGCTGACAGGAATTATTTATGTTCAGCATGTCTTCATGAAACATTATAATAGTGTCATAATGTTTGAATCAACTCTGGGGAGAGAATCAGAGGACATAGTTTAAATTCACAACAGCCCGAGCCTCTTTTTCGCTTCTTCTTTATTATTCACTTTCTTTTGTTTGTGTAATAATGGTCCTCTGGGATGTCCTCTGATTTATGTTCTTTAAGGTTCCTCTTGGGAATGAGATTCTGCATTTGGATGGGATTACATGAATAAATAAAGGTTGGAGAATTTTTTTAATGTATGTCTCCATATTTATGTTATGGTGATGGAAAAATGTGCTTCGAAATGATCGGGAGTTTTCCTGAATAGCATAATTACTTTTGACCCCACACACATACTGTTAGTAAACTCCTGTAAGTATCAACACATTTCTAAGCCTGGAAAAACGTGTTTATTATTTTATTTAGGGGATCTTTATGTGAAAATTCTTATATTAAAATGTTGTAACTCACTGAGTTAAAGGTGTCATTCATTTGTGTCTTTTGAGCAATGATCGGCCGAGGAGTTATTGACTCGGTAAAGATGAATCTGTGAAAATTTCTCCAACTTTTGTGCACTAACAGTTCTTGAGCAAAATATATAACAAGAGCCACTCCTTTGCACCAGGCACTCTTCAAATGTCTCTCATCTATGCAAAAGCTGCTCCAAATGGTGAGCATATACGTAATATCTCATTTTATGTACAGTAGTCTAGTAACAAAATAACCAGTGTTGTTTTTCGTTGACGATGATGACGAAAATATTTCGTCAACGCCCCTTTTTTTCCATGACCAAGATGTGACGTTGATGTCATCTAAGACATAAGTCTTAGATGACTAAAATGTGACGTTGATGAATGTGCGTTTACGTTGACGAGACGAGACTAGACGAAAACGTTACTGGTGGAGGACGAACAGAGTTGCAAAATTCACGAGCATTTTGTCAGTCAAACGCTAAACATATATTCAGCAGTGTTGTTTTTATCGTCATCGTCAACAAAAAAAAAACAACATTGAAAATAACCCACATATTCAAGCTCATGCAACATTTAGCTGAAATCATTGTTTTAGGTCTTAAACGTCCTGTGTCTAACTATGATATGAGTTTGCGCAGGTCTTGTGGTGTTGATTGAAATCCTCTTGCAGCACAAACCACTTAAGTGCTGTCTCTACTAGATGTGTAGAGGCATGTAGATGCAGGATGTCTCCTGACTATAAGAACACACTTTTGTAAATTAGACTGAATGCCAAAGGACCTTTGCAGCTTTGAGCCAAACAGACAAAAATTAAATATAAAACAATATTCATTTTAAACTGTTCCTGATGTTGGTCAAGAGGTGTTCTTATAACCTTTAGAGAGGTCAATATGAACCTTGTCGTGTGCTCAGTATTTTTTAAGCATAGTAGTTTATAATTACAACCAAAGAACAAGACCCCAGCAAAAAAAAAAACCACAGTAACTCATGTAGACACAGACTGGTTAAGTTGCCCTGCACTTTGGTAAACGGCCCCATAGTGATCATGGTAAAAACTGAAGTACCGAATTTGTAGGTAAAAATCCATAGGAGTCCAGCATAACGACAGCGTCCACCATGTCAGGATACAGAGCACTGAACTGCAGTAAACACAACAGAGAGTAAAAGCACAGTGTAGCTGAATAGACCCTCCAGAGTCAGTTTATGGAGTTAAAATAGTAACAAGGAGAAAAAGTCAGACACGACTCCATCACTCACCATTCCAGCAACGTTACCCCCTGAAATGTAGAAAGAAATGTACAGATAAATATAACACAAGAAACATTTCAGATGCTGCCATTCTGCTGTAAAGCTGAACTCACCCATACTGTGGCCTATAATGGAGAATTTGCTCCACTGCAGAGCTGTGGGAGTTCATTTCACAGATCATTAGCCGACTCAAGTATCATACCAAAGAATGGAAAGACTGTTTATAGTTGGGGGGAAAAAATCACTACTGTGTTTCAACTGCACTACAGATGCACTCAAGCTGTGTTAAAACACTCCTCAAACTGAAACGCACCATCAACAACTCTGCGTACATCCATCACGTAGGAGGGAAAAGCGTAGAAGACTCCAGGATGGCGGTGTGATGACTGACCGTGACCTGGCAAGTCCACCGCCACGTATCTGCATTCTGAGAAAAAGAGAGGGACCAAGTGTCACCGGGTTACCTTCATTCAACTAAAACACTCAAATTCACAATTATAGGAACAATGTATGAAGCAGTGATTCAAAGGGGAGATTGTTTTTGTTTGTCTTTACTGACACAGAACGAATAGTGTAAAAAAAGTGTCTGACTGTTTTAAAATAGCGAACATTATAGTTTAACAAAAATCTGTAAATCTGCAAAAGTACACCATGTCACCTGTGTAAACTGGGCAGTCTTACAAAAGCAGGAAAATGACTAAGTGAGAAAAACAGTCTTTAGTTTTGGATGGGTTCTTTCACTTAACCACAACAACTATTTACCTTTGGGTAGGAGGGGAATGAGGGTGTTAAATGTCCCACAGTTGTCAGCCCAGCCATGCAGGCAAAGCACCGGTCGGCCATTATCAGGACCCCAGACTCGACCTCTGATCTCTCCCCATGGGACAGGCACAGAGAGCTCTGAAACTACAACACACAACACATTCTGGACAAGTAATAATAATAATAATAATAATAATAATAATAATAATAATAATAATAATAATAAGATAAGTACGGAGACCTCGGGCCAGTCCATTACAGACTACAGCGGGGTGACGCAGCTCAAGGAAGAACATTTATGATCATTACTTTATCATTTCCTTGAAGCAATTATCACCATATTAATCATTTTGCACTGCAGACACAGTAGTTCTTCTGCCTTGGCGTCTTGGTCTGACTGCATTTCCATGAAGAAATGATCATAAATGTTCTTCCTTGAGCTGCGTCCCACGCCTAAGTCGATGATGGACTGGTTGAGGTCTCGCAACAAACAAGCGACTGCTGGAAGAGAGTAGGTGAGTTGTGTTTAGTCTCTTTGCTAAAGAAACCGGGCAAAGTTAGAAAGATGTTTGGTGGCTAGTGTTATGGTAAAGACCCTATATGTACTGTTGATGAAGTTAGCTGCTGTTCTGAGCATTATTTGTGGCTATAGAGTGGCGTTTAGTTGAGGTTTGTGTGTGACTCCTCACACCGCTGTGTACTGCTATCGTGCGGTCGTTACTAAAATTGGTATAACTAGAGAAACAAGCGGTTGGCAACCTTCATCTCTCGAGAGGGTGTCTAACTCAGTGTTACGGTGTGTTTGACCCTAAATTAATTTTACACCAGAAAATCCCTTTAAGGTCACGAAGAGGCATAAAAGACCATTTCAGTCTATTTCTTGACCAACCAAAATCACCTTACTGGAGCTTTAATTTTGACTTAAACTCTGCATCTGTCTGTTCATGCACTGAATGGTCTATACACCATAATTGCTGAGTTCAATGAAGTAAAACAGCAACATATGTGTTTACATGTTTCTTGATGATGGTTTGTTATTTACAACACAAATCAAAAGCATCGTTTTTAATCCCACAATCATCTCCCCTGTCTGTCAAACATCTTTAATTGTTAATCATAAACATATGTGATTAAAATATCTGTTTGTTTGTATGAAACTCACCTGCTTGTGTCATCGTCCTGCACTGAAAGTATCGGACTCGTTTTAACGCCTGCATCATATTGGAGACCTCGCCCGTTTATATCCAGATATTATGTAATCATAAAAAGTTGGAAGATATTCAGGAAACACAAAAGTCAGTTGTTGAAACTTTGAACCCGAAGCCTTGGTCGGTAACTCAACTGCTGATTTCCGGATTCCCAAAACCATATGACATGAGTTGAGGTCACTATTGGATAGCCGGACACGTGGGGCTACAATTCGGACCAATCACAGTGAAGAAAAGGAGGGGCTTACCGTTCACACGATGTTTTCTCCTGAAGGGGACCCGAGAGTCTTCCTATGATCCCACCTTTGGTCCGTCCTCAGTGTCTCTCTGTAACCTCAGCTCAAGCGGTTTGTTTACCAGGGGTCGAGTTTAAGGAGAGGCTCAAGACTCACCTTTTAAACCAGGATTTTCACTGATTACCTTTTATATTTCTTTTATTGCAAATGTTCATTTTAATCTTAATGTTTCTTTTATGTCATTTTATTAATTATCTCTGTTCTTAGTCCTTTTCTCAACTCCCTTCTTAGAGGTTTTTACTTCTTTTACCCTTTTTTAATATGGTAAAAAGCTCGTACTTATCAGTTCATTTTATTTTATTCTCTTGTTTTTAGTCCATTGGTTTTAGTCTTTCTTCTTACCATTTTTTATCTTTTATCTCCAGTGTTTCCCAAAGGTAGCTCTGTCCTCACATACTTTCTTGGTGTCAGGCCATGTCTCTTTAACAATATATCTTAAATTCTCACTCTGTGTGCGCTTGTGTGTGTCGGTGTGTGTGTGTGTGTAGGTCCATGGGTGGGTGAGTGGGTGGGGGGGGGGGGGGGCAGGTTTTATTATTGTTTTTAGCCTCTGTGAGGCACTTTGAGCTACATTTTTTGTCTGAAAAGTGGCATAAAAATATATTTGAATTTGAAAATGGTTTAAAATACAGCACTTTAGTTACAGTTACGGTGACCTTCAAAGAAACTTCCTAGTATTAGAAAAGGTGCCTTGACATTACGATATTTCTGTGAATTAATAAAACTACTTATCAAATCCTCCAATAAAATTCATGTCTTGCTTGGTATTAAAAAGCAGGCTAGTTTTACAACAACTAAAAACATAGTTTGGCTTATTGGCCAAGAGACTATAAGAAACTAAAGAAGAATAAAGTGGACTACAGATTGTCTCATGTTACCCGAAACACTGAGAATCGCAATAATTGCATCAAATTACCGACCATGATGATAAATTATTCATCATTCAAGACATAAGAATTTGGCCTACATCATAGTTTTACCACAGGAGGCGGAGACAAAGTGGTGGTAAAATGTGTAACCTATGAGTGATGGAAATGTCATCTCCTTTCAGTGACTGGAATCATTTGGCAAAGCTTAGTCTTTAGAGAGCCAGCTTTTTATGTTCCTAAACAACCCCTCACTATTTTGGCTTTTCCAGCCATTTGTTACAATGCTTTGACCTCTGATTGATGTGTGTGTATGTATTTTATTTAAACTATTATTTTGTAGTTATAAAAAAATCATATAATTCCTTGGAGAGCACTATTTTACATGATGTTTGCTACAGGAATATTACAATTGTCCCATCAAGCTCCAGTCCTCAGTTTACCAAAATAGAAGATCCTGGCATTATTCTGTTATGTCTATTAGAGCTCCTCTGAGGAATTTTTTTTTTTAATTAATAAAATACAATAAAATTCAGATCAATATTATTATGATAAAGAAAAACAAACAAGACCATTCAGGGCTGGACAGTGCGACCGTTTCACTCATATTTGGGACTAAAAATAGATGTGTGCAAATTGTAAAATGTATTTAGGGGCACATGGGCGCATAAAAAAATTAGCCGAGGCAACAAATGTTTTTCATGTAAATACCACAGTGAAGTTAGTTTTAGGTTGGATATTCGATGGACGTTCACTGCGGATCTACCGTTGTCTTCTCACTCTCCATAACCAGTAATAGCAACAGCAGCGTGGTTAAATCTACTCGGCACGCTCGCTGTCAATGTTGGGTGTTGAATAAGGGACCATCAATAAATTAGCTGTTGATGTTCTCCAAAAAGGCTGTTTTCCTTCAAAAGCTTCCATGTCACGTGAACAATTGACCTAAAATTGATTTTAAATAATAGTACTTAAGTCAACCAGTAAGACACACATTATTTGATCAATTTTTATTGTGCTCCTAAAGTTCTTTGTGTGCTCCTTACTTTTTCAACTTTGGAGCACATGTGCTCCAAAGTTAGTGTCAAGCCCTGCCATTAGTGACAAGATTTAATATCTTTATTTTGTTATCTTTAGTGCCTGAAACTCGAGTAAGAGGGTCGGTGTCAGCCAAGCAGCTGAAGAAGCACACAAAATATTCACACTAAATGATACGAAGGTCTGTCAAAGGTCAGCAGAGTGACATTTTTTGTCAGCAGATTGTGGAAGACGAGATAAGTAAAGACTGCTTTGTTCACAGGGGGCGCTAAAGTTGAAAAAAAAAAAGTTTCTCACAGGAGCTTCAAAAAATAAAAATAAAGGCTGCGTCTAAATTTCACATTTAAGCTCTGTTTTCTGATTATGTGTCTTTTCTGGTACTTATGTTATCTTTTATTGAATAACTTTATGTAACAAAAGGCCCAATGAGATAAAACAGTCAATCCAAAAATAACATACAAGTGACCCAATCACCACACACAGACAACTTTTTTCCAGAATAAGCTGAGAGGTGTTGTTGACATCTGAACAGACGTGTGGTGAGGTTGACGAGAGGGCTGGAATAATTTCATGACAGGACAAAGGAGTATAAAAGATCAACCCTGATGGTCAGACCAAAGACAGTTTGGTATAATTCAACTGGACAATTGACTACTTTACAGGTAGGTGCTGCATTTTCTAAGATTTTATAAATAAATCATCAGTGATTTCATGTGTTGATTTCAGGTAAATTCTTCTTAAAGAATAAAAACACAATATGAAAGAAAATAAAAGCATAATTTAGTAGGATGAGACAGACTCTGCTTTGTTTAATCACAAGCTGAGACTGCAGACAAACATCCCAGTGGATGAAATGAAGCAAAATGTTGTCAAGTTAAAAGTGCTGGAAAAGAAATTTAAGTGCAGAACAACTTTATAGTAGAGACTCTTTTTTTTGGCTCTTTAAGCAGAATGAAGAGCAAAAAAAACACCAGTTTCTCTGATTTCTCTCAATGTGGTTAAACAGAGGACACATCACAAACTTAGAGGGCAGCTAAGGTCATAATTCTGCCTTCATTTAGGTCCATGTTTGCTCTGAAAGTTCTTGGCTGTTTACTTTAAAGCAATTAAACTTCATAACATTTCATTTAAATTCTGATGATACTAAAACTCTGTCTCTTGATTTCTCTGTATGACAAAGTCTGATTTTATTTCTCAAAATACGGGATTGTTGTATATTCTGATCCAGTCCTCAGTCTCTTCTGATCATGGCTGACTTTGATACGGTTCTGAAGTTCTGGGGTCCAGTTGAGGCCGACTATGCTGCCCATGGGAACCTGGTTCTGACCCGGTCAGTGACTGAAAAGTTAAGGTTTCTCCTTAGATTAGGTGAAGAAAGAGTTTCAGATAGCTCAGCTTGGATGGATTTCTTTATTATGTGAATATATAAATGCTGTTGAAAATTTATTTATAGTTATTTATCTTATTGTTATTCTTTTTAAAAGTTATTTTTATTTGCTGTATTATGGGGTTCATTGCCTCAGTATTAGCTGCAGTTGTGCTGTTGTTTTTATCATAATCATGTTTCCCTTTCCCCTCAGTTTATTCACGGAGCACCCAGACACCCAAAAGCTGTTCCCAAAGTTTGTTGGCATTGCTCAGGGTGACCTAGCTGGTAATGCAGCTGTTTCTGCACACGGGGCCACCGTGCTGAAGAAACTTGGGGAGCTGTTGAGGGCCAAAGGCAACCATGCTGATATCCTCAAACCCATGGCCAACACCCACGCCAACAAGCACAAGATCGCTCTCAAAAACTTCAAGGTGAGGGTGATGGCCACAAGGACATATCCAGATAAATGTTTGTCCCCTTGATTTAATGTAATATCAGTCATTGGTTTAATTCAATGACTAACTCTATGAGTAAATATGCGCTGCAGACATCACCCACCTATCAGCCATAGTGGCCACAATGTTGATTACATATAAATTGGGCTTTGACAGAATCTGGCTGTTTATGATTTTGGTGTTACAGATGGGAAAAAAAAACCTCTTGAGTTATACTATATTTAGTTTTGCAAAAAGTTTGGCACTTAACTACAGGAGGCATTGGGGACTGACTCACTTTTAAAACCAGGACAATAATGCTTGATCCGCCCTCACACATTAGTGACTCTGAAATCTTTTATGATGAGAAATTGTATCCTGTTAACTGTTTCTTCCTGTACTGTATGTTGAGAGTGATCGTTGTTGTTTTGGTGTTTTGTGTTCTCTTCAGCTGATTGCAGAGGTCATTGGGAAAGTCATGGAGGAGAAGGCTGGACTGGATGCCGCCGGTCAGCAGGCCCTGAGGAACGTGATGGCTGTCGTCATTGCTGATATTGATGCCAACTACAAAGAGCTGGGCTTCGCTGGCTGAAGTTACAAGTCACAAGTGCTGGTCTTTGTTTTGAAAATTGAATTTAATTAAGTATAAAGACGTCACAGTAGAGACTTAGAAGATAATCAGCTTTTGTTAGGTGGGATTGATCCTGATTTATCCTTGGCTTATAATATACGGTAAATCTTTCTCACATTTCACCAATAAATGATCGGTCACTCTGATCTGTTTAGTGCTTTTTATTTAGAAATCTGATTTTATTCTTTTTCTATTTGATCACTCTTTATTGAGTAATCAATGCTAAGGGGGGAAACATTACACTTCATACTCTGTGATGCCCACAGTGATAAAAAGGAAGATAGATCAGGTCTTTGAGATTTGCTGTCAAAAAGCATCAAGCACATATTTGTGTCAAGACTGAAACTCTTATCAAGCGTCAGGACACACACACACTTATACCAAATACTCGAAAGGACCCCACATGAACTTATCACCCTCTGAAATGTCCTCACTGACCCTCATGTGCAGTTTTATCTTGAATAAATTATTAACACCTGGTGTAATGTGGACATGATGGTGCCAGGTCTTTGGCAGAGTCACAGCAGTCATATTTTAGATGTTGTCACTCATTTAGCTTCCTGTCTGACCCTCCTCTTTTCAATCTGATTGGCTAGACAGGTCTAGTGTTTTTGTCACACTACACCCAATGTCTGGTCCCAAAAGTTAAACCTTCACCTCTGTGTTTTTACGTTTTAGTGATAATACATTCCTCGTGAAACCATTTAGTGAGGAGTTATTCAAAACCCTGAAATGAAAAAGCCTTTCTCACAACCCATCAATGCAGAGAAGAGTTTTTAACTTACAGCGTTCAATATTTTTAAAAAGAAATAAAACAGACACTCAAGGTCTCAGACTTATCTTTGTCTCTCGAGGATAACCAGAAGCAAATTGTACAATAGGACACTGGATTTCACAGCGGTTAATTTCCCAATTACTTATACATTGAGTCCATAAAAAGGCCAATTTAACAAGATAATTTTATCTGGATGCAGAAAATCTGTTGAACCTGAACTGGTGGACTGCGTTGGTTGATTGGACTCCATTTACATTGTTGACAAATAATTTTAAAATGAGGATCAGAACCTCATTTATGGTTTAGCGTAAACATATAGGGCCTCTTGGTGATAAATTAAAGTATCTTTGATCTAATGGCCTCTGCTAATGCTATATACATTTGTTTAACGCCTTTTTCTGCCAAACTAAGGACATTACTTTGTATCTGCTGCAAGTAATAGCTCAACTTAATACAGCAAACATGGCAGCCTTTGTACATGCCACACATCAGCTTTGGGATAAGGCTACCATACAGATGCTCACCAAGCTTCAGCCACATCCTGAGTTAATCTACACAGTTGTTATAGAGCTCAGTGTTAGCCAGGGGAACAAATCAGACTTTCCATTGAGTATGAGAGCAACAATGCAGATATATTTTATCCCCTTTGTGTTAAGTGACCACACATGACAAACATAAAGAACCAAAGAGAACAAAAAAGCACTTAAACACACCACACATATCTATGTGTATCTATTAAAATGAAATTAAGACATTCATTGTTTCATAAACGTTCAGTGAACAATGCAGATTTCTTTGACCTATAGAGATGAATAAATGACAGCGCAATATGCAAGTGTGATCCATAAGATGACACTCCAGTAACACATCGGCCATCTTCTTGTGTAAGGAGACTAGTACTGTGCTCAGTTAAGTGCCCGGCCAAGAGTTTCTGTTAGTGACTTGAATGTTAAAGAATTAAGAGTTTCTCTGCGTACTTAAGTCAGACCTACAGTGACCCCTTCTTACTAAGTCATGGTGTGACTTCATGTCAGAGCTGCCACTCTCCTGTGAACTAATTCGATGGATAATTGCCATGATGAACTAATAATAGTGTTTGTTTGTGCTTGCAGACGTGACACCAGGCATGAAGCCTCTCTTGGGACACCCCTCCCCCTTTGGAGCCTGACAATTGAAACGTGCCGACACGTGTATCGTGGATTTTGGTATCATGAGCCTCAAGTTCAAATAGGGTTGACAGATACTCTGCAGAGAATTGATAAGTGTGAAATAACTTAAAAATTTCAGTTATCATTAGTTTTCCTGTAGAGTAATGAATGACATGAATAAAAGAAAGAACATGTGAAATCAGGACTGAAAACATGAATGTTTACTGCAACTTTACTATTTCCTAGTGTGAATTCCTTTTACTTTGATATTTGCTGTTCTGTCATTTTTAACAGTTTTAATGATTTTAACTTACATTTCAATATTTTATTGATTTTAAGTTGACAAATGCTTCCTCTGTTCCATGTTTCTCAGGGGAATAAAACCAAACTGGGACCAAACTAATGAAATGGGAAGGACAGGTAGAGAGCTGGGGGGCTCCGGGTCAGTGACCCACTGTACACTGAGGTCTTGGGGACCTGTCAAGTCTTGGAGACTTGGGCTAATTATTTATTATCACAAATAGTAAGGATAAACATGGAATAGATGAAAAAAGAAACTGTTTGTCTTTTTGATTTTCTATCATTTTAAACTCCTTTTTTTCCATTTACAATATATTTCCTTGCATCTGTACTTTGAATCGCCATGAATGGTGCTTTACAAACAAACTTGCCTTTTTAGGTTGAAGTTGGCAGAGCTGTGCTTGACATCAAACCAGACTCCACTGGTAGCAGTGAACATGCAAAGAGATGAACTTGCCTAAATCCTCATCAAAATCACTGTTATGGGTGTATCATAGGTCTGAAGAGTGGGCATTTGTGGGTGAGGTTAATTCTTTAATAAAACAATAATCATGTAAAATTAATCTTTAAGCAAATCCACAAGTAACTGTTGCTTAAAGTTTGCGTCAAAGGTCACTGCACTGTTTAAAATCCCCTGCAGCAGAGAAAGTGTTGAAATGTTCTTAGGATCATTTCATCTGGTCGTACGATACCTCTGCTTTATAGTTTCCCAGTAGATATGACAGTGCAATGATGACCATCATCCTCTGAGGGAATATTCAATTCAAATGTATTATTAATACATCTGCTCCTGCTTTGACGTGCTGGATTGTGTGTGGAAAAGGCCGGCATTGCTCTTTACATCTCAGCACAAAAAGTTGTTAATTAATCTCCTCATTGTAACCATTCATGAGGTCTTCTTCTCTGCTATAAGAGGTACAACTAAACCTGCTTTAAAGACCAATTAGAACTTTGAAACATGACATTTGTGGAGGGAGAAGGTAGAAAAAGCAGAACCACAAATATTTATATATACTCAGACAGGAAACAAGTGAAGTGCGAACAGGTTGGAGAGCCAATTTTTATGGACCAACAATAAATATATAAAGTCCCAAGAAACAGCCACACGAATTAGTCAAAGGTCGGCTGGTCGATGTCTGGGGGAACAGTGCAGCGAGTCAGGTTGGACAGGTAGAGAGCGGTCGTCATGGGAACAAGGCCTGCCGTCACCTTAAGGATGGTCAGGAGCCTCTCTGCAGCATTAGTCACACCTGCCGGTGTCTGTGGGGAAATATCACACAGGAATCACTTTAAATGAGACACTCTGGAGAAATACATTCTCTATTTTCATGTCAACAACAGCATAATGATCCAAAATCAGCTAAAACAAACATTTACGATCTTAAGTCAAATTCTAGACTGTGTAGGAAGATTTCACATACCATATAGAATGCACGTTTTTACCTTTTTATTGTGTAACATTGCTTTAAGCTCTTTCCAGCTATAATTCTATAACATAGGGCAGTTTTTTTATGAGTGTGTTAGTGTGATTGTCAAGTCCATTAACAAGTTTTATGTTAATACTGATTTCCTTTCCCAGCAGGACTTAGCACCTGCCCACAGCACTAAAACTATTACTTTATGGTTTGCTCATCATGACACTCCTGTGCTTGATTGGCTTGCCGACTTGCCTGACTGAAACTCCACAGAGAATCTTTAGGACATTTAAACCAGAAGAAGATGAGAAAGACTTGACCCGTGAATACAGATTAGCTGAAAGTTGCTATCAAAAACCCTGCATGGTTAAAGACAATTCTGTAAGCAATTGAAAATATCAATTTAAAATGTTAAAATTTCATTAAAAATTATATCTGCCAGTCAATGAGGTCTCTTATAGTAAGTACATTTTACCCTTGTTGCCATTTTATAATCAGTACCATTGCATTAAAAAACAAATAAGCATGAACTAGCAAAAGAAAGTGGGTGTACAGTGAGAGGTAGGCAAATAACAAAAGTTTTTCCAGGCTTTAGGTTTGGACTCGATTCAGTTAACCCTGGATTGCAGAGTGCATCAGTAGTAAAGGTAAGATTTATACTGAACATATTTCTGTGTATCACATGAATCACAATGTTTACATATTTCACGGGTGGATATACTAAAAGATTGGTTTATGAGCTTATGTAAGAAAAATAGATCACAAAGTTGAATATTGCTGCAGTTCAAACCTTTCTTATTTGATTGGGCTTAGAAAATAATAAGTGAGGTACTGAATTTCTACTTTTTGAACCTCAAGGCAAAATTGTCTTAAGAAAAATAAAAAAGCCTCAAAATATTTCAAATAAATAGCAAACGTAAGAAATTATGGGGAAACAAAACAACTTTTCAACAATATTTTCATTTTTTGAACTGCACTTGAATGTGCCCTTGCGGTTCACAACTTGAAAAGACTGAATGAAAATGGATTTCTTTTTATAATCAAATCACATCAATGTCATTTCTAAAACAGAAAAACTAAATTGTGCTGACTTTTTCTAACATTAAACAGGCGTAATGTGTGGCAGAGATGAACTGCTAATGAAGCAAAGTAACTCGCAGCTCTGATAACTAATACTGCATTTGGCACAAGAATGAAGCTTTCTCGATACTCTGTTCTGACAGCTGCCTTTGTGCAATGTCGCAGAACTACTCGAGTTTATAATGTCAGCATTTACAGACTTTTTATTTCTTGCTCACAAAGTCTTAAATCGAAGATGATACAGACCTGATCCTCTGCGAAGAGTAAGGGGCAGTGGAGTGATGCAGCCAGCTTTCTTACAGAGTCCAGGCGCTCTGTGGGAACCGAAGCATTACGAGCTACAACAGACAAATGACAAAAGAGGTCAGCCGGTCAGATGGAGACAGCTGGGAACACTGAGCTGGATGTTGCTCATTTCCCAACAGTGAGAGGCCGGTCATACATATTTATATATTCATCTGCCCCTTTTTTAGCCTGTTTTGTTCTATTTTTAAGGATTTAACATTTTTAAAGAAGAGGAAGTCTGCACTGTACCATTAGTGACCATGAAGCAGACTTTTCCAAGAAAAAATCCAGAGTCCAAACACTTCAGAGACGCCTCTGCTGATTGGAAGCTATAACAAAACAAAACCACAATGTTTTAGTGTGTCTGAACTATTTTTGTATTATTACAGCCATGAATAGTAAAGATAACCCAAAAACATAGAGAACAGATCGAACAACAGAAAAGAAGCAGAAACTTATACTAATGTTAAAGGGATATTCTGGCGTAAAATTAATTTAGGGTCAAACACACCACAACACTGAGTTAGACAACCCCTCCAGGGATGAATGTTGACAACCGCTTGCTTCTCTAGTTATACCAACTTTAGTAACGACCGCACAATAGCAATACACAGCTGTCTGAGGAGCCATAAACAAACCTCAACCAAAACACCACATTTATCTCTCGAGGGGGTGTCTAACTAGATGTTAAGGTTGTGTTTGACCCTAAATTAATTTTACGCTGGAATATCCCTTTAAAGAGGATGTGGAGAGTTTTCATGTTGTGTTGATTCTGGTGACACTGGGCTCAAGGCAAATGTTTTTGGGAAGAAGTTTTTGCTTTCAGATAGTGCATCAGTGAATATTATTGAGTTTCATTCAAGCGAAATAAAACTAAAGAAGAAAAATGCTCTTTCATTTGTGCACCCAGGTGGGAGATAAATGCTGACAAATCTAAGAATGAAAACACACAGATCTGAAGCTTACCTGAGCTCTGTGGTCAGGTTGATGATAAACACCACCAGGTCAATCCTTGGACGATTCTCCTCATTCTCCTTGGGCAGTGGTAGACTCTTTGCTAGTCTCCTAAGTTGGCGCAATGAGTTTTTTTTATTTTAGGCGGAATGATATATGTTACGAACCAAGCGTATAATGGAATTCACAGATCATGGATTTACAGATCTACAAGACAAAGATGGACCTGCAGGTTTTCACTGTGCAAGGCAACTCAAGATGGTATTATGACTTGATACCCCTCTACACCGGTGAATACAACACAATACATCTATGATTTAGCTATAGCTTTAATTTCCAAGTAAGATGGTAGAACAGAGTTTTCAGCATTATAATAACTACTTCATGTGAGATTTACTTGCTTGCATGACAGTGGAGGTTGCAAATGCAGCATCACTGTTGAACTAACTCTTTAAAAAATCCCTCATGGATTATAAAGCAATGAAATAAGGGGATTTGATAACAAAACACCAAATGACTGATTTCAAAAACAAGCTGGTGAAGTTGCATTGATGAAAAAACTACATTTACAAAATAAATAAAAATAACAATAGAGGTAATAATAATAAAAAGTCTAGTTCTCATCTCAACTCTGTGGGCAGCGTTTCTAGCTGTGTGCTCTGTCCTGTGACAGCTTGCTTACTTCAGCACTACTCACACATTTACAGTGACAGCAGTCTCTTCCACCAGAGCATCTGCCAAACTCTGCTGAAACGTCTCCTCAAACTCCACCAACTAAAGAGAAAAAATACAAAAGTCAGCACAAATCGGAGATATAACATTTTGCAATAGAACACGTTGACACAATAAAAAAGGAAAACCAGACCCTAGAAGATCATGTGTTTATGCTTCAGTGGCCACAATGTGTCAGAAGAAGTCAGGTTGATTTAAAAATATAGATTTAATGTAGATTTAATATCCTGCTCCGTGCAGTTGTTGAACTGCCCCTCTGTTGTTTTGAAATCAGTGAAAACCAAACCCAGTCTTCTTCGAAAGTTTGAACAAATAAAACACAAACTCACCAGTATGTTCGCGCTGTTTATACCGGGCAGCTTACTAAATGGCTTCAGTAACGACATTCTGATATAAATTACGTTCTTCTGTTTCTTAGTTGGCGAAGAGAAACTCGGAGTAGAGCTGTTTGTTGTTATTTCCACACCAACTCGCGCTTCTTTTCCAAACGTCCGTCTGACGTTATTACGTTGGCTGCGTTCGTCTTCTTTTGCTCCGTTTTTACAGCGGAATGTACTCCCCTTTTGGGCGAATTACCGCCACCTACTGGATTAGCGTGTGAACCAAATCACCCCATCTCACTTTCCCCAACATGAGAGGAGCTTTTTTCCTGCTTTTCTTCAGAATATTCTCGGGAATTTGGCTGATATCGGAGTTAATTGTTTTTGTCTACATGTGCTACAACATTTCTCCCATCTCAACTCACCCATAGACTTGGAGAGCAGCCACATGAGTTGTTTTTAAAGCACCAGTGTTTTGGTGCAGTGCCTGTTTTACCTTCAATTTTTTGTGGTTTTTGCTGCCAAGCATAAAGCAATACACCCATAGGCTCTAGTGGTATACTGTAAATATTTTTCATTGTAGATTAGCTTGATGATTAGTCCTATTACTTTAAACACTGCATCATATTTGGTACTTTTTCACACTTGGCTATATTGTCTTAAGAATATTTTAATTCCTTGGTCAAGAGTATCTTAGTAACACTTTCTCTTGCCTGTTTTTTAGTGCTGGTGACAACTTTTGTTGTTTCTTGCGACTGAGAATTTCACTCCCCATGAATAGGGGAGAGTGGGGTAAGTTGAGCAAAAGGGTAAGTTGAGCCACCCCCTGTTTCTTGGAAATGGTAAAAGAAATTGATCATGTGACCAAATATTTAGGAGATGGGCATCAATTCATGGAGTCTGTGAAGGTTAGAAATACATGGGTGAAGAGGTTGGATGTTTATTTACAAAAAAACGTGGGGGGTAGTAGGGATACGGCTCAACTTACCCCATACACGGGGTAAGTTGACCATAGGAGACCACTTTTCTTTGGCATGATATATTATCTAGACAGTTATGTTTACACTAATTCTGTTGGTGTGCACGGATGCACAACATCCTGAAATGTATGCAGATACACTAGTGAGAGACAAAACTATGATCACCTCGAAGTAGTGATCCAAAATATGACAAATGGCTCATCTTACCCCACTCTCCCCTACAATGTGTTTACTGCAATGAGGCAGCGTCAACATCATGACGCTGTCGCTCAGTAAACAGGGGTTTTCCGCCACCTACAGGATTTGCAATCCACCGCTTGCAATGAACTCTATTTCAAGAAGAGATTGTACAACTGAGCAAAACGCAGTTTCACTTACGTGGCGTCTGGTGTGCAGCTGGTTAGGAAACCGTAGCCTTCAAAGAGAAGCCACAGCTGCAGGTGATCATTCAGGCACAGCAGCAGGTCATGCATATCTCACATCAGATGCAAATCATTGGTTTAGTCCATCTAGAATGATTTCCATAAGTAATGGCCAATGAGTAAGCTCCTTCTTTACAGTTTTATAAATTTAAATGGAAATTAATTCTCATACCAAGCACCATAAATTAGTTTTAGACAAAATGCAACCTTTAAAAAATGTAAATTTAAGTGATTTTCATGTTTTTTTTTGTTACATGGTAGACTGCACTTCCTGGTGATGAAGCCTGGGATCAAACTTCTAGTATGACCCATTTTAGGCTCTTCTCTCACAACCAAGACCTCTCCAATTTCACACTAAACTCAAAGGACAAGGTAATCGAAGAGGAGTCTGTAGAAACATGTTTTTGAATGGAAGCAGAAACTTTTATTCACATAATGATGGCACAGCAAAGAAGACTCCCCCTCCCCCGTACAACCAGACCGTATCACAGCAAACAGGACACAGGTATCCAGGCCTTCCAGTGTGAGGATAGAAGGATCAGAGCATAGATAGAAATCATCTGTATGTGATGGAGGGTCAAGAAACATTTGGAGGACTTCTCTCAGGGGAACACGTGAGTTTATTTTCAAAGTACCAGCTTATCACTGCATCTAAACTGAAGGACAGACACGAGGATATGTATCAAATTTTCCAGATGAGATTGTTATGGCTTGTAGGCAGCAGATAAAAGACAAACATCTTAAGTGCCTTCAGCAACTCACGACTTATTCCAAAGATTACTCAAAGGACTGTCACACTAAAGACCCAAACCTGTGTAAGATGAATCCAGAAATACAGAAACTGATAAGATATCTTAATGAACATGAAGAGGAAAAATAACAGCACTTGATGTGAGCAAAATTAGAAAAAAAAAAAAAAAAAAGATTCCTAAGTAGGGCTGGTGTCTCCTTACTCCCTCTCCTCTCATCACAGTAAAAGAAACTATACGTAAAATCGACATCATGAAATAAAAAAATGACTTGACTGCTTCCAGATCACACTAGGATAACGATGCAAAGGCTTATAAAAGTTTGTTGCATGTTTTCTTGACCACCACCACTGAAGTTGATCCCTCATTCCCAAGTTAACTTCCAAAAGTCCACCCCAGCTAATGTACATGTCCCGCTCTTGACACAAACTCACATACGAAGCTGAAACACACTCGCACACATACACTCATCTTTCCATGCTCCATGTCACTAAATGACAAATCCAAATTAAAGACTTTGGAGGGTAACGTCCGGGTCATATCTCGCCAGACTCTCGTTCCTCAGAGCTGGAGCGTCGGTCCCGCTCAAAGGAGAGGGATCTCTCTCGTTCTCTGCCCGTGGCTGTGTCTGCTATAGGGGACCGCTCTCGGTCCTCCCAGTCTTTGCTCTCCTCCCTGTCATTGCGCCACGCCTCCGGTGCACCCTCTCCACCTTTCTCCTGAGACTGGGAGCGCTCTCTTTCTCTGGTGTGAGATGATCTCTCCCTTGATGACCTGAAGTTTAAAAAAAAAAAAAAAAAAAAACAGGTCAAGCTTGGATGTGTTACATCATGAAATAACAAAAGGAAAATAAAGGTGTTCATGCTATTGCCTGCAATCGCTTTGGGTTAAGAAAACAGGGCAAGAAAACTGTCACCACCCCTAAAAATTCAAATACCTTCACATGTTTTTTTCAGGTCCTTAAACTGTCCTTGTAATCGCTTATCTATCCCACAAATATGCTTATTAGAATATTACATCAATCAATCAACTTTATTTATATAGCACATTTAAAAGAACCACAAGGGTAGCCAAAGTGCTGTACAGTGACACATAAAAACAAATATAACAATCAAAGAACAAGATAAAGCAAGCAGAAATACAGTAATGCAAAAGAATAAATAAGTGTATAAATAAGGAGGCTCACGGCAAGTGCTAAGATGATAAAAAACAAATTAACACTACAATGTACTAAAAGCCAATGAGTAAAAGTGCGTTTTTAAAAGGGATTTAAAAACAGGAAATGAGGAGGCCTGTCTAATGTCTACATGGTCAAAACACAGATCAGGTGCCAGTATTTTCGGTCTAGAAGGAATAAAAAGGAGTAATGGTCATTTTAAGGACCTGAAAAAAACCACATGGTGATTTTTAAAATCTTCGGGGTGGTGAGAGTATTTTCTCATTTACAGAGTGATAAAAAGAAACATCCTTAGTCCCCTCCTCCCGCCCTTCTGACTGTAGTATGTCAACAAAATAAAAAAAGAATTTTGAAAGTTGTTCAGTTTTCAGTTCTTGAAATGTTTGCAAATTAGTGCATATTTAATTGGATATTACCTCATTTACATATTCAAACATAATATTTGACAAAACTTGTAATACAAAAAATATTTGTCTCAATGTAAGTTATAAACTTCTGAAGTTTCATGGTGATATCTGTTAGTTCAAAATTTTACCCTATTCACCGGGGTGCCTCCCTACCATCTTGAAAATGACACCTTTCTAGTGGTCAAACTTTGGTAGACTTTGAATATGTTATTAAGAACATCTAATACTATAAAAAACAGCTGAGAAACCTTTTGTTAGAATTTTTTAGGAGTCACCTGACTATAGTCCAAGTGTTGACATGTTGTTCATCAGCAGGTTTTAGCATGAGTATGAAAAACAGTCTGTGTGGAGAGACAGTCAGGCTGAACCACACCTCTGCAGCGGTCTGATGATCATTTATACAGCTGCATGAACAGACACTTACATGCAAGTGCAGCTAATCATGTCTTAGTGTTGCAGGAACCAGCCACATTTACCATTTCCTGATATCTGTGAATGCATCTGGAATAAAAAACTGAGCTCCATAGAAGAACTAAACAGTTCAAAGGTTGTTTTTCTAGAGCTGAGGACTAACTGGAAAAAGATTAAACATGCCAGCCTTCACTTTGTTCCTCTGTACTGTTTGAAAAGTGAGTAAACGCCACTACTCTTGTTAGGATTGTTCACATTCAAGAGAATTTTCAAGGCCGTACCTCTTCCTTTTACGTCTGTGAGAGTGGGAGCGTGAGCGATGTCTGTCCTTGTGACGATGTTTCCTCTCCCTCTCTCTCTCCCGATCACGTTCTCCGCCTTCTTCTCTGGAGCGAGAGGAGCGGTGACGCCTCGAACGATGAGAAGACGAACTGCCTCCATCTCTGTAAGATTTATTTTATGGACGTATTACTTCGACAGCAAATTTCTATGATGTGCTTTTACATGTAGTAAAATGGACTGGAGTATGTTGTGTAAAATTACTAGTCGCTCACTTATATTTGAACTTATGAAGTTGTCAAAGCAGACTTACCTATATCTATCTCCACTTCTAGATCTTGACCTATGATGGAAGAAACAGAAAGTTTCAGTCTCTATTCAATCCTTTTAATTTGAAGACAATACCTGTGGAAATCAAACTCTCCTACCTTCTTCGCTCCCTCTCCCTGTCCCGTTCCCGCTCCCATTCTCGCTCTCGTTCCCGCTCTCTCTCCCGTTCCCGTTCCAGCTCCCACTGTCGCTCTCTTTCGTCTTCTTTTTCACGTTCCTCTCGTCTTCTCATTCGCATTCTTTCTTGTTTTTCTACAACTGCTTTCTGGGTGAGTAAAAAAATATAAAGAAGTGAGTGAAAACACTGGCTGCTTATGTTCTATGACTGGAAATTAATCACAAAACACGTTTGGTGGTGCACTGAGATCATCTCAAAAAAATCTTTTTAGACCCCTTTTGAGGTAATGATGGAGGGCAGAGAGAGAGAGAGAGCAAAAACTGCACTACTGGAATTTCTCTGCTTCTATTTCCTTTTCGGTTTGAGACACTGGGAGATATGAATAAATGCTCAGAAGTGGGAATGGAAATGATCTAAGTATCTGAAGTCATTAGAATTGTTCAGGCGGACATCCTCAGGCAGATCTAATAATTACTGTCCAGTACGCTAAACATCAAAAAAAGATAAGTTTCTAATCTTTGCCTCTAATTTTGCTGCTGAATCACATGACTGTATGTTTGTTTGAGGCCCAATTAAAGTGATGTTAAAGGGTTGTGGCAAAAAGAAACAGTTGTGTGTGACTGAGTGTAAGGATGTGTTTCTTTTGCATCTATTCAAAACATTGAAACAACAACACTTTCACTGCATACCAAGGTGCTTTGTGCTCGACACGTTGGCTTGTGCAGTGTTCATGTACTTACATTAATTCCATCCTCACAGAGCTTTGTTAAATATTACTCTGCATCTCAAACCAAAAACAAATTCAGATATTGCAATTTTGAGATCCTTATTTTGTAATTCTGGGATAAGAGGTCGAAAAAAATTCTCTCAGGTGAATTACAACAACCATTAAACACAATGCATCACACCAGTATCATCAGTTCTTACCCTCAGCTTTTCAAGCTTCTCGCGGATTTCAATGAAGCCTAGATGCAGCTTTCCTCCAAAGTGGTCAGCTAGTCGCCGGTCATTATCATGCAGACCCAGGTAGGCAGAACACACCTCACATACCCGTAGTTTTTGTTGCTGAAAGCTGGAGGCCGGCATCGAGTTTCTGTACACGTCCTGTAGAAACAAAGAGAGTGAGACAACTGAACAAGAGCGTACTTACTCCAGAAACAACAAAAAACAAATGAGGGTGTTTGAACGCTCTCTGTGAGACACTGTTTATCTACTGAGGTTACAGACAATGACTCGTGGAAAATAAAATCAGCTTTTTCATTTGATGCAGTCATCACACGATAAAATTTTCACTTTTTGACCTCTGCTTCCTTCTTCAAGGTCCGGGTCTTCTCCACCATTTCCAACACTTGCTGGGCTTCATCTACATTCCCTTCCCCTCCGAGCTGCTCTGCCCGGGCCAGAAGCTTCCCGATCTCTTCATTCAGCTCATGCACACGTTCAGCCTTACAGTGTCCAGGAAACAGAGATAAGAAGTAATTATACTTGAGATGTAATAGCAGACAGATCTCATGATTCATGACGATTAAATGCATCACAAAAAATGCAAAAGGGGGATTTTGTCACCTTTGCAGCCACCTCAGCGCTGATCTCATCCTGCGTCTCCGCTAGTCTCTTCTTGGCCAGCTCAGTCCTGCGGTCACAGTCAGCGATGAAGGACTGAAGGTGTTCAGCAGCCTGTGGGAAAAACAAAATCCGTGTATCCAGGTTTTTCCTGCAAGTGTACTTCAAAACATAAATACTGCATTTCTCATAAACAAACAGAAAATTAACTCTGATATCAGTCAATTTTCATTTTGCAAAAAAGAGCAATAAGAATAATCAGTAGAAAACGATATAGAGATCCAACAAATCCATTATTCCTTAAGTTAAAATCGTTGAAATTTCATGAATTAGTAGATTATAGTATCCTGCAAATTATGCTGAAAGTTCATGAAAATTTTTTGCCAATCAATATTCAGAAAAGATTTGAAAAAAGAGAAAGCAAGTATAATTTAAAAAGGATAGAGATCTTTAAAAAACCAAGATTCAGGACTAAATTGATGGAGCGTTGTTTTTCTGTAAAAGGAATCAGTTTATAGAACAATCTGAAAAAAGACATCAAAGAATCCAAGTCAAACATTACATTTAAAAGATTAATTATTTCAGATAGGAGAACGTTTGTATTTAAATTAAATTGTTTCTTTTTATTTTTGAAGGAATGAAATAAAGAATAAATGAAATGAAGTGAAAAATGCTTGAAAACTCAAGCGGCACATGACTTTTGACTTTAAACTCGGGCAGACACACAGTCAGCTGCTGCTGCTGAAACCATCAGGACATGAGAGGAGGTGTGAGGTGCTGCGTTAGGTGACTGATGTACACGCTATAATCATGAAACAGGAATGGCTGCTCTGAAATGACTGAAAATTGGGGGAATCAGTTTAAATTCTTGATTTTTTTCCCGTATCATCCTTTCTTTCGCAACAAGCCCATTATTGGGGGAAAAGTGGAGGAGACAAAAACCCTGATGTTATTTTCTGAATGGATGCCATCTCACTCACACTTTGTCAGACTCTGAATAGTTTACTGTCATCTAACTTGCTATTCTTGGTGTGACATGACAGCAGCATTGTCCCCCTCGATAAATCTTAACTGTGCAGCGGAAAGGGGAAGTAACAGAAGAGCTATTTCTAAGATTAAGGGAAGTAATGATAAATGAAATTAAAATTAATTGCAGATTTAAGAGCAGTATCTCTATAATATGCAGTTCATGTCAGGCTGTGTATTGATAAAACTGGCAGGTATTGAGGCTCAATGTGGGACTATGAGGATGAAAAATTTGCTCCATTACTGTTGACTTAATAGTGACAAAGGGGATAGTTCAGCCTGGGTTATACTTTGCCTGTGAGTTTTAAACCACTGCTCATTAGTCTTGTTGCGATTAGACAGAACTAATAAACACGGATCAATGTCCCAAAGCTCTGCTCATGTTTGATCAACAAACCTGATTTCCTCTAAATGTCGCATTTTTTCTAACTGATACAGCAGGGGTCAATATTTAAGGTTCAACTTAAGTCAAGAACTCGTGTCATGGGTTTGGAGGTTCCAGAAGCGACACAAAAAAAACCTGTAACCTTTCCGAAACATATTTCCACGTGACCCTTCAGTTTCATGTCCCACAGAGAAATTGTTTATCCAGAGCAGAGTCCAGAGGTTTAAACAAAGGTCTTCCCTTCCACTTAAAACACCGAAGCGTAATGTCAAAAATTAGTGTTTGTCTGACACTCTCATGCAGGGGATGTAAACCGAGCTAAGTTTAACTCACAAGCTGATTGAGATATTTTATACGGTAACATGATATGGTGAAAAATAACAGTGTTTTTGATATCCTGTTAACAGCCAGAGCGTACCGAGTAAAACATGACACCTCTGTAGGCTGACATAGAGATCTGGTGTGATGCTTAACTTGACTGACTGCTACAGCTCTTCTGTTATGTTGTCTTTACATGTCGATGCTGTCATATCATAAAGCATAGTGCAAATTTACACAGCTGGCTTAAAGGCGAATCAACCTCACCTTTATTCTGCTTCAGTGAGTTTACAGAGACGTCGGCACGTATAGGAGACCTGACAGCACCTTCGAACCAGTCAAGTACATTGAGCGTGTGTGTTAGAATGACTCACGTCGAGTTCGAAGAAGTACTCTTGCTCCTTCGAGGCAATCTCATAGTCCGCTCTGAGGGCCAAGTCATGAACCTTCATACACTCTCCGAGGTCCATTCTCTGCAGGTTGAGAAAAGTAAACACTTCATATTTGCCTGACTTTTTAAGTCTTAGATCTGTGTTTTTTATATCAAAGTGTTAAGGCCAAGTCTTTAACATTTTTTTGTAATGCATCAATATAGAACTATGACTTACTACTGAAGGAACTAAGTGTGATCACACGGTAGTGTGTTGTTTAATGTATTGGAAATAAACAAGATACTAAATTTAAAAGAAAGTAGATAAAGTCAGTACAAGAAACTTTAAATGCCCCGATGAAGTTGAAACACGTAGGCACTTAAGCTCATTCATTAAAGGCTTTTTAATTCTTCAACACAGTGTACCTTAGTTTTTTGTGGCCATGACTCTTTTTACCTTCAACAATGTTTAAGTCTGACCTCCCCTCCTTTTTTTGTTATCATAAAAAACTTGGCCTCATCAAATCAATCATGTTGGAACTGCTATCTCTCTTCATTCAAAGCGTAGTCCTTCAATCTAAACAGACAGTTACTAATTCAAAAGCTTCACGTTATATCCAGTTATACACAGACAACAACAGGCAGAAGTTCTTCACCAAACATCAGCTGACACTGACAACTGTTTACATCGTTTTGACTGCAATTTGTGTGAAAAGGCGCATACAAAGATGGTACTTACAGTGCCAGACAGAATGTCATGCGGACAAGAGTCTAGGAGATGACTTTTGCAGACCCGTTCATCTGTAAACTTGATTCTCTGTCTCATGGTATCTCCTAGTGAAAGAAAAATAGAACAATGTAAAGAGACTTAAAGGGATATTCCAGAGTAAAATTAATTTAGGGTCAAACACACCGTAACACAGAGTTAGACACCCCTTTGAGAGATGAATGTTGCTGACCGCTTGCTTCTGTAGTTATACCAACTTTAGTAATGAACGCATTTCTTCATGGAAATGCAATCAAACCAAGACACTAAGGCAGAAGAACTACCGCATCTGCAGTGTAAAATGATTAAAATGGTGATTATTACTTCAAGGAAATGATCATAAATGTTCTTCCTTGAGCTGCGTCACCCCACAGTAGTCCATAATGGACTGGCCTGAGGTCTCGCCACAAACAAGCAGCTGCTGGAAGAGAGTGGGTGAGTTGTGTTTAGTCTCTTTGCTAAAGAAATCAGGCAAAGTTAAAAAGATGTTTGGTGGCCAGTCCTATGGCTAGGACCCTATATGTACTGTTGATGAAGTTAGGTGCTGTTCTGAGCATTATTTGTGGCTATAGAGTGGCGTTTTGGTTGAGGTTTGTTTATGGCTCTTCAGACTGCTGTGTACTGCTATTGTGCAGTTGTTACTAAAGTTGGTATAACTAGAGAAGCAAGTGGTTGGCAACATTCATCTCTCGAGGGGGTATCTAACTCTGTGTTATGATGTGTTTGACCTAAATGAATTTTACGGAATATCCCTCTAATTTTGAGGTTTGATCTTTATATCAGCCAGTTCCCCCCAATAACAGTGAATATTTTGCTGTCCAAGTGCTGATAATTCCAGAAATCTGAGCTCAAAGGGACTAAATCACTGAGGTTCAACCTTGTATGACTGAGTCACACATCTGTAACATCCCCAGCAGCAGCAGCAGCTTGGATAGAGTTTGATAAGTGAACAACATCTGGAACAGAGCCACTAAGACGATATTACACGGTGTGACTCTCGTCTAGAGGCTGTCTGCAACATCTACGTGTTTCTGTAGGAAAAGTATGGTGACACTTTCACCTGCCCTGTCATTTCAAACCCAACAACAGGTAGCTTAGCTGGCTGGTCACCCTCATGTAAGCTAGCTCGTTGGTAAGCATGCCTCACTCTTACAGTCTGCGGGACTGGTTAGCTTCCAGGCTAATGCTAGCAACATCACAAACTCGTGTTGTCCTGGACCCGCCGGACAAGTCCCACTCACCGTCTCTCCCCGTCCCCATGAGCTGGTCCAGCATTGCTCTCATCTGCGCCTGGGCCGACATGTTTCCGGGTGTTCAGGCTGGCTCCTTCTGTGTGAGTCGCTCCACGCCAGCTACAGTCCTCACACATGCAGCCTCCTCGGCGGCGCAGTAGGCCCGCCTGGCTAACAGACACAAACACCGAGAACTTTTCCCACAAGGAGAGAGGGCTGGAGTCCCACAGAGCCCGCGAGCTGGATAAGTGTGTTGTTAATTCAGTGTAGTGTCTTTCACAACACTTAGAAACACCTGGATGATTGTAATATTGTAAACCGTGGATCACTCCGGGTCGGCGGAGCAAGTGCAGCGGCTTTTTGAAAACTGCCGGAGTCCTGGTCGTGTCGTGTGGCGAGCACAGAGTTGAGAGGGCGGTGACTGATTGCGGACGGACGGGGCCTCAGAGCAAATCAAACATGGACCGAAATAAGTCACTCCTTCCTCTGTGACATTATACATATATCGATGTATCAAACAAGTCAGCTACAAGTTGGCAAGTTTATTCAACGTCCTTTCTTCCGTCTTTTCGCTTCCCCTCGATACGCATGGCCGCAGGGCGCGCTCTCGCGTCTCTTCCTCGAGGAAGTGCTGCAGTTCGCGCGCGCTGGCCGGTTGGTGACGTCACGGCCCACCGACCGCTCCGCTGTCTTTACTTTGAGGGAGGGGCACGTGAATAATGACGTCCTGGGGCACCTGTCCCGCGGGTAGCCTCGACCCGTCCTCTCAGAAGGACTAACAGCTCCACAAATGTTTTAAAGTATCTCTACTATAATGAAATGAATTTGTTGATTTCCATGATGCATTTACTTAGGGAACAGGCTGAAGGTAGGGCTGGGCGATAAAACGATAACTATATCGAAAATTATTTTCCCTCAATATCATGGTCAATATGCTTTTCGATAGTCGACATTCTGCCATTGTGAGTGCAGCTCCGTCTAAAGGTCCTTTCACACCTGGACTGATTTTGTCGGTGTTAGGTTTAAAACCTGCTTGCATTTTACCTGAAATAAAAAGGAGAAAGACAATGGATAAGTTTGAGTAATGGACAGAGATGTGTTTTGGATATCTCAGTACCACACTGAGGGTTCTTTTTCTGTCCGTGCTCTTTTATTTAGTCCCTGGTTACATAATGTTTCTAAAGGGGTGATAAATGGTGCAGCAAAGTAAACATTCTCATAAAGCATAATGAACACTTGTGAATATGTGAAGGTCAAGGCGGCATCTAATGAGCTCCTTCTGATAACAGCGGCACCTCCTCAAAAACTCCCCACGATTTACTGCGGAGGATCCATCACTCACACACCCCCACCTGCTGATAGGAAAGACCTAGTCACAGGAACATTGTTCTGCTGTGTAGTAAATCTATTGGAGAGAGAAGTTAGGAAACACTCTTATATAATGTATAAAAAGAGGTCAAAACAGTTTATACTTGTAGTCAACTCTTACATAAGAATATGAGGAATAATGATAACTTCTATATACATTTATGCACATTATTCTAACATTTCCCTCCTGTTTATCATTACTTTGCTCAAATTCTCATAATCCCTCTAGTTCAGCCACTTCTCTCGATTTTCAGCTGCGAGTTCATGTGTATGACTACAAAGAATTTACACCCGGAGGTACAAGATGTTGCTTTAGTCAGAATTATACTCATCATCCGGATTGGGGCACAGGTCAGGCCATTGAGTGTCATCAAGTCTGTCCTCCTCGTCCTGCTGATGGAGCAGCGGGTACAGCTCCTGCATCTGCTGCTCCACAGGGGACAACGCTGTGGTGATAAGGCGGTTAAGAAGAGAACAAATACAGAAATACAACAACATCCACACAAGGTCAAATTAGCTGCAAAAACAGCAACAGAGATTAGGACTGAATCTACAAGATTTTTGTATTTTCCAAATACATTCATCCAATCATCCCAAAAGAAGTTATCTATTCCTGAGTGGTCTTTCATTTTGCTGTTAAGCATTTTTAGGCCCTCTATGGCTCGAGTGAGGCTGCTATCAGCAGCAGTGTCATCAGGAATGAACGTGCGACACGTTTCTCCAAACATGGCACATACACCTCCTGTTTCTGCCAGCAGCATGTCAAGGGCTATACGGTTTTGGAAAGCCATCAGGGATGTTGCAGATAACTGCGAGTGAACGGCCTGAAAACCAGCCTCAGTCCAATTACCTAGCTTTTGAACGTTGAAATGGATGTAGTTGATTCTGATTCGATCTATATTTTTGTTCATTGTACACCAAGGACAGACGAGAGACTCAAAGCCTGCAGCAATTTGATTTACTAGTTTATACTCATCTGGTACCTCACAAGGAACTATCTATATAAATCGGGTCTGACTCTGTTTGCTAATTTCTTTTACTCTGGAGTGGCTCAACAAAGGAATAAGACTAACTGCAGAGGTTAAATTTGCCACACTGGTCTGGAAAGTTACAACAGTTAGGATTAAAGTCACTAAGGTCCTATTATCAGTCTGCTGTCATTCAGGTACAGCTACAGAAAACACATACACTTTTGTTATGGTTAGGGAATTCCTAGTACAGACATAGAAGTTAGACAGATTCTTCATTTTTGCTAGATATTTTTGCATATCTGTACCACATGTTCACTTCAAATTAGTTTTTCTTAATCATTATTTATTGAGAGGGATTGCTAAGCATTCCACTATATGTTATTCATATCTTTATTAATATTCTTCTTCCACCATTTTTTAATTAATTTTTTTTATTTTATTTTGTGATGTACCTTTAATAAACATAAGTATAAGTGTTTATTGACAAAACAAGCATACACAAAATCCCATTGTAAACAGAATAACTCAAACGCCTAGTAGCAGTTAAGCTATGGTAAAGTTCTCAGTGTCTTCAGCACACGAAGCAACTGTGGTGTCCGTCTGGGTGATTCATACCCCCGCTCACTGTCTCTCAGGTTTGCTCTCTGCACATGGTTGCCTTCAGAACAGCTGAATGTGATTTTTGATTGGTTGTCACACAGGATGTGAGGACTATTGTTGTTGTCACTTCTCTTTCCTTCCTTAAGTTCATCTGAAGTTGTAAATAATGTTTTCAGTAGGTAAATTAACAGTATCAGGTTTAGCAGAAGTAAGATACTTAACTTCCCCATTTTCCTAAGCTCCTAAGGAATTCAACACCATCTAATCTTCACTGACATTGAGACGAACGCCCACTATAAGGACGCCCCCCTTTGAAGTCAGACTTTCCTAACTAAACCCATATAGGTTTTTTTTTTTGCAATGGGAAAGATGTATCCAACTACTTCTTTGTGCTATTTTTACTGCTGTGGGTGTCATTAGCAGTACCTTAATTTTTTTTTAATTCCTTCCACTTACTTCAACGTATTAAAAACCATTCAAACTTCAGGAGATTCCAGCTTATATTCAAAATTTTCCTAACATTCTTCCTTTCCGAGATATTCCAGGTTTTCCAACCAATTTTTCTTATTAGAAATACATTACGGAATTTTTGAATTGGCCCTTTTCTCACATTTTCTTTACACAACTTTAAAAGCCTTCAACTCCTCTATACATTCAGATTATGATCATTTTAATTTTAAATCATTTCATTCTTCACTCAGTATTCAATTTTTTCAAACTAATTCCAACTCATTTAAACTGATTTAAACCTTTCTGAATCTTCAAATCTCATATCTTTCGCATAATTTTTGAACTTAAACCATTTACAATAGCATCTTAGCAATTACAATTTTAGCTGGAGCAATCCATCTCGCAATTTCTTCAGAAATTGCATTTTCTAGTTATCATTATTTATTTATTTATTTATTTATTTATTTATTTCATTGACAAAATGAGTTCCATTGTCACTGTATATTCGTTTTGGAATGCCAAATCAAGAAATTATTTCTCTACACAGGATTTTTACTACTGTTAATGCATCTGGATGGGTAACAGGAAATAATTCTATCCATTTAGTGAAAGGATCTATTAACACTGAACAGTATTTCTTTCTCTTATACTGATTTAATTCTATGAAGTCCATGTGCATGGCTTCAAATAATGCATTGGTTGGTGGAAATTTGCCTCTTTTTGGTTTTATATTGTCTTGAGCATTATGTCTACCACAAACTGAACAAATCAAATAGTTAATTATTTAATTTTATTTATTATTTATTTATTTTTATTTTTTTAATAATTTATGAATCAATAGGGTTAACTACTACACTCCTCCCTCCTGTCGAGACATGGCAAAGCCCATGACTCGCTATTACTATCTCTCAAGCTCTCTCTGTGTGTTGATTTGACAAAAATCTTTTGTTTGGAAAACCTAATCTGTGATAGTTTATGTATAAGAACTGTTTTCTTTGCACCGGAGCCACACAAAAAGGTTAAGGGTAAACCCTGAATCATTAACTATATCTGCGGTGTTATGTCTGCACAATGTATTCCTTCTCCAAATGACTGTTGCAGCTCCGCTGATACAGGAAATCTGTCCTGCCACAAGTTATTGCACTGTTAAATAACTCACATATGTCAGACAGGGACTCACGCCTGTCTGCTGTATAGTCCATTCTTAAAAACTCCTATCACATCATATTACAGAGCACCTTAAATTGTATATCTATCATCCCATCTGTAATATTTCTCATTTCATATTTATTACTCATTTCATATTTATTACTAATTTCAATAGCCCACGTTCTTCATATCTCACTTTTATCTCTTAGGATGTTTAGTATATTTAGCCTATATTTATTGTTTATACTTAGTATTTTTATTATTTTTAGTCTGCATTGTACTACTTCTTATATTTAGTTTTATATTTACTTTTTGCTGCTATAACAAGAGAATTTCCCAGTTTGGGATCAATAAAGTATATCTATCTATCTATCTATCAAAATATCTTTATATATTTATTTATCTTCTCCAAGTTTAGCACTTCTTCCTCCTCTGTCTCGTCTCTGTTCACACTTTCTCTTTATTTCTGTCAAATAACATTTGCTGTCTCTCCCTCTTGTAGTCCTGCTTGATACGTTTTTCTACAGCTCTTCACCTAGTGACAAAAAAGCTCTACAATTCTCTGATGTTGTGGTTCATGACCTTGGTCAGGGTACTGTTCTTTGTCTCTTTGCTCTTGTGATTCATAACTTTTGTCAAAACTTCTATTTCCTCTATTGTGTTCTCTATTGAAATTCCTGCCTCTGAACCTGCTTCTTCCTTGTTCTCTCTGTCATAGTCATCAAATGGTTTATCATCTCTCTTATTATTCCATAGTTGTCCTATTTACCTCATATAGTATGAAATTCATTGTCACATTTGGAGTTAATCTTACGTTAAATAGCATTATAGAGAGGGTTTTTAATTCCGAGTTAGCTTTGGTGTTCTCTGCACTTTACTATGGTTACTTCTTTAAGTTCCAATAAGGTATAATATCAATCAGTTGGTTCAAATGTTTAACAGGGATGCCAGCTGAGGTCAGAAAACCTCTTCTTCTCCAGTGACACGTCTACATGTACAACTTATACTTCATAGACTGTAACAGTTTAGTCACAGTTTTGTCTTTTAATAGCTACATGCTTCTGCATAGGGAGGGATTCTTTGGGTGCTGTGTCTCTGGAGGAGTCACGGTCGTAACTGGCATGTGATGAATCATTTTGTCATTTGTGCAGAGAACAGAGACTGTACAGAGAATTTAACTTGCTAAAAATTTGCAGTCTGCATTAAACCTTTCTGCCTTTTAACTGCCTTTTCTACCTTTCATTTCTGCATTATTATCAGTATTATTTTATAATAATAATTATTATTAAAGTTGTCTTTACTTATAGCTTTTGATCTCGTACTGACTGCTCACGCCTTCCTCCCTTTGATTTGTTATTGCAATTGCGGGCTATATGTCCCTCCTTTCCACATGCCCAGCACCCTGTTCCTCTTTGATTTGCTCCTCCTGGTCTGGGCCTATCTTGTCCTCTACCTCTGAATCCTCTTCTGCTTCTGCCCCTAAATCTGCCTCTTGCATTTTGATAGAAGGCTTCATTTTCATTGTCACCTTCTGCAAAAAATGCACTAGCTCCATTTGTTCTTCCCTTTTTTCTCCTCCTTTCTCCATCCTCTCTGGCTTTTGCTACTTTTTTCCATTCATCAATCATTTGACACCCATATTTTATGCTTATGGAGTCGTGTAGTTTATTTAATTGGCTTGTTCTTAGGCTGCCATCGAATCCAAATTTAGTTACCCATAATTCGAGGAATTGTAATTTTTCGGGCTCTGTCTGGAAAACTTTCCAGTCTTGACTTTTTAGTTTATCTAATTTAGCCTTACTGGCTCCCGTCCCCATTTTTATGTGTTTTGGTCCAGCTTAGGTGACACCTAGGGTGTCCTATTAAGCTGGGTTCTTTCAATGGGGTAGTGAAAAAAATTCCTTATGTGGTAATTCTCGCTTCTACTCTTGCGAGTGGAGAATTCTTGCCTTTGCTTCCACAATAAGGTCACTACTTACAATCCCACTGTTTTGGTATGAATAGGATATATCTAGTGATATATCTCTATTCCAATCACTCTCACACTTTCACAATCACACTTTTAACACGTGTTTTGTTCTGCAGAATTTTTCCTTTTTTTTTTTTTTCTTTTTTTCTTTTCAATTAGGCCTTTGTCAACGGTACCACACCGGACACGCGCATCTTCCTCGGAATTTCAACTACATCTAAGCTGTGTCTGAATTGGGCCGACGTGTTTAGTATGCGAACAGGCAATTCAGACACAGCACTAGTTAGTAGTACTCCGGCATCATTCCTCGGAATTTAAACTACATCTAGTAGTAGGACTCCGGCACCCTTCCTCGGAATTTAAACTATTTCTAGTAGGACTCCGGCACCCTTTTTTGGTCTTTTATAAATTCTCTACGCGAAGTGAATTTCAATCATTCCACGCTCCTTTTTATAAAAGACCAACTCACCACTTGTCTTTCCCCTTGGCTTCGGATTTCCGTCAACCGTCGGATCCCAGCAGGCAGGTCGAGTCCAGTTCCTCAAAGAGAGGCCTCTGCCGTGGCCACGGTCTTATCTGTTGTCCACCTCACCCGCTGGAATCGTCTGGTCTATTGGAATCCGGCTCGAAGGACCAAAGAAATGTTAGGTTTAAAACCTGCTTGCATTTTACCTGAAATAAAAAGGAGAAAGACAATGGATAAGTTTGAGTAATGGACAGAGATGTGTTTTGGATATCTCAGTACCACACTGAGGGTTCTTTTTCTGTCCGTGCTCTTTTATTTAGTCCCTGGTTACATAATGTTTCTAAAGGGGTGATAAATGGTGCAGCAAAGTAAACATTCTCATAAAGCATAATGAACACTTGTGAATATGTGAAGGTCAAGGCGGCATCTAATGAGCTCCTTCTGATAACAGCGGCACCTCCTCAAAAACTCCCCACGATTTACTGCGGAGGATCCATCACTCACACACCCCCACCTGCTGATAGGAAAGACCTAGTCACAGGAACATTGTTCTGCTGTGTAGTAAATCTATTGGAGAGAGAAGTTAGGAAACACTCTTATATAATGTATAAAAAGAGGTCAAAACAGTTTATACTTGTAGTCAACTCTTACATAAGAATATGAGGAATAATGATAACTTCTATATACATTTATGCACATTATTCTAACAGTCGGGCAATTATTTGGGACGCCAATTTTTTTTTTCGAACATTTTTTCATATTCTGTCAATACAAGCATTCACATCAGTGATGTTTTCCCGTTCTGCGATATTGCGGCATTTATTTTTTCGGATCATGGTTGATTTTTCCAAAGTTTTGCATACTATTTGTCTACTTCTGACCAATCAGATTGCGTGTTGTTGCGACGTCTGATTCACCGGTATATCCAAAATGGCCGACCGGCTGATTGTTTACGTGTCGGAGAACAGAGTGCTTTTTGATAAAAAAAAAAAAAAACACAAATATTACAAAGATAACGACCTGAAGGACAACTTGTGTCGAGTCATCGGATTTCTCATATGACGATAGTTTTTGTGCTTTAACAGTTTGCTAAACGTCTTTGTTTTAACTTTCATCTGTGCAAAGTAACTTTAGCTCTTAAGCTAACCTTTTCAGATACAACATACCATATGTATTTTCACGGTCTCAAACTCAATCGCGTTGCTGTCACATTACCATAAGGTCTCTGTTTTTACCTTACGTTTATGGATTATAGTTTAATGTGTTTATCTGGCACTGGCCCTGACTCAGTACATGCTATCATGACAGACAGCCATCTCAACACTAGTGTCTAATCAGAACTGAAAAACAGTCAGTCTGCTGTTGTGTCAGTCTTCTTGCTTCCACCCAGGACACGTCCCTGGGCAGCCAAAACAGCTGACCATTCAGTTTGCTTTCTCTAGCGCAATGCCTTAGGACTAAACGTCATAGAGAGACAAAGACCTCACAGATGCAATAGCTTATTGTATGGCAAAATACATGCTTCTAATAAGAACTGTTAAAGTTTTATTTTTTATATCGTGATATATATCGATATCGAATGATATATAAGAAAAAATTGTGATAAACTTTTTCTCATACCGCCCAGCCCTACCTGAAAGCTTAATGAATATCTTTAACTTCATTTAATACCCACATTACCCACATCTTCATTCAGACTTTTATTTTTCTGGCTGCCAGAGTTGATATCACTACTTGGAAGACTGTAAATGAGAAGTTCGAATGTACAAAAGAATGTATGTTGTTCTAAGGTTGTTGGTATATGGATCATAAAGAGGCACACCTATGGAGATTCCTCCCAGACCCTCCCTGTCAAACGTCACACCCTGCTGCTGCAGCAACTGGAAAAATGGCGACCAGTATGCTGCGGCTGCCCCTGCGACTTTCTACGAAAAACATGGGGCTAATGAGCCGAAACACCGGCTCAAAAACATCATACATATCCAGGACAACGCAGAGTCGGACTGCAGTATCAACGCCTTCGGGGGCAATCCTGCCGAAACCGGATAAAGTGAGTTTTATTCTGCCCTGTAATCGAGAGATAACCGATAAGAAATACGCCTGACAGCGGAGGCGGGACCTATCAGTTGATTGACGCATAATGCTGCGAATGGAATGGGTGAATACGCGCTGGGTTAGCCGGGCCAGCCAATAAGCGTGTGTTTACGCTTGAGTACGGCTACTTTCAGGAAGTAACTCTACCTTAAAAAAAAATTGTGTTTATTACCTCAAACACCCAATTTGTAAAAGCCTATTGAATGATTTTTGACATGTTGGTATCTCCAAATTGTACATTTGTTTGGTACTAAACAACAAGTCCTACCAATCACGGAGAACGTGGTCATTGTTTTGTTAAGGAAGGTCAGGGAAATATGAACGAAAGGCCCACCGTGTTAACAGGACTGTGGGACACTGAAACACACACTTCTGGATATTCAGTTACCCGAAAGACCCCAAAGTACCTTATCTGATCAGTTTAGGCCTTGGGAGATCCTAAATTCCTGGAACACGTTTAGATATAACTAATAAAATGTGGTTATGTCCTGCCCCCATAGACATATACTATATACATACTGTATATACAACATACAGTCTATGCTTGTCCTTCTTAATTTACCCTTCTCACCAGAGAACCTCAATGGAATCCGACTTTTATAAATGCTTTTCTACAAAGATTTACCGATAAAAAGACACTGTGAAATTAGATTAACTTCAAACACATGCGATTAAGTACTTAGACTTTGAAATTGTTTGCCATGTTTGGTTTTGTAACACAGTATCTCAGTGTCCTCAAGAATCACTGTGTTGTGACTGCCTGATATGATCTCCTGGCATTTTAGGCACGAACCCCTGGAGGCAAAGCTTCTTTTCCCCAACTCTGCTGTATTAACTTTGGAGATTAGGTTTTTGTATTTAGCTTCTAGAGAAACAGCTGCCTATAATCACAAATCTGGACCAAAATATCCAAGGTCAAACTGATGTGGGGATTAAAATAGTTGTCAGGAGTAGAATAGATATGTTTAACTTTCCTTCTCTTCCCCAGACACCCTTCGGTCTTACCCGCATGACAATGGTGGTGGTGCCTTTCCTGTATGTGGGAACTCTGATAAGCAAGAATTTTGCTGCTCTCCTGGAGGAGCACGACATTTTTGTCCCAGAGGATGACGATGACGATGACTGAGGCAAATGCTCAAGGTAAAGTGTACCTCACTTACTCTGTATACACTGGTGATTGGACTGTTTATGTCTTATTGAGTCAAAGTATGGCATGTCTCTTTAGGTCAAAACTGGTCACAAAAGTAAATTGATGCAATTTTTTGTTTTATTGACTTTACAGGGTGCTTTGCAATATGGACTGAAAGCATACCAGCCAGCGAAATGAAGACAGGGAAGGTTGGGCAATACACATCCAACCCCATCTTCTACCTCTACATTTTGCTATTTATGTTTACTGTGATTCCATTTTTTTTAAGATCATATCATGTGAGGCACTTCAAATGACTAAGTCTGCCGTCACTCTTGTTTGCATGTTTGTGTCTGTCAACTGAATAAACTGAGTTGATTACACACGGATAAAGATTTGTTGTTATTTAATGATAACAATCTGCATGGTCTTTTCAAAGAACACAGTGGTCTCTGTTACACTTATCCAAGCTCTTTTTAATGACATCCGCTCATAGCAGCACACATTTTTAATGTACCATAATGATGCTTGTTCGTGTTTTGTCAAGATCTTCTATTTGCTAGCAGTTTTTGCCCCGAAGGACAAGTTTTTCGACAGTTGCCCTGGTTGATCAGGTGTTTCTGGTTCCTTCCTGAAGTACAGCATTGGCCAGTCTCAAGTGTTCATCGAGGGAGCCCGTCTCCAACCTGCTGCGACCCTTTAATTCACTCAACTCCACATAGGCCGCCTTACATCGCTCACAAGCTGCGTCTCTCTCCTAGAGAAAAGTTTAGAAAAAATATGGAATACAATTTAACCGTGTAGATCAGTGTTGTGCATGAGTGTACAAGTGTTACTAATTGTCATATCAAAAACACACCTTAGTAAGAGACTGAACTTCATTTTGTAGACAGGAGATTTCTTTTTTGAGATACTGGACCTCATTATCCTTTGCTCTGAGTAATACCTGAAAGACAAATAGAGAAAATATACTGTTTCTATTGTATACAGATGGTGAGTCACTTTTTGTGATAGCAGGAACATATTTACTGTTTTCGAGTGCAGGCCTACTTAGGTATCTCGCCTACTTAGGTATCTGTACATAAATTGAGAGTTTTTAAACTTCATATGTTTTCTGTTTGAAAAAAAAATTAATCATAAAATGCTTCTTACTATTTATCATTGCATTGAGTAAAATAAAAAAAGCATAATGGGTATGATGATTGCTTCCTCTAAGAAATACTTCCAACGCTATGTGTATTTTACTGGTAGCATTTAAAAAAAATGATTTTTATTTTATTTTTTTTAAATGTTATTTTTCAATTTTGTTCGCTTCGGATTCTTAGGTTTTGTTCCTGCAAAACCTGTCACTTCATCAGAGTAGATAATGTTGGACAGTGCTCAAAAAATTCATGGTGATTCCAGCAGTAGGTGGCAGCATGAGCTACACTTATGCTAATGTCTGACCACAGATGTCTGACACCAACCAGGACAGCTGACAAATAAAACAATGCTTTCTATTGTTACAACAGGAGGGCACTTAATCGATTACAAATAATCAAATTGTTTACAGGAATTAGTTTAACTAGAGAGGAATTAAACCCCCCCTCAGCAAAATCATCCAATGGTACTTATCTGCCTCTCTATGACGACAGCACTGACAACATTTGTCCTCACAAGTGTATTTAACAGGAGTGGGTTGGGATCAGTGAAAGGATAATATAGTTATAAATTAACTATTTTCAAAAACAATAGAGCACAGTAAAAATGAACTTAGTGCTACTAATACCTCAACTTCTGATGAAGAGCGCTCAGTGTTGGAAAGAGTTACTGTGTCCGACTTCTGCCCTGTGATGAAATAACGCATGCGACTGATTTCTTCTGCCAGTTTGGCTTTAAGCTCCTGGAAAGAGATTTTTTTTTTAGCTCAGATGAAGAAACACCTTATGAACCTAAATACTGTATTCACCAGGCTGAAGCATAGTATATTTTATTTATTTTTTATATGTAATTTCGTGTTATGACATGTGATAGTCCTGAGTATAAACCTGGTTCTCTCTTCTGAGCTGCTGCAGCTCTCTCTCCTTGTGACTGAGCTCACTCTCTCGGCTCTTGCTGAATTGCTCCGTGTGGCTCAGCTGCAGGCAGGTCTGAGAATATCTCTCCGACAGCACATCTAACTCACTGTGCAGGATGTCTGCCTGAGGCCTAACACACACAAACACACCAATCACCAAGTAGATTATAATGCAGTATTATGCTGTGGGTCATGATGGAGTGGAGAACATCTTTGGCCTGCAGTATATGAGACAGCAAGACTCTGTCCCAGTCTGATGGCAGATTGAAACTAATAAACTTACAAGTGGCCTTTAGACGGGGTTTCCCCATGCAGAGTTCTTCCTTCCTTCCTGCTTGCCTTATCCAACTCTCCCTCCAGCTGTGTTCTGTGATATGCTTTTAATTCCTCCATGGCTTTAGGAAGGGGTTAGTTAAAGGTAAGTTAGTCTGTTGTTGCTTTTTCCAAACAGCATTAAAAAAACACACAGAAATATCCATTTGCATGGACCACAAATGTAGCACACTCTCTCATTCTTACCTTTCGAAGCGGCCTGTCTCTCTTCCTGCAGCATCTTGTCTCTCTGCTGCTCCAGCTCCCTGAACTCCTTCGTGTGTCTCACCTGCAGCTCTTGCAGTGCTTTCTGATGGGCTACTTCCATTGCTTCTAGTTTGGCCCTGCAAGGTGCCCCAGGGCCACAAGGGCTGTCCACCTCTATTCCCATGGCTGCACGCTCCCTCTTTATACTCTCCACCTGCTTTCGAAGAGAGAGAGCCTGGGGACCGTATGAGAAAGTCGGGACATATGTGATGAATAAAGCTTTTGGATTTTACATAATTTCTCATCACTTGTGTGTTTCAGCTCAATACTTTTAAAGTTTCATATGGAATGACTTTTCTTTCTTACCTCTTTTTGAAGTGCTTCAGCTGTGTTTGTTTGAATAGTTTGGGCTCCATTTATAGATGACTGTGAAAAACCACATTCTGATTCAGGGACAGAGCATTTGGCCTCCTCTGGGCTCATTTGATTAGTCTGGGGGATGTTGAGAGTCTGAGATTCCTGAGGAGTGCTGGACTCATAGGCCTGGGTTCCAATGAGAGACTGTGCACTTATGTCCCTAAATGACAGGGTCTCCAATTCCGCCCATTTCCTACTGACCTCTGAATCCATGGTCTCAATGAGAGGCACAGGTACACTCCCCTTTTTCAGCTCCATGGAGTCCCACCTGCTGCCCATCTCGCTGAGTGGGACCCCTTCCTCAAACCATTTGTTCCTCTCCTCCAATCGCTTTGCTTGTTCCCGGTCCCAGCCCTCCCCCTCCTCTCTCTGACTGGCTGGAGCTGCGACTTGGTCTCTGTCTGCTGTTTGGTGGTCGTGTTGGCCGTAATGGTGGTTGGCCTGATGGGAGTTTGCAGCCGTGGTGGTGTAGGTGGCAGTGGTATGCTCATAGGCTGAGTCCTCGCAGGTGTACTGAGCAGGGGGTTGGCATGGAGACGGTCTCCGGGAGAGGGGGTTCGCTTTCTCACTGCTGGTGTCTGATTGGCTAAAGGCAGAATGAGGGAGAGACACAAGGGTAGAGTTACACATCAGAAGAAAGATGATAAGGGGGTTTGTTACAGATAGACCACCCAATCACATTGTCTGCATTTCATAGAGGTGATCGGGAATTTTCAGGTCAAATTAAAGACCATTGTTCGAAAAGTATCAAGGAGTTTGGCACAATTTGCTACATGAAAGTCTAAAAAATAAGTATTCGCAGCTAGAACACACTTTTTTCAGTATTTTATGATAACTAACAATAATTCGTCAATGTTAAAAGATGAAAATTATGAATGACAATAATGTACTTGGTATAATTTACTTTCGCACTGACAGCAAAACCAACAACCGGAAGCTCCTGAAGTGAATTTTAACTTATTTTTTATTATCATTTTTTTTAACATACTCTGTAAGGGCATGTGTCCAGTGATGGTATTTTTCATGTCATCTATTCTATTCTCTACACAAATCAATGCAATTAACTTCACCCTCAACATCAGCTGTTTTTTGTTGCTAAGCTCTCATTAAAAACAATTAACCTTTTGGAGAAACAATCCACTTGTTCGTGTCACTTCTCCACCGCCAACCGACCAAAATCAAGAAAAGAGGGGACTCCTGATATCGACTTTGTCCACAGCAATGGCAGTGGTCCATTTGTAAAAAAAAAAACTAACCTCACTTGTTTTGCTCAAGGGTACAGTTCACAGGTTAGAATTGATGTACTGATAAGATTTCTGGTGTTGTTGTTTCACAACTTCATTGAGGTTTACAACCTTATTTCATAAAAGCAAAAATTAAGTATACAAAACTTTTTTATACGCACTAAACAGCCAATATTTTGGGAAGTGGGACAACTATAATAACCTAACAGCATTAAGAGATAGAGAGAAGTGCTTTGGAAATGGGATTGTGGGCACTGCTATTAACAGCTGTTACTGGACACAGGCCCTTATCCTGCCTTCACAGCATTGAGTACTCTTAACTTCTATTTTTTAGTACATTTTGGTATTGAGACTGCAACTTTTACTTAGTTATCGCATCTGAATACTTCTTACATCACTCTCTCACAGTAAAAAAGACCAGACTCACTGTGCGTTGCTCTGAATCGCCTGCTTTAGTAACTTCACCCAGTTCTGCCGTATTCTGGAGGTTACAGCAGAGAGAGTGAACACTGCTCTCTTTGTCTGGAGAAGATCAAAAGACAGTGTAAAGATATGCACACAGACACACACAGAGTCAAACAGGAAGCAGCCAAACATGCCACTGATGTAGAAAAGGGGGGGAAGTGTATGAGGGCCATCAAACTGTCTGTCTGTCTCAAGGTCTGTTGTTCAGCAGCAAATGAGCAAAACACAAGAACAGCAAATACATACTTGTATTTTGAGTCCATAGTGCTTCTCTACATCACAGTCTGACACATCCACACATGATGCCAGGTCGATCTCTCCGTCCACATCATCTGACTGCAGCAAAAAAACAGTACTTATTTAGTCAAGTTGCAAACATTTGTGACTCGAACACCAAAGAAGAATAATTAAACCCGCACAAAACCCATCTGAATGACTCCATGTGGGGTGTTAATGAGGAGCTTTTCACTAATTTGCATATTGTTTCCCATCACATAACAGGTCTTACCTCCTCAGCCTCTGAGTCTCTGTAGTACCTCAGTGAAGTATTACCCAGAACAAACCAATGCTTCCTCCACTGAGCAAAACAAAAGAAACATGCACAGCTCTAAGTTCTTGCTTTCTGTCAATGCCAAAGATATCTGCTGATATTTTTATGCTATGTGAAGTTCTTCACACATAGCTTGTGGTATTTTATGCTGTCTGTCAAGGTGTCGGATTGTGGTTAAAACAGGAAATGGAAAAAACATATGCAATACATGATGACTATTGTTTTAAATCAGGAAAAAGCCTTTTAAACGTTCTTTTTACCTTGCCAATTTCATCCAGTCTTGACATCCACCCCTTTAGAAACAGCACCTGACAGTGAAATATTAAGAGGCAGTCTTTTAAAAGTATTCAGTTGTGGTTTCTGTGTCTCACTTCATGGTTAAACTAGAGGAAACGGAAACTGTCAGAAACAGACATGCCGTGCAAGATGATGAAGCATGATGAAGCGTAGACAGAAAAGGTTAACACTGAACCACGAGAAAAAGGAAACACGCTGCGAAACGAGAACATTAAAAGAGGTGGGTAGCTTTTGCAGAACTTCATTGTTAAAAATGGTAAATTGGGTGAAATAGGAAGTAAAAGAAGAAGAGTGAAAAGATTATAACACTGTCTGAAAGCATGCAGGCTCTGTAAGGGCAAAACTTACCATGCATGAGGCACAAGGTCCAGTGTGTAAAAGAAAGGAACAAAGAATGACGTAGAGTGAAGTAAAATGATGAAAATATCAAATTTGATAGCACACACTGTTCTTGAAGCTATTGAATTGCTTCAGCTAACAAAGAGCATTGAAATAGGATCTTAAGTTTTTCATTTTGCAGTAATTTATTTCAAGATAGATATCTAGCAACATCTAGAGACAAGATTGTAAATTTGAAACGCTTCCCTGCTTACCTCTCACATCACTGAAGCCACAATTTTTATATTATACACATGTTGGAGTATACTTTAAAGTATTAAATCCCATTATTACCAAGTCCATTCTGCTAAATGTTGGAAAATTTTATGCACTGCCCCTTTAAAAGATTTAGGAACGACTCTGCAGAAAACATTGTCTCGAATTGGCCTAGAACCTAGTTATAAAGACGATAAATCATGTGAACATGCTGACATCTGGCTTTTTCCACAGCAAGTTGCTTCTGCACAGAACAACTAGTTATAAAGAAGTCCCAAACAAACTGACCTGTTTTCCTACTCTCATGGGATTCGAGTAGATGCTGAAAGTCACAAGACCAAACTCACCTGTGTCTGTGGACGTTCATGGGAGGCATGCGCCTTCGACTTCATAGATCTGTGTTGATACTCTGAAGTCTTCATAAAAAAGCACAGATTAAAAGCTTTACTAATGACATTGATTGAACTGTGGAGATGGCTCCAGTGATTGTAACACACCTGTATTTTAGGAGATGCTGTCGACTGTCTTCGAGATGATCGTCCATTCTCAGAGTCCCGACATTTCTCTCGTCTGTCCCTACCCCTCTCTCTGCCTCTCCCCCTCTCATCCTGCTCAAACCTCGAACCGTAGATATCAGTCTCATCCTGATACCTTCACGAATTGATTAATTATGAAGAAAAGACACAAAATATGCATACATCCTTCATCAGAACATGAACATACAACAGGCCTAATTTACCTCGTATTTTTCATGGCTGGGAATTGAACCAACAACCACTGTGGTAAGGACTGTAACCTCTGGGTCAACCGGTGCATATATGTTGTAATAGTTTCACCTGTAGATGGTGCCTAAAGGCTTTGAAAGCTGCAGCAGCAAATGGCTGGTGGCAGAGACGGCTTACACACTGCGACTACTCCAGGACTTACCACTCTCTAGTTTTTACACGCTACAGTACTTGTCCCTAATGTTTTGGCCACCAAATAAACAGTGCACAAGTAACACATCTTACGTAATACGAGAGACCATGAGACATCTGTTCAATACCACCAACCTGTAAGTCCTCAGCTTCTGATCTCTGCACGGGCTGGGACTCTGGTTTCTCCTCTTCAGCCCAGGTAGCTCTTCTTCTGACTCCAGATAGATCTTTGGAATATCAGCCAGGACAATATAGTCGTCCATGGTCATCCCCACCTACAATGAAAAGATGAAGTTTTTTTTATGATAATGAGATAATATAATCAGTGAGTCAGAGAAACCAAAGTCCTGCTGATGTCAAAAACTGTTAGCATGCCTTGCTCATGTTTAGTAGTAATGAAATTTGCTTTGTTTAACAGTTTATTTCACTGATATAGCGGGCTAATTTATTCTAACTTAAAGGGATATTCCGGCGTAAAATTAATTTAGGGTCAAACACACCGTAACACCGAGTTAGACACCCCCTCAAGAGATGTTGCCGACCGCTTGCTTCTCTAGTTATACCAACTTTAGTTACAACCGACGATAGCAATACACAGCGGTCTGAGGAGCCATAAACAAACCTCAACCAAAACGCCACTCTATAGCCACAAATAATGCTCAGAAAAGCACCTAACTTCATCAACAGTACATATAGGGTCCAAGCCACAGTACTAGCCACCAAACATCTTTTTAGCTTTGCCTAATTTCTTTAGCAAAGAGACTAAACACAACTAACCGACTCTCTTGCAGCAGCCGCTTGTTTGTAGCGAGACTTCAGGCCAGTTCATTACGGACTGCTGCGGGGTGACGCAGCTCAAGGAAGAACATTTATGATCATTTCTTTATCATTTCCTTGAAGTAATAATCATCATATTAATCATTTTGCCCTGCAGATGTGGTAGTTTTTCTACCTTAGCGTCACGGTCTGATTACACTTCCATGAAGAAATGATCACCCAAAATTAATTTTACACTGGAATATCCCTTTAAACCAACCAATGACCAAGTACTTAAGCGGTTATTCAATCCTCAACAGAAGCAATGTATGAATAAAAGCTTGGATGCAAAAAAAGTCGAGATCGTCAGAGTCAGTAACTTTTATCCTTAGGGAACTGACAATAGGTACTCCCGCGTGGTGGGTTTGGCTAAGGACACCTAAAACCTGATACACATACCTCCTCCTCTTCCACTGCCTCCTTCTTGGGTTCAGAGATCAGTAAGGCATCCATGCCTCTCCTCACGTTGCTCCTGCTTCTGTCACCACTCAAGTTATTTTTTTCTCTATTACCTTTATCGGTTTCCATCAGTGAAACTGGTGAAAGTGAACCACCAAGCATGAGAGAGTCAACACTTTTTAACTGGTGTCTTGATGTCGACGAACCGCGAGAGGGCGGGAGGCTGAGTAAGGAGTGTGAGGACCCCTGCCAGGAGCCTTGAGAAGGACTGACTTTACTCTCCCTCTGTGGGGTGTGGCTGTGTGTGCTATAGCCGTTCCTAGGTGGAGATATCTCACGACTGTTGCGAGACAGAGCGTTGGCCGGGCTGTTGATAGCTGTTCTTGGCTGAGGAGATGCTTGAGATCTGTCAGATGAGTTTTTCTGGTTGGTGGATGACCCACGGCGTGAGAGAGACTCCAGGTTCCTGTAGAGCCTTTCAGAATCCAAGCTGTGTTTGTTGGAAGATACAGACGGGCTCCTTGAGTTTCTGCTGTATCCCTTTTGTGCATCATATTCCCCGTTCTGCAAATGGAAAGAGTCAGTATGCCTGTGAGAGGGAGTGGCTCTAGAAGGTGAGACCGTCCTTGAGGTGGTGGACCCCCTCCTGCAGCCTGGACTTGTCCTGCCGGATGTCTGTCGAGAAGGACCGTGTGATGGAAGCTGAGAGGATCCATGTGATGTGGAGTGAGACCGGGCTTGACTCCTGGAGATGGAGCTTCTCCGCTGGGTCATTACAGGAGATTCAATCAACTTGTAGCGATCTGGACTCACAGAGCTGTGCCGTGTTGGTGAATTCTGCTCTGAATCCGTTCTGCGTCTGAAGTTTGAGTGGTAGGTGTACCTCTCAGGGGACTCACTTCTCCAAGATTCTTGCATGAACGTGTCTCGACTCCTCCGCTGGGATGGCACACCCAGGTTGACGTTCCTGTAGGGGACGCATGCTTTTGGCTCAGGAGTATAGTTACTGGGAAGAGGATGTCCCCTCTCATAGTAACGATACTGCCGTTTGTTGACTTCCTCCATCTGCTGCTGACTATCACCTCTTCTGTCTGGAGAGAAATAGCCGCTCTCTTGTTCCCTGTCTCGACCGGACTCTGAAAATCAGAGGTTATGTTCAAGATTAATTTATGTAAAAAAAGAAAGCAGCAAACTTAAACATGTATTGTATTTTTTACGTACCTGACATGCGGCAGGACCTGTCCCTGCCCCTCCTCTCATCCATCCAGGAGCTTCCAGTTCCACGATGAGGAGAAGGGTCCAACCGAGTCATATCTCTCTGGGCCACACAGCTCCTCCCTGCACTGAGGGATCTGCTCCTGCCTGGATTGTCGCAGAGATTTGGAGAGCTGGAGGAAAGTGAATAAAACTAATCACTTATACAGACAATAAAACAAATAAAAAACGCAAGTTATTATTTCTGGTCTATGCAAAAGATCCTGAACGCATGGGCCTACAGAGCTCAGGATATTTTGCAGTGACTCAGGTCAAAATCCCTCCTAAATGTACTTGCTAAATCTTTGAGCGCAACACTGGAGACTGCAGGATTGTAATGCAATGAGAGTTTATGGGGCATTAAAAAATACAGCAATACACTGTATTTAAAGCTCCTGTTTGTGTAAATTAGAGCACTCCCTGTGGACAAAGAAGCCTCTGTTTATCTTGTATTCCACATGCTTAGGAAATGTCCACTGACCAAATATTTCACCACGCTGACCTTTGACAGTCAAGCGTTTATATGGAAATATAAAAAAATAGGGCTATTTCTTGAACTGCTTGGCTGACACCTACCCCTTGCACTGTTTTGCAAACATATAATGGCACTGTTCGCATTAATCCCAGTGTGAATCCTAATTTATTTCCCAAGGGGATGATCTACTTTGAGCCTTTGGAGGCCTCACCATGGTGCCATTAATTTCAGTTTTCCTTTAGGTTGTATAAACAATAGCAAGCTTAAAAATAGTGGCACATTGCTTGCTGCACAGATCTCAAAACACACACTTGTTTATGGGACAAGAGCAGGATATTGAGTATGCTGTTTTTGGTAACACTATACTTGACACCTATCTCTATAACGCATCATAAATATATGTATAATGCGTTATAATCATGTTATAGCACTGTAAAACTACAGTTATAAACACTCATAAATGATCATAATGCTTTATAGCAATAATCATAACACATTATAAAGCTTTTTATCATGACTTACAAGGTCAGGTATCATAATGTGTTATTATTTGCTTATAAACTTGTATAACTATAACTTGTAATTCATGATAAAATGCTTTATTATGTATTATGATAATTGCTATAAAGCATAAGGACCATTTATGAGTGTTTATAACTACAGTTATACAGTGCTATAACGTGATTATAACACATCATACATATATTTATAATGCGTTATAGAGATGGCGTCAAGTAAAGTGTTACCTTGTTTTTCACTCAAGTCAAATGGTTTGCACACTTTAGATGATTTTTGCTTTGAAAAAAATATTTCAATAATGAACAGTGAACAGTGAAAACAGCATATGAGAAAACAAATCTTCTGTCTGTCTCTATACTAAGTGCTTCTGAAGCTCCTGTGAGGAAGTTCTTGCACACACAGAACACCCTGTGAAGATATGAACTGGTTTACCAAAACGTATGTGAATAGGACACTCTGTACCCTAAATATAAGACAACTTTGATGATGTAATTATTTAATGTAAGAACACTGATTAGTGCAACTCTAATCTGATCAAACTTGAACCACTATTGGTGGTAATATTCCTCTTCTATGGAGGTCCCTTAGAGGTGAGACAATGTTAGTTTCTGACATAGATGCACTCACTGCCAAGGCAAAGTGTTCTTGCTCAAAAGTAGTTTCTAAAATAAGGATACAAGATACGGTAACCTGGATTGTATGTCAGAGCCGCAGATATTAAGTTCCCACTCGGGACTCAGGCTGTGGACTAGACTCCACTCATAGGTCCAACCACCACTGATGTCATCACTGCTGGCATTTGAGGTCACCTCAGAGAGGACACGGTTATCATCATCTGTGTCCTGGTTTGTAGAGCAGAAAAAACACATTTCCCAAGTATTAGGTTAAAAGTAAAGCTTATGAATTCTTAAATAAAAGAAACGCATAAATTACATCAACATTTAACAGACAGAAATGCTGAGTTGCTGTAGGGGTGACGGAGTTGTTTCATGTGTTGACTGTTTTTATGATGATCTCTACAGTACAAGTCCCTACAGGGATCAGAGTTAATTCAATCATGACTGTAAAATGACCTGCACCACATAACGACCCTGACAAAAGATTAACACACAGTTACCTGATGAATGATGTCTTTCCTCTTGAAGGTTTAAAAGAACAAACCGATCAATATACAATTAACCTGCAAACATTCATTACATCTGTACAAATATCTAACTAACATCCTAAATCCAAACAAGACGGAAAACTTACTTACTGTAACTTCTCACTGCCTTCAAGCCAAATCTTCAGTCAAGTCTCGAAGCAACTTCTTCCTCCTTCTCTCCATTCAGCATTAGCTAGGCTTATACTTTTAGTGCACACAGGACGTAACTTAAGCTAGTCCCCGGTCATGCTCATCATTATTTCATTGCTCCAGTGCTTTTGCATCACCAAGACCGCCCATTCGACGTCTTTCTCACCTTTATCTTAATCCTCCTGCCTTCATTTTTTAAAAATCTCATTCACAATCATCCTCCAAAAATATGTACTCCTTCTTTAAATCCTTGATTTTTTACAGGAAGCTGTATTGTTTTGTCTTAAAACTAAAACATTTACATTTAAGTAATAAAACTGATAAAAGAACTTTGTTTGGGTAGGTCAGGTAGGTACTTTTAGGGGAACTGTTTGCATGTATTGAACAGGCATCTTAGATTACCACCCATAAGTAATTAGCTTTTATTAATTTATGATTCAGAATCAAATGCCAACTTCTAGTATAATCCTCCTTCCCTGTCTACAGTAGTTTCAGTTTGTGCTACTGCTGACATCATGAATCCAGTCTGTTTTATCATGCCTGTATCTTGAACTATCGTACACAATGTCCCCTGTTGCACATTTTGTACTCAATATGCAATTTTTCCATTGTTAGATTCCTGGTTAAATAAATTCTGTATTTATCAACAAACTACAAAAGGAGATTTTTTTATCTGAATATGATTTTTTTTTAAAATCTCACCTTCCAATGATGTTTCCTTAAACTGTCTTTCTTAATCTGTGACTAATATGTCTAGATTCTTGTTGTGAGTTTTTTGTTCTCAGTGTACAATGACACATGTAGCTTCCGCACATTTGTGTCGAACAGGATACAAAAGATGCACCTCAGATTCACCTCAGCACAGCTCCTCTGCAGTGGAGATATATTTCTGCAGACCAAAACCCTGCAGACCTTGCATCAAGACCTTCAAGAGCATGTGAACTTTGCTCACCAAATTGGTCTATAGGACCTCAGTTCTTACGGGAGAAGGTCTAAACTTCAGCTGCAGAGGCAAAGTAGGGAGACCATGAAGTAAAAAGGGTAAAAGTACTGTACTTTGAGTAAACCTCAAAGCAATTAAGCCTGACCGCCTGCATGTCAAAGTTTTCTCTGTGGTGTAAAGTCACACAGGTACACCTTCTTCAATGTGCAACGGGGGACAGGTCAACAGGTCACAGGACTGTACAAGAGTGAGAGACAAGTGTGTCCAGAGGAAGTCAAGTTTCTCAGCAATGGAAAACAGTTTCCATCCCAGAGTAAGCTGTACCACATGAACTCCTTATTTGAACAAGATGATCCTCAAGGTAGGAGGTAGACTGAAAAACTCAACACTCAATACCTCTGAGGCATCCAGTAATAATTCCAGTGAATCCTCACATTACCAGGAAGATAATAACTCGCTATCATGAGAAAATTCAGCATCAAAGCAAGGGTCTGACAATTGAGGAATCCAGATCAAATGGATTGTGGTTTCTAGGAATCAGCAGTACTGTTGCCACACACAAGAGTCGATGTGTAACATGTCGTAACCTCAGTTGATTTTCAATATGGAACTAGCTTAACTACTCTTGCCCTGTTGCTGTAGCTTAGCTTGCTACATGTCTTTGGAGGTAACTTTGGTGTAGAGAAGATAAATTTAACAAAAACAACAACTACCTTAGCTCACAACATTTTACAAGTAGCCTGCCCATCATAGTATGTAACCACCCTTACAGTGTGCAGATTCAGCCACAGTCATCGATTTCAGGATCACAAGAAAAACAATCAACATGACACATAATTAAAATTAATAAAAAAAGTCCTGAATGGGAGTCTTTGTTTCTCACCAGTGTTGTCTGAAGCACTTTCATGTCTAATTTGTAGAAGTGTGAGATAGAAGCTTAAATTTGTTTATCAGAAAAAAAAACGAAAAAAAAACTGAATGACTCATGTACATACCCACTCTTGTGTGCTGTCCTGTCCAGCATCAGCGGTGGTGTTGGTGCAGAGGTGCATATGATCCGGCCTCAGGCAGGAGCTGCAGCGGGAGGGGTCAAAGGTGTTGGGCTGGAACTGACGGCAGTAGTAGTCTTCAGCAGGGGGCGCCGTCATGACCCAGCAGAATCTAGCCTGTCCTCTGTTGTATTTTACTTGATATTCTTCTTTCTGCACAGAAAAAAAGGCTGTTTGATTTGTTCTTACGAGGATTTGAATGGTCTAATTTCCCATAGGGATTCAGGGAACACTTCATTTGCATAATATAAATAACAACTATTATCAAAACAATGCAGATTTTATTTGTTATGATTGAGAAGGCTTCAGGAGGTTATTAATCATTTTTTGTTTCTTTACTAGACGGCATATGCACAGATGAACAGAAGAAAACAACTTAGAGTATACTTGTGATATATTTACAAATGATAAAACTTAGTAAAAAACAATACAGTGTCTTCTAAGGAGAGGTTGTGGGCACATTTACTAAAATATCCTGTTGACTAATTCATACACAACAACTGACGTGATAGTTTTAGCTCAGAGCAGAAAATTCTTACAGTGTATAACGACCATGCAGTGTACAGAGAGTAACCTTCAGTAAAGGTTACACATAGACAATAACAATTAATGACAAGACACTTACCTTAAGAGGAGCAGTTTTGCTGTATACAGAGTTTTGACAATGGTTTGGTCTGAGGATACAGGGGCTGGAGTTGCTTATCAGAAGACAAACGTCCATTGGTTCTCATATTGGCACAGTAGTGTGACTGTGTCCTATCACATATCAACATCTTTAGAAAGTGATACAAAGCCCTGACTCTTCCTGACAGATGTCTTATGCACAGTGGTAGACTTACAGCACAGATGGTTGCTTTGACTTCTCAGCTCCTAACACCTACAAAAAAAGGGGTTAAAATGCCAGAGAGTAAGAATAAAATGTATATTTAGATTCCCAGAAACAGTTTCAATATATTACAGATTTTTTTTTTATGTCAGGGCACATAAGCACGGACAGGAGACGCTTGCTAAATTTGAAAAAAAATGGCAGGACTCTAAACATACAATCCATTTTCTAATACTTGCTTGGTAAGCAAAAAAGTTGAATTTAGTTTAGTTTATTTAATTTAAGCAAAAAAAAACTAATAAAAAAGACAAACCTCCCAAACTGTGAATATATCCAAATTGTACTTGATGTGAAATCCCAGACATGAGTCCAGTAGCCTGACAGGATGAGTAAAACCCTGACAAATAGGGGTCTTGTCAATTGCTGCGTTCCAGTTGTACTTGGAAGTTGGAATTTCCAAGTTCTGAGTTGGAAATTCATCTAGAACGCCCTCCTGTAGTCAGATTTCCGACTCGGAAAGTCGGACGATCCTCGCCAACCCCGATTCGACGACAACATCATAATTAAAGATGGCAGCGCAGTGCATCAACAGTACATAGTAACAGTAAAAGCTCTCGCAACGTATTATTTATTACCACTTCTGTTTTGCTTTTATGAAATTAAATAAGTGGTATACGTTGTACTGCCCAACGTCGAACTGTGAACATGGTGCTGTGGTGTTTGTAAGAATTAACTGTTGTGTTATGCGTTGTTTACAACTGGTATGGCTAAAAACAACTAACAACAGCTGACAATTGTAAACAACAGCTAACAACGGATAACCGTATGTGTCCATCTTGGTTTTCCGACTTGTTAACTGAAACGCTGTCAACTCGGGTGTGACGTCATTCCCAGCTCCTACATCCGACCACTGAGGTAAATGGCACACAGCATAACCCTGAGGGGATTCTAATCTGCATTACAACCTGTTCACTATACATTATCCTCCATATTACTTGGCAACCAACATAACTGCACTTAATTACACCTGATAATATTTGACACCTGGTTACACCAAATTACGTCTCATGGCACCTTCTGTTACAGGCAGAGACCCTCATCCGATGTGTATATGTTCGTGTCCATGTCAGAAAAATTCTGGAGAGGAGGCACAAAGTGGTGGTGGCCAACAGTCAGGAGCCCGTCAGCCATGAGCCAAAATGGACTGGGCTGCTATAATGGAAACTGAGCCTCCAGATATGCCTCCACTAATCGAGGAATTCCTGGAAGTGGAGTGGGGAGACAAGGACATACAGATGGAGGACAACTTTATGTTCTAACAATCCAGGCCTCTTTGGGTGTCTGATTCAGAGGGGTTTGCAAACAGGTTGCAGCCAACCAGGGAATTCAGCAGCCTGTAGTTGAGGATGCCAAGAGGAAAGTAAGAGCTCTGTATTTTGGTAAGAGGCTGCTACCAATCCAGCTGCCAGCAAAACAACTCCTGCGTCTAACACATACCAGTATGAAAAATATGGGATGGTACTGGTCAAGTTCGTCCAATGTGGAAGGTGATGGAAGATGGCCTTAATGAAGATATGACCACGCTGGTAGCATACCTTTGGAGGTGGCATCTACATCTGCAGCATACCATCTACGCACCGGTAAAGCAAGGAGGGAAGTTGGTGTGGGTGTTGACAACAAACGCCCGAAGGTCCAGCAAGCTCTGAAGTACCTTGGTGCGTCTGGATCGGACACTGACCTTCAGACAACATCTAGAGAAAGTCAAGGCCTTGGCCCTGGTATGAAGGTCCGAATCTTTCAAAATAATGCTTTCACACTGGGCATGAACCAGACTGTCGTTCTGTTTTTCAGAGAGCACCTCTTCTGGTCAGACCAAGGTCCAACTCTTTGGTCTAAACCAAGGTCCAGGGGAGGTTTTGCACCAATCATTCTGGTTCGGACCAAACACAAAGGTCAGGAAATAAATCTCTAAAGCTGACCTCAAAATTTTTCCAACCATCCAACAGGTCAACCAGAAGATGACGATCAGCTCAGACCTGTTGTTAACTGCTTTGTTTCTTTATTTGAAACTACTACCATGTGGTCTACTCTACATAGATTTATGGGCATGTCTGGGCATGTGCTGTGCCCTCGGCCTTTAATGTGTTTTACATCAGAGTTACAGACACAGTCATGTGTTATTGATCATTTCTTTCAGCATGGCTCTCTGCACTGGAGTAGAAACTAAAATGAAAGCACTTAATAAAAAGCAAAAAGAACAGGGCTACACTAAACAGTCTCTCATAAGAAGAGCGGTCGTAGTAGATAATTAATTAAATTCCCACACTGATCACCACAACACAGTGGACAGGCATTGATCCGGCTCTGCTAAACTTGATCCCAACCCCCACCAGAGGCATGTATTGATTGTGACCAGCATTTCTGCCCAGAACAACCTTCTAAACAAAACAACTTTAACCATCATTTTTGCTTTCAAATTGACAATCCTATTAATTTTATGAATCCATATTTCATGCTTTTTTTAAGCACTGGGGTCAAATCCTGCTTTAAAGATGGAAGGGGAGCAGCTACCTGTTTGTGAACATTTAACAAGTTTCTCTCTTTACTCCAAATGGTGCATCTTATTCAGTTTATTGACATAATCTAACAATCCCTGCTGTTGAATGATATGGCCGACATAGAGTCAACCAGTGTCAATTGTGTCAATCGATCAAAATCTGTAAGCAAACAGCCAATAGTCGACTGCAGAGTTTGTAGTGAGAGCCGATAACAGGCTTCATTCATAATTTACAAGCAGTTTGTGACGTAAAATAAATAGTTAATAACGTGACCAAATATTTTTGTCATAACTTTTAATGAAAAGCATATGCAATTTCTGAACAAACATGATAGCGAAGTTCCAGCATAAGAGAATAATTCACTACTTTGTGTTAAAGGTTAGAGTCCTGTTTACTTTGGTTTCATTATTCATAAACCATCTTCTATTTTGTGAAATTTTCAATCATAGCCAGTTAAATTTTCTTCCCTAAATTTCTTTCCTTCTTCTGACATTTTTTCCCCTTTTTTTTGTTTTCGCGTTTTTTCCACTGTAAACAAAATTATATTAATTTAACCAGTCATCTCGCTGTGCAGTGGTATGGACAGGTCTGGCAAGAAATGAGTTTGTTTTTCCACAAATCAAGTCAAAAGTTGAGATACTAGAGTAAAAAAGTGATCACATTAAAACACACAGATATTTTCAAGGAGGCACCACTGCAGGAATGGTGTCTTAATAACCACAGGTAGTTCATCAGACTGCTCTACAGTTAATGTCAGAGGGTCTGTGATTAAAGCAGTATCCGTAGAAACGGCCTGTTCTTCATAAGAGCAACTTGCTCTCGAGAAGTAACGAGTTATTTTTATGTTACATCTTTCTTCTTAGTTAAAAAGCATGTCTTATGAATGTACAGGAAAAAATTAAATGCAGCTCTGTGCAGTGGAGAAGAAAATTGCCACGAGAGACGGTGCTGCTAAATCAGCTAAATTAAACTTTCTAGCACATGGAGAACAGAAGATATCCATGACTTTGTGACATGAGAAAATCTCTGGAGTAGAAAATAATCTAAGTCCGAGCCCTTAGACTGAGTCTGTGATTCCTGAGGGGTCACTCGGCCAGTGTAATTCCCCACCTTTAAAAGCAACAGTTCAATTTTTCCAGTGTGGTGGGTTGAGGTTCTTAAAAGCCATTGTATTAGACCAAGAATTTCAAGGATATGGTGCTTAAAATCATGTCACACTGTGATGCAAAAATCGTGACTCGATTGGTGATCGGTGTACTGCAGGTAAAAGGAACATTAATAGTTAAAAAAATGATTTTTCTGACTGCAAAGTGAAGTGACTGCAATTCAAAACAGAGCGTTCACTCACACAGTGAAGAGCGCTTTGATTGGAGTTAGTAAAAACTTTGATAAATTACTGGATAGAGACGGCCCCCCCTCTGTACAGCTGATAGCCCAGTGTCTGTTCAGTTCAACACAGGGGCCAAGCTAACCGAGATCCCCTGTGGCCAAAACACGTACTATCGACAAGCAGCTCATACAACCCCACTATGAAAGCAAAACAAAACAAAACTATCAAGTAAACTGTGGCGTGTAAACACTAACCTTGGCACAGACTTCAAAAAAATAAGTGTTGGCTATAAGTTATTTTTATACAGGCAGGGCAGCATGATATGATCATGGCGCACAAGGCATATAAAAAGGAGTGATTACTGTCCCAGCTTCTTTTGCTTTTTTACCACCTCCTTCAGCCTACTTTACTAAAAACATGTTGACCTGAATCAGCTCTCAGAGTAAGTAATGAGGCGCCCGCCTGCTTCGGAGTAAATTGGCTCTCGAGGTGTTTGAGGGGGAGTCATCAAGCAGGGCCACAGAGACAGGCGGCTCTTTAGAAAATAGCTTCAATCATCTGCTTATCAAAAAATAAATAAATAAAAGAAATAAAAATACTGGAAAGTAGATTAAGTACGGTAGTAGTTTTCAGGCTATTTCTTTTAATGACCTTCCAAATTACATGTGCTCTGGGAAAACAACAAATGTGTTTGTGTGTGTGTTTGTGTTGGATGGACAGGAGTAAAATTAAACAAAATACAGAGGCGCCTTAAGCATATCATCCTCCTAAAATGCATTAATTTTACATTAATACCACCAAGATGAGCGCTTTTTCAAATAGCCATGTTCTTTGCAGCAAGGACAGGCTGCCTTTTACCTCTCTTGGTGCATGAACTGATACTCCCAGAGAAAGTTGGTTGTTAAGACTTTTAATATGATCATTTTTAAGTGCAACCCACATTCAGTTTTTATGGTCCTAAACTTTCAAACTGATGCATCTACTTTGTAGCACAGCAACAACAACAACTTCTTTCACACTTGTAACACAGAGGACATTATGTTCCTTCGATATTATGAGTTATTCTCAGCCCTCCCACTCCCTTTGTGCCCGCTTGTTCGATACCCTCACCTCTAACCTGTGCCCACACTTATAGCTCAGTCCGCTGTACCCCTAAGTCTCTACCTACACCACCCAACGCCCACCTGCTGTCTCGTGGAACAACAAGGCAGGGGTTTTAAAAATAAACCGTGTGGAGATACAGAGGATGCATGTGTGTCTTTGAGCCTGTGAAAGTACAGAAAGAGGAGGAAAAAAGGTTCCCATGGAAACTAAAGAGTTGTGTCTAATAGGCAAAAATATCTTAAAGAGGTTAAAAAAAGAAATCAGAAAGCCATGTGCATATGGCTACAAATGTGCTGCCATGGTCAAAAACACCGCTGTTTTTCATTGATTAATGATTTTAATTAAAGAGACTGATAGTCTTCAATCCGTCTGGTTGGATTTCTCTGGATCGCCATTTCTCAGTTTTGACTATTTCTGGGATGAATGGTTTCCAGAAACGAAAGCGTAAGAGATTATTTTGGCACAAAGGTAACACGCCAGATTGACTCAGCATCCCACACACGCACACACAAACGCACGTACACACACAGGCATACAAAACTAAACCTTTGACCAAGCTGCCAAAAGAAAATCCCTAACCATGAGGACTGTTTAGACCCGTTGGACTCATGTAGGTATTCACGCAATCTCAGAGGTCCCAGATCCTCACTCTGATTCTTCAGACAGGTGATGGATAGAAGTTGTAGTGGGAGTTACTTGCGCACTGGAGTGTATTATATTTACAGGCGTTCCTAATATTTTGCCCACCCTTATGTTTAAAAATGGAATTGACAAAATACAAGGAACGCCTATTTACTTAACACAATCTAGTTTGCCATGACCACCTACTTCAGTAATACATGTAAAGAACAGCTATCACCTGTCTGACCATGTCAATAAAAAACAGCAAAATTCAGAAGCTTCCTGAAAGTAGAATTTAAGGAAGAGCTGTTGTGTTGTGTTGGATTAGATTGCCTAGGTATTCATAATGTTTTGGCTTGTAGGTGTATATAAACACTGTATATTTATTTTTTATCATTTCCTAATCAGTTGTTATTTTTTAAATTTCCTATTTCCTATTTAATAATGTGTCAAAATTTTTTGCACAAAAACTTCCCACAACCCAAAGTAGTGTCCCAAAACTAGCTTTTATATTTAACAATTATTCTTCAATTTCAGTAAATAATAATCATAACAATTATAATAATAATTGGACAGACTAATTGTTTGCAGCTATTAAGTTTCTGTAATTTCCCTTTAACCTCAAACTTTCACTCCATTCCTCACTTTTAGAGTTACTTGACGAGTGAAGGTTGCAGTAATTGCTTAAGGACATAAACACAAATCACTGTTATGTAACCCGTGATAAACCACACACACCAAACTCATGTGATGTCACTAAAATAACTCAGACTTAATCACTCCTGTCAGCAAGAGATCGTATGAAATGAGGCCGAAGAAGGATGGCAGCGACCTGAAAGCAGTCACAGCATCATTTACGTCTTGTGTCATTTTTGTAATTCATTGGAGCACAAAGAGGTACGAAGTGAGCTGCACTCAAACACCAATGAATTTGTCCTCGGTGGCAACTTACAGTGTCATGTTTTTCATTATCTGTGGTTGTCTATATTTACCAATGTAAAAAAAAGGAACAACTTTCTGCTTCTTGAAACTCTAATGGCAACAAAGACGCTCAAATTTTAGGCTTTAAAGAGGTATGAGAGCTTGCCAGTAGGTGACATTATCATGGTAACATCCATAGTTAATCATTAGTCATATCTAAAGCCAAGAAATTACATCTTAAATCTTATCCCTAACTTGGCATTTTATTACCTAAATACCAAATTGAAGAGTAACTTTATTTCCAGTAACTATGAAAAAGGCAACTGAATATTTAGAATCAAAATCTGGAGTGTTTAAAATGTAGTTTTCTCCTTAATATGCAGATCAGCAAAGTTCGTCTGTCTGTGCCTCCATCCACTTTCTTACCTGAGGCCACCTCCTTGAAACCTCTCTTTGGAGGTTTCAGTACATGCTTATGGAGACCCAGATCCAACAGGAAGGATTATATTTCTTTGAGAGCCGAGAATAGTTGGTGCTTAGGATAGGGACACCTGGGCTCACCTGTTCAGTGTTTTGCCATCACAACCTGGCCTCAGATAAGAAAATGGATGGAGGCACAGACAGACTAACTTTGCTGATCTGCATATTGAGTAAGGAGAAAACTACATTTTAAACACTCCAGATTTTGATTCTAAATATTCAGTTGCCTTTTTCAAAGTTATTGGATATAAAGTTACTCTTCACTTTGGTATTTAGGTCATAAAATGCTAAGTTAGGGATAAGATTTAAGATGTAATTTCTTGGCTTTAGATATGACTTAATTAACTATGGATGTTACCATGATAATGTCACCTACTGGCAAGCTCACATACCTCTTTAAAGCCTAAAATTTGAGCGTCTTTGTTGCCATTAGAGTTTCAAGAAGCAGAAAGTTATTTTTTATTTTTTACATTGGTAAATATAGGCCTCTACAGCCTGGTTCAAAAATGGTTTTGGTCTTAAAAGCTAATTCCCTCTCAAGTTTTTTTTTTATATATAAAGATATTAAAGTTACATGAGTTACATAATTAAGGACATGACTGACTTGACTGACAGGTGGGCTCAATGTAGCTGTTCGTGAGAGGGCTAAAGGCCTCAACTCTACCTCTCATTAGGTTGACTAAAAGCTGGGTTGAATCAATATTTCCTACATTGTGGCCGCTGTAGATACAGCTCTTCACAATCTAATAGGAGACATCGCTTATATTACATCCATTTACAGTACAATATGATTAAAAGTCATTATATATTCTGAACCATCTGTAAACTAGATCTCAAGACTGTTCAGGACCACATCGTCTGCATAAAGCAGATGTTTCTCTCAAATCTCCAAAGAAGACATCCTACTCCTCTTTCCCTATGTTTAGAGACTCAGATGGCCACTATTATATGCTCAATGTAACTGTTCTTTTCATGCTCGCCGTGCTGAATAAACTTTGGTTATATGGAAACTAATGCAGTTGCAGCAATGGTCTTGTACCCCATATTCCTGTTTGCATGGGAATTGCCCTTTTGTGGAGCGTGTGACGGCAAATCAATAAGTACAGGTGTCTGATACTACGATTTTAATTCCGATACAATACCAATATTGTAGCCCTCAAAGAAAAATGCTGCGACATGGCCGACATCACTCCTACTCCATGCTACTTTGTTAGTACCTCAGTACACACTGTTATTGTGATCAGGTGGGCTCTGCATGCTGGATCAGGGAGCTGCTAGATAGAGGTACTGGAGCGGAGTCTGGAATGAACTGCTTGTATCGGAGTGCTGGTTTTGGAGATTTTAGATGCAGGCAGATATAATCCGATTTTTGTTTTTTTTAAGTAACACATATGTACAAAAGCAAGATTAATTAGGTTAGGGTCCTAATAGCCATGTCTTCCTGATTTGTAATTCACTGTCCATAAGAGCAATAAGGTCCCACTTACAGAACTACAGAGCACCCTTCCCAGGACCCCAATAATACCGCTTTTAATGAACTGACTTTTGTCACAAAAGCTCAAACACTGGTAGCCTTTATTTTTCTTATTTTTATATCATAGTTATTTAGAAAAACTCATGGACTTATAATAAGAACAGGATAAATGAATTCAAGAACTTGATGTAGATCAACTCTTAGTCTGTTAAAAAACTAAGATCAACTGTTTGTATCACAGAGGCAGTAAAAAGCACTTTTAAATACCTCTGAGACAATTTTTAATCCCAAGTGGATTTTTTTTAATACGGTGCAAGTATTTGTTTGAGTAGGCTGAAGTCTAAATTATACAATCCACATCTCAACACTCTAGGGAAAACAATAGCATATATAAATAGGAACAGAAGATAATCAGATCTCTCTCCCCCATCGCTCTCCCTCCCTCTCTCCCACACACACACACACACACACTCTCACACACAAACATACAAGAATCGGAGCAGATGCACAACCACCAGGCAGCAGCGAGTCTGTTCAGTGATCATGGAGCAACAAGACAAAGCTCAGACTGGAGACATGAACACGTCTGTACGAGAGGAATGTGGGAGCAGATTAACTAAAAAACAGTTTCACAACTGATGGGAAACAAGGAAGAAAAGAAAAAGAAAAGAAAAAGAGGACGGAGCCAACGGTGAACCTACTCTAATACCATCCAATGGAGATGAAACCAGCGGTAGAGTTCAGTGTAAGTTTTTATATCTCCATATTCTTGTTTTATGTTTGGCAATGTTGTCTTTACATGAAGAAAAATTTAAAGAGAGTAATTATCTTACAACCCCGTGATTTAGTCATCTATTTTTTGTTGTGGCAAAAAATGTGACTCTCTAACTTTTTAAGCTTTTTGTCCCTTGAATTTAAAACAGAATATATCAAAGTTGTTCGGTTTAGCTTTAGTTTTGCAACCGTTCTCTATCTGTATGCTCACTACCCAACTACTCAGAAAAAAAAATCAATACTTAAAACGTTCATGTGGCTGAGTAAGTCGACTGTAAAAAATGTGGGGAGTGTAAACAGATAGGGGAAAAGATTTTAAAGGCTAAAATCATTTTCAAGGTTAGGGTAGTTTTCAGCAACCCCCTCCCACCGTGCCCATCCCACCCCTCCCACTCCCAGCTGTCGATTATCCCTGCAGGCTTCGCATCGATTTTTCAGCACTGGACAGCTCCTATGGCCTCAATGAAACCAACACACGTCACAGCTGGTGCTTAGTTTGCAAACTGCCCCGTCATAACTTCTGCTTGCACTGTGTAAACCATTGATTGGCATTTAAAGCTTCCTACTGCAGTGATGCATGTGCAATGATGGAAACTTCACTTTTAGCTATGTGGTTTTCAATAACACGACATACACATTTCTGGATTGTCTTTTTGACTTGTCACACAAGTTTTCCAGTCTTTCATGCTTGTCCATCAGTCTGAGCCTAATCTGTTTATCATGTTTTCAACAAGTTAGTTTTTATGGTTCAAATTTTAACTTCATATTGTCGAGGTCCTATTTTTAGGTAAGACACATTGTCAGGGGAAGCCAGCTATGAGATTTATTTGGGCGGCGACAAGGTTGAGTTTGCCATTTTATATATTTTACTATACGCAAATTTATCACGTCTTTACCTAAATAAACAAAACCAGATGTTTGAGGATAAAAAATAACTAATAGTTTCAAACTAAGAACTTAGTGCTCCTCTGCTCAGCAGTTATCTTTTATTTGTTTATTATTAAACAGTCCCAGCGGTCCCTGTTAAATGTTAAGCACCAACATGTGAATATAAAAGTGCATTTTTTTCCAGTGTCAGATGTATTATAAAAACATTGTTACCTTTACATCTTAAAGTCACTTAGTAAAAGCCACTGTGAGGATTATCAAACCATTGATTTGTTCATGAACTGAATCCTATCTATAGGTAAGATTTTAATCCGTTACATAATAAAATGTACAATATTTGTGTTTGAAATAGGGTGGAGTAGATAAATAAAACGGCTGCAACTAAAAGTAAAGCAGTGAGAGGCATCTTCACTGAGGTCATAAATGTAATTATCACTGTTCAGTTGCTTCTTTTGCGTCGATTCCTTTAGTATTATTTCTAGTTTAAGGTTAATTTACAACAACAGCGTAGAAAACACGATAAAGTGACCAAACTGCTCAGTAATAAAGGACTAATCCGGTGTAAACACATGGTAGAACAGATGAGAAATAAAGAGAAGACAGAGATCAAATGAACCATTGATTAACAAAAACACAGTAATTACAAACAAGATAAAATTATGCCATCAGTTACAAGATAAAAAGATTCTTAAATAGTCGATAAGTAACTCAAAATCTGGATCTACAGCACCACTGCTCTGTCATCTCTAGCTTGTGTGTGGTTGTGTGTGTGTGGGATGACAAAAGATACACTCAAAATAAATTCACAACACTAAAAATATGCGAAATTTCCTCTTTTTTTGTGACTCAGAAAGTTAGAGAGAGTATGCAGACTCGCTGGGGGCCATCTTTAAATGTCAGCTCTAAGTAAACGTGACTCGCAGAGAAACAAAGAAGAAACACGAGTAACACCTCCGATAAGCAGAGCATGAACAAAAACAGCTCTCCAAGACACCTTTTCACACGGTCTTTTCCCTGTTACACTGCGTTCACACTGAGATTGTAGGTTGTGTTTTATCATGCTTACCGAGTGTATAACTCTGTGTCTCGCCTCACATGTTGGGAGTGACATTCCCTGACGTAATAATCTCTTCATCTTAATCTGTATCTTTTCTCACCACTCATTAAATATGATGACCTCATACCTGTAAACCCCTCTCTGCACCGTCGTTCGCTTCTTCCTGTCTTATTCCCTTATTTATTTCTTATTCTTTTTATTTTTTGTCGTCCTCTCTTATCCCTCCTCCCTCCCCTTCTCACATCATCAGATGTCAGATTACTCACAAGGATTTAAGCCAGGTCACACAGCAACCGCCATCCACCTTTTGTATTGTTTGGATTTGGAGATTAAGGGTTGAAGTAATCTGCTATTTGAAAAGGGCTTCCTCCGTCCTTTCCTTTGTATTGGATTACGCTATAATGTCAGTATACGTCAGTATATTTCCTCTGACGTGTTTGAATAGGAGCTACATCAGGCACGAGAGCACTTCTCAGGATCCTCCACACATTCTCTCTCTAAAGTAGCACTCTGAAATTTTTGTTGGTACTCCAGGATTTGGTGAATTTTTTGTGTTTAAGGGTCCATGATACACTCCAGTTTTCATTTCCTTTTTACTGCTACTCCTAACCAGCCATCTCACACACTTAAACCATCATCTCGCATGCAACACATTAAATCAGCTCCACAGAAAGTGCAGAGATGTTCCTATGGAGACAGCTAAAACTGTAACTTTGATCAGCCATTAATTAGTGCCACTTCTCCCCAGAGGACTCTATCATCTTGGAAAAAAAAGAGAGATCTGACACCCAGATACTAATAACAGCTGGATGCAGAGAGATTTACAACCATGAGAATTTGCAGGATATCTAAAATCTTATTTTAGCTATCATGCACATATATTTATAGAAATACGATCTTGGGTAGGTCACAGATGATGAAATAAACGACCCAGAAATGCCAGTAAAATTGGTGTCAAGAAGCAACACAAGCTAGAATAAGAGTTTCTGTAACTTTAGACATTGTAGTTTGTTCTGGCTAAACGTTAGCCGATGTGATGGACTTTTCTGCAGCTTTGACATTGTCATTCAGAAGAATTAATCATGACTTTAACCTGTGAAATCCTACATTTTCTTGTCCATATGGGCCTGAAAGCCCAGCTCTATCGGACATCAGTGTACAGCACAGTGTCTAGGGAAGGAGCTGTGGTGTTTGGTAACTTTTGTCATTTGTATAAAATTATGTAACTCTGTACGGTGTCTTTGTTGTTTTGACAACCTGTTGGTTCTCATGGCAACAGCACATTACTATTACAAAACATCATATTATCAGATGTTTTGCCTTTTTTTTTTGACTGGATAGGTAGGCAAAAGGGAGAGTTGATTCAACACCTCTCAAACCTTTTAACAACAACTGAACCCTTTCAGCTTTTCAAAGCTTAACAAACAAGTACTGTCCCCACAAGCTGTCAGCTCCAGCCAGTAATGAATGCCAGAAATGAAATTTTAAGTTTTGTTTATATGGAGATTTCATTTTGACAGAGGTAACACTGTACACTAGTGTTAAAGTCGATGACATAAGATACAATAAACTCTGCTGTACGACTTCACAAAGCACCACAGTAAATTTCCTATTTACACCTCTAAGTAAATACAACAAATTTTGTATAACTCCTCATCCTGAAAGCAGCTAATGCACATTTTTATTTTCATTTATTCTCTTGATGTTTGGAACAATGAGATGCTTTCACAAGATCACAAAAGGAGCAAAATATAAGTGTTAAAAAGGCTGAATTGGATTTGCAGTAAAAGGAGAAAAAGCCTTCAATCTAAGGAAATAAAAGAAATCTGCAAAACCGAATTTACTTTGTCTAATTTTTTCACTAATTTAAAACATGAAATTTAAAAAATAAAGATAAAATCAAATGTTTGGCATTAAACTAGACTGGTAACATAATGAAAAAGTGATTCTTATGAAAGCAGTGTTGCCCTTCAGTAAATATATCGTTTAATATGTGTGGACAAACAAACCAACATATGAACTGTGTTGTGTTGTTTTGGTCGCACACATGCTGCTGCTGGTGTGGGGGCTGACCTGGGTGAACCGGCATGTTGGCTGCCGTCTTTAAGGACTCTGCGAGAAATTGTTGTCTTCCACGTAGAGGACTCTTTCCTCCAGCTGTGGAAGTCATCGGGCTGACGTAATCATCTGCCCTTTTGGGATTATACAGTCTAAATCGCCCTTCATCCGGCCAATCAGCAGCCAGATCGTAACATCTGTCCTTGGTGTAACAGGAATAGGAGTCTGGAAGGATCACACACACAACAGAGGGTAGCACACAACACACATTACATGACATCAAATCCCATCAAATCTGTATGTGTGTGCTTGTGTGTTGACTTGTGTGAGTGTTTCTGTTTGTGTTCGTCATTGACGAGACGCTGATATTGAACAAAGGCTCTTAAAATGCAGTTGTCAGAAATTTCCCCAAGACGACTCTCGATTTAAGCAGCCCTGTAAACTCATTTATATACCAAAGTGATTCACACACATTGACACATAGACCACCGGTGCCATTTTGTATTGCGTGTGGTCGTCCTTCTATTGGTTATGCAACCTGGTACTTTTTGGTTCTCCTGTTCCCCAGCGTGCTGACATAATAAGCCACGCACCCTCCAACCTTGTCATCAGGCCAAATAGCAGATCAATTGTTCCTCTGACTGTAGATTACCACTGATTCATCTCTTTTTAGACCTCTGCCCCCCTCCACTGCCTGTCTGGTTTTCCACCCCTGGTTGGCCTGAAGGTCCCTAAGGCTAACCACTAGCAAAGCCCCGATCAATTAGCTTTCATTACACATATCTGTCTGGTCTGCCCCGTGCATTAAGGCACAGCCAAGACTCGCAGAGGGAAATTTTTGATTTTTTTGATTCTTTGCCAGACAAGCAGGACTCTATGGTCTCATCCTCTCAGTTTGTTCAAACTGATAAAAATAAGATTATTAGATAAATGGTAATTTTTTTTTATTTACATGAATTCATTGTCCTTTTTTCCAACAACAGATTTAAATGCTGTGTTTTCAAGGAAAATATCTCAACAACTTTTCTCTCATTGAACAAACATTGGCCCATTTTAATGTCCAAAGCGGTATTAGCTCGTAAACATTTGTGACTGTCCTTTAACCCTTGAGAAGTTACCTGAATTTGTTCAGAGCAATAACACACTTAGTATCTTCTTCATGGTGTCCATGTTTTTCTATTTAAATCTAATGACTATATTAGGTCATATCAGGGACTTTCATCATCAGGAATATGTCAATGCAGGATTCATATTGGAGCAGATGTTATTGGTCATTGTTTACACTGTAATCTGTCTCTTAACAGATAAAAGATATTGTCAGTAATTAGTCACTTAAATGTACGATTATTTATCAAGAATGCTGCTGACCTCTTGGCCAGGTCACCTCTCAATTGATTATTATTTCGTCAAATAAATGTTAATTTAAAAAGTAATTTTAAAACAATTCTGTCTTATCTAGGTTTATTCATATTTATGTGATTTTAATCCTTTTTGTTCTCTGTTTACAGAAAATGTATTACAGGAAGGCAGCACTGCTAATACACTCAAGACAGACCTGAGCTCATACCACCACCCTGTTCAGCAACAGTACTTTAATGGTTGGAACTGCCCGCCCCAACCTACATTACTGCCCTCGCAGACACAGCCTGATGATCACCGGTGCCATGGGAGCGGTGCGGGTCAACAGGTAAGAGAGTGTTCCTGATAAACCTATTTCACTGCTGCTTTATTGGAGAAAAGAAAGAAAGAAAGAAAGAAAGAAAAAAAGAAAGAAACAAAGAAACAAAGAAAGAAAAAGAGAAAAGTTATTCATGGTTTTGTCAGAAAGCAAAATTCAGATGAAATTGATGATATATTTAAAAAATGTTTACATTAATCCATTTGCATTCACTCTTTAAATTGAAAGGTTTCCAAAATAACTACAATCTGTAAAAAAGCTTTTGACAGTGTACTAAAAATTTATATGAAAGCTTTTTGCTGTCTAAAGGAAATACCTCTTTAATTTTAAAAAACACAGAAAAACATATGGTCCATTTCAAATGGCCATGAAAATATATATATACCTGTCACAATGCTGATCCAGTGTGTGTGGAAGAATTATTCTAAATATTTCAACAGATCCTGTCGTTAATTTTTTTTATATCCTCTGAAACCAAGCCACCGTTAAAAGTGTATACATCAATTAAACACAATACTTCCCTGGGTCTAAGCTAACTGCATTGTATGGTTATTATTGCCTTCAAATCAAAGGAGCACAGTACTTAATGTCTAGAAGTATCAAAGGCATGGTTGACGATTGGAGAAATTGGTAATTATTATGAACCTTGTTTATATGGTGATCATGGTACTATAGTGCAATCTCCACAAAGTAGCAGTAGCAGTAGTAAGCGTAGCAGCTTAGCTACAGGAGCTGTGATGGAGAAGGACGGACAAAAACAGAGAAAAGGGCAGAGACGAAGAGGAAATGTGAGCAAGCGAGGAATCTAATGTTCAACTGCTCCTCCAATAGTCAACCGTGCCTTTAAGTTATTAAAAGAAAATGTTCAGATTAACAGTGTATTAAATGTATCATTTAAAATTCTGGATTTCAATGAAGTTCAGGCTGAGTATTTATAAGCAACAGTTTCTTTATTAATTTTGGAGAAGTGATGTTCAAACAACCCAAGTCAAAGTTATTTAACAAATGAATGAGATGGTGCTCATTTACTTTTTATCCTGATGCCTCCATAAGTTATGCTAAAAAGTCAAATGGCTTTTGAAATACAGCCAAACATGGTCACTTTAGTTTTGAAGTGTTGGCTTTTTCACTTAGAAGTGCTAATTTTCTCTTCTGTGCTTGTAGGTACAGCATCGTTTCCACAGATGAGGATGTCCTGAAGATCTCCAGCCTCGGCCTCCACAATGGCCACAGTCCTCTGGCTCAGCAGACACTGTCAGGGGCCTGTATGCAGGGTGAAGATGATGGCGACGAGTGTCCGGGAAGTGACGAGGGAAGAGGAGCTTTGTCTTTAAGGGTGGCAAATGAGCCCGTCCTGCACAAAAGCTGCCGTGATTCGCCCTCATATCGACTGGGCCTGGATCTGAGTGTCGGCCGCCTGCGCAGCCGCTTTGTGAAAAAGAATGGTCAGTGCAATGTCGTGTTCAACAACATGGAGGATAAGCCTCGGCGATACCTTGCTGACATTTTCACCACTTGTGTGGACATACGCTGGCGTTACCTGCTGCTTATTTTCACCACTACCTTCCTCCTATCTTGGCTGTTGTTTGGCTTCATCTTCTGGGGAGTGGCGCTTGCACATGGAGACTTTAACATTCATACCCCTGTGACAGAAGGAGATTCTCGAGGCAGCGCGGATGATGAGAAAGAAGAATGGCGGCCATGTATTCTCCACATCCAGGGTTTCATTGGGGCATTCCTCTTCTCCATCGAGACCCAGACCACCATTGGATATGGTTTTAGGTGTGTCACAGAAGAGTGTCCAATCGCTGTGGTGACTGTAGTAGTCCAGTCCATCATGGGCTGCATTATTGACTCTTTCATGATTGGTACCATCATGGCAAAGATGGTGCGCCCAAAGAAACGGGCACAAACCTTGCTGTTCTCACATCACGCTGTCATCGCTCTGCGAGACGGTAAGCTGTGTCTCATGTGGCGCCTGGGGAACATGCGCAAGAGCCACATTGTAGAGGCACATGTTCGCGCTCAGCTCATTAAGCCCCATGTGACTGCAGAGGGCGAGTACCTCCCTATGGAGCAAACGGACATTGATGTGGGCTATGATGATGGGCTGGACCGCCTGTTTCTGGTGTCCCCTCTAGTGGTGGTCCATGAGATCAACAAGAACAGTCCCCTGTACAACTTGAGCCGTGAAGACCTGCAGAAAGAGGAATTTGAGATTGTGGTCATCCTGGAGGGGATGGTGGAGGCCACAGCCATGACCACTCAGGCTCGAAGCTCCTACTTGGCCAAGGAGATCCTCTGGGGTCACCGCTTTGAGCCTGTGGTCTTTGAGCAGGGTGACCGCTACCACGTGGACTATTCTCGCTTTCATAAGACCTACGAAGTGCCATCCACGCCTAACTGCAGTGCCAGAGAACTGAGCCAGATGATGGGTAGGGGCAGGCAGTCATCATCTTCTAGCTCAAGTTATTCCAAGTCCCCCTCCCCGTTTGCCCCCAGGGCGGCCCGCCACCTGTTGGGTCCTCACTCCCCCAGTGCATTCTGCTATGAGAATGAGGTAGCACTGTGCTGTGGGGATGACGAGGATGATGGGGGCATTAAAGACGAGGCGGGGAGCATGATTGTAAGAAGTGATAGAGACATAAAAATGAGAGAGGACATTCACTTGGGCTTCAAAGAGACATTTGTGGAGCAGCAGACGGTGGAGATGCTTTGTGTTCTGGACTCAGAGAATCAGATCAGCCTTGACAGACTACAGCCCACCCTACCTTTATACATCAGCAGAGAGTCAGGAGTTTAATCAGTATGAATGGTTGCCCCTCCATGTCTTTCCTCTCTTTGCTGGTGTGCATCCAACTAAAGTAGTGAACAAATGTGAAACACAAAGATGGCGGACTGAGGATTTTGGGTACGAGAGACATGTTTTTCTTTTTTCTTTTCTTTTCACTTTTTTTGCAGATGCCACAAAGTCCGCTCCTCATAAACTCATGTCATGCACTGATTTCAGAAATGGTGCATTTACAGTTTTAAGGTCAGCATCTGAACAACGCACAACTCATTCATCTTCAAACATGTTGGCTAGTTTCTTCTCTCAGTTCAGGAGGTATCTTGTATAGCGTTACTCAATATGAAAGTATAATCTACAGTTGAGTCGAGCTGTTTTTTCTTGATTTCATTCAGTTTTTGTAAATATGCTTTGTCTAACTTTTAAAATGATTATACATCATATACAGATAAACAGTAAGGGAGAAAATGTTGTTTATAATAAGGGGAACAAGACAAAACTGCTCAGCTCTGACACAATTTATTTTTCCTGTGTAAAAATAAATAATTTCTTTATTTTAATCATCTGTTTTCCTGCTTTATTTGTGTTATTTTTTGGATTAAATAAAGAAGCTATTTTGTTTCTCAAAAGTTGACAGTTGGATCTCCTTATTGACAGCAAGATAAAGTTAATTTAAGCTTAACCATCTCAACAATGACACAGAATTAAAATGATAAAACAAACATGTAAACATAAGAAACAAGCACTGAACTCCAACTTTAATCAAGAAATCTTAACACTTTATTTTGTTTGAATGAGGCAACCCAACAAAAAAACTCATTGTGGGAATTTCTCCCTGTGGGACTAATAAAGGCATATCTTCTCTTATTGTAAATAACAGTGGTGTTGAATTTGAGCTTCTGTTGTGTTTCCTCATTTATTTAACCCTCCAACTATGCTCACTACCACCTGTTTACAGGCAAGCAAACTCTCATACACACACACTCCATGTGTTATTTAGAGTGGGCAGAAGTAGAGTTTTTTTCTTCTATGTGAAACATAAGGTACTTCTATCAGGGCAAAGCGAGATTAATTGTAATACCTTTCATTATTCCTTATGTTTCCTTACGGTTTCACTGTTTTACAATATTGGGGCAATACTTACCATCAAATAGGCCACTTTGGTTTGTACTCAGCTTATAACTAAAAAGATTACCTTATTTCCGGTTAGGTATTACTAAATTACTGCTGGCATGTTTACATAAGTAATTACAATGCTTATCACTTAAATACTAAAGCACTGTGGGAACTTCAGGTGCAATCACAAAAGTGGTCATTTATTTATTTTTGTGTTAAAATGTATCCCTGACTGTGTTGGAATAAGCATTAAATTACATGCTATTGAGTTTTGGCACAATGGTAACTTTGGTATTTGTTTGAAATATCTTAAAGGGATATTCCAGCATAAAATTAATGCTGCGGGGTGACGCAGCTCAAGGAAGAACATTTATGATCACTTCTTCATGGAAATGCAATCAGACTGAGACGCTAATAAGGCAGAAGAACTACCGCGTTTGCAGTGCAAAATGATTAATATGGTGATTATTACTTTAAGGAAATGATAAAGAAATGATCATAAATGTTCTTCCTTAAGCTGCGTCACCCCGCAGCAGTCCGTAATGGACTGGTCGAGGTCTGCTACAAACAAGGCGCTGCCGAAAGAAAGTAGGTGAGTTGTGTTTAGTCTCTTTGCTAATTGGGCAAAGTTAAAAAGATGTTTGGTGGCTAGTGCTGTGGCTGGGACGCTTTATGTACTGTTGATGAAATTAGGTGCTGTTCTGAGCATTTGTATTTGTGGCTATAGAGTAGGGTTTTGGTTGAGGTTTGTTTATGGCTCCTCAGACCGCTGTGTACTGCTATCGAGCGGTCGTTACTAAAGTTGGTATAACTAGAGAAGCAAGCTTAACTTACGATTTACATCAGTGGCACCTCCGGGGGCATACAGACGAACAGGTGTGTAGTCAATGAAGAAATAACCAGGTGAAAATTACCTTTCTTTTGGAGTCTTTGATGACAGTTTCCCAAGTACCTCGGGTCTTCCGGTGGACGAGGCCTTTCATGAACTTCCGGTAAAGTTCATAAAAGATAAAAGGTAAAGTTACAAACTTATGTGCAAAAATGTTGAATTAAATCCACTCAAATTTCGGCCAAACATGTTAACTATTCAAAGTTAAACTCGTAATATTTAATAACTTTTTTTAAGGCCTAAAAATTGATTGTAATCATCTGAGCGTGATTACGGAAGTGGGTCAGGTGTGCCAGAGTTAAACGGCAGCTGTAAACCCAATCACGGTGTCTGACTGTAGACTGGTCACTCTTCCAACAATTAAACTAACATCTGAACTATTTTTGCAAACACTACAGTGCATGTAACTGTAGTGAGAGGGACGGTGTTTCTGGCTGCTGTACAAGCGCCCCCATGTGGTTGAATAGTGACATGGCAGTGAGCATCAGTGCCATGATTCAAGACACGGATGGTGTATTGATAACTTCAACATGTCACCTGTATACAACAATATATACAACGGATGTGGCTTTTTCTTTAACATTGTTCTGACTGCCAATATTTGTCTTTACAGTTTCTTATTTGATGAAAAAAGGTGAATTTGCATCATCTTGAAAATCTTGAAAAATTGAATGTCTCAGTAGTTTAACCTGAATAACCTTACAGTTCCTCATTGTCAAGAAACATTTATTATTTATAAGGCAGGAAAACAACAAAGATGAACAACAATTCATCAGTGAAATATGAGTTAAATCTGTTGGGATTATAATGTTTCTTCCTTGTAGGGAAGACCAAGGAGAAAGAAACATGTCTTTGACAGTGATTTCAAATGTTCAAGAGTGGTCAGCTGTTTCACGCTGTAGCAGCAGCTACTCCAAAGACTTGATTTCTCCTGGTTTTCAGTTCAGCTGCAGCGTGAAAATGTAGACCTTCAGGCAGGCAAGAGCTTCAAAAGAGAAACATATTTTTGAAAACTGAACCTGTATTTGTTTGTGAAGCCAGGCGAACACAGGTGTGATGTGGTCCCTTGTTTTCTTTCCAGTCAGGAGACAAAGAGCGTCATATTAATTAAGCTGCAGGCAGCGAATATTTGGCCGGTTCATTGTTTTAGATGCGAGCGATAAAGAGTTGTCATGAGGAACAACACAAACAAATTTACGCTCTGCAAAGAGTCACAAGCAAATACTTACTTCAGTTATTCTAAATTATTACTGGTTTCATGAATTGATTCAGCATTTTTGATCTGTCTTTTTTGCTTTTGTTTATACATGTCAATTTCATTGCAGGCACAATGCATATATTGAATGATATGTTTGTTCCCTTTAATTGTATGAAGAATTTAGTTTTACAGTTTGCAATGACGATTAACATATTTTTTGATCTGGCTGTACACCATTAAAGGACGGTTTACTTTTTTATGTCTGTCTTTAAACAAAACTGGACTCTGTTTTGTCCTTTTTTTGACTCATTTTTTGCCACTGGTGTTTAACCAGTGTCTCAGTTTTTGTCTCTCCTTTTTGCTGATTCTGTTTTCCTTCTATCAGGTTGCTGTGGATAGAGAGAGAGAGAGAGAGAGAGAGAGAGAGAGAGAGAGAGAGAGAGAGAGAGAGAGAGAGGTAAACCCTGCACACCTGAGCAGACTGAGTTCAGAGGCTACAAAGCAGACCTAACATTAGTCATTTCTCCGGCCTGCAGACTGCATACACACTAACTTCCTTGTGTACTGTGACAAATTTTAATGTTAAATAATCTTAAAGCTCTACTTAATAAAAACAAATTAAATAACTTTAGCTCAAATAAAAGTCTAAAATAGCTCATAGAAAACCATGATACGTGGCTGTGTAAATTTAACTCACTTTGTATGACTTTAATCACAACACGACTTAAATATGCACACAGCATATGTAAGTGTCTCAAGTAGCTTTTATACACACCTGAAAAAACAAGTACCTGGAAGATGGTGAATAAGCAGACCTTTACATGACTGATAATTAGTGCAAAACCATTCACTAACTCCCTCCTACGTCTTCATTATTATATTATCTTTCTGAACAAGTTGGCAACCTCTCTGCTCAGATTTTTCTGCATGATGACTTTCTAACTCATTTTTCTCTCCTTTAATCAAATCAAGCTCTCTTTGATTTGGTAAACCGTCTCCTCCTCCCATCCTCTCTAACAACCTATTTCCCTTCTGTGCTACCTATCTCTCCTCCTGCTGTCATCTCATCCCTCTCTCTCCTTTCTGATGCTGCTTAATTAACCGCTCCGTCACTAACCCCCCCCTGTCATCAGCGTCGGTGAGGGAGAGCAGCTGGACGACCCCTGAGACCTCTCTTAAAGCTGCTAATGGCCGACAAGGATCAGGCCTAATAAGGTGCTGTGTGTTCATCCTCGTGTAGGTTAAGTGTGTGAGTGTGTGCGCATGCTTTCATGTGTGTGACACCCTTTACATCTGGGTTGCCCTCTCTGGCCTCACTGGCTGTTTTGGGCCCCAGGCTGTGCGACCAGAGAGCCGGTGACAGTGTGTGTGCTCGGCAGGGGACAGTATTTAGGCACTAGGAGCTGTAGCCGGGGGATCTTTGGCTGCATAATGAGCTGTTGTGTGTTGTGGAGCCATGAAGCAGCGCACTGTGGGGACAGAGGAGTATTGTGTGCTGTGAAACCACAGCTTGGCTCAGCAGAGGAGGCCTGACTGAACCACGCTGGGAAGCACCACAGGGCAAAACATCTTCTGGATGCCTGCCTGGTTCTTGTGTCTGTCTGACCTTTTTTTTCCTTTTATTTTTGTCATGCTATCCTGTTACAGCCAGTTGATGGTACAACCACTTTCATGTTTTAACAGATCCACTCTTAACCTTTGCTAATTTAGGTAAAACATTAATGTCCAGCTCATCCACGTTGACTTTAGTCTCAGATCGTTTTTACACGTCTGTTAGTTTCTTCTCCTTTTGTAATGTAATTCTTTGATTCATTCACGATTTGAGTTCACCTGTTTAAAGATCACAAAATGTCCTAACTCCATAGTGATTGATTGCAACATCTAACATGAACTGAAGACCATGATCTCATTTGACCTGTAATAGGCCTCTTAGAATTAGCTTGAAGCTTAAATCGTCATATCTGTTCCTTAGAAGCTCATTAAAAACCACAATATGTTTTTTCCTGTAATTAGACACCCAGTCAAACCATGTTAATACTGGATTCATGGGATTTTTTTGTGTGTTAGATTTGTCCCACATTTTCTCAGAGCCAGACCATCTGTTTTCCTCCGCTCCGGTTTGTACATGAGGCCACACTGAATGTAGCTTTGACACGAGGGTGGGGTCCATCGTTTTATCCTTCTTGTAGCGTGAAACATTCAAGTTTAGCTAATTGTTAAACTGGAAGTGAGAACTGCTTTATCCACTGTGTTTCAGCCCTCACTGCTTTGAGAAAGTCATAATATTTAGGTTCAGCTTTATCAACCGATTGAGCGGACAACCGACAAAAACACAGTGGTGGAAACAGCTTAACAACCAAAAGAGTTTCATCTGCATCACTTTACAGGAACATCTCAGTTTACGTTTGCAAAAGAAGAGGAGGCGGAGATGGAAACTTACAGATAATCCTTTAATTCAGCAAATAAGAACGACCTCATTAAAACTTTTAACTCATTAAAGTTCAACTATTTATAGACAAAATATGTTTACATACTTATATCATGCGCTCATACCAAAAAGTCTTTATACTAACAGATAGATAGATAGATAGATAGATAGATAGATAGATAGATAGATAGATAGATAGATTCAAATCTAACTTTATACATTTAAACAGTAGAAAAACAGTAGAATCTTTCTTGTTGCTTAACTTCTTGAGATTTTTACGTGACCTGTATGAGCGGCCCACCGAGTCAAACGCATTATGCAGAGTTTGATTCTGATTATTTACGCCCTCCACATGTTTGTCTGTCTATCTACTCACAAGCCTGTCTGTCTGCTCTCAGTGTGTGTGTGTGTGTGTGTGTGTGTGTGTGTGTGTGTGTTTGTGTTTGTGTGTGAGCCTGAACACTTGTTTGAGCCGTCTGCTTGTCTGTATGTACGATACACAGGTGTTTTTTTTTATTATTTATTCTTTTTTTGTCACAGTGGGGTTTAAAAACTATGTGACAAACACAATTATATACAACATTAAAACATAAAAAACCTTAGGGTGTTTTTGTGGTCTTCAAGAAGAAGAAAGGGAAAAAAAAGACATAATGAAAAAAACATCATACATCAAATGTTTCTCTCTTTCCTCTAAAATTTCCCATCCATCTCTGCCTGTCCTGCTGCCTCTATCTCTCCCTCTGCTCCGACGACAACAGGCTCTTTCATGTAGACATCTTTTCCTCAGCAGCCTCAGGCTCTCTCCTTTCGTTCACACAGACTAATTAAATGTTCAGGGGGAAAACTCATGATTGGGACGATTGCTCTACTTTCTCCCTGCCCCTGGTCTGCTCTTTTATAAACCTGTTTCAGTTGAGTTATTTATCCCCCTTGCAAAAGTTTAATGATGTTTTTCAAATCAAGACACAAATGTCCTTGTTTGGATCTAAAGAGTTTATTTGTGGTCCGTCACATGTAATAACAGCAGGACAGATTATGTGTCATATCGTCAAAACAGGAAATACAGTTCAGTTGTTTCTTCTCGTTTTTTTAAGGAAAGAAAGTGCACTCTATGAAGGGATGAAGAAAGGAGAATGAAAAGAGAAAAAGAAAGTGACAATCAGAAAAAGGAAATATACATGTCAAACCCACATAATATCTATCCTAAAGTCCTTCACAAGCAAAAACAGTTTTCAAATGTCTCAATTCCAGTTTCAGGATCTCAGTTTAATGACTGGGTCAGTTTTTTCCTCATTATTTGTAAAAATGAACTCTTTTTCAAAGCACACAGATACATCACTGAGATTTTTTTGTCCACTCATTCCTGACTGAAAATGTACTTATTTATGCCGGCATATAATACCCAGTAGCATGGTGAAACTTTATTTTTTTGCATTGTATTTTATTCTTTTTTAAAAATAAATATATATATTTAAAAAAAATTAATGTCTTTTATTGTTTTTTTTTTTATTGCTCTTTATTGTGTTTATTTAATTCATTTTTATTTTCTATATATTGTAAAGCACTTTGGTTCACTAAAATGGTTGTTTTAAAGGGCTGTATAAATAAAGAACATTTACATTTACATTCAAAGATTAAAAAAAATCAGTGAGTTAAAAATTATATTTAGATGATTGGACATTAAAATTAATGTTGTTTTCTGTTACAGGTTATCAAATAAAGATGTCAACAGATTTTGACATGCAGAATAATATACTCTCACTGAATTAATATATAAGACATTAAATATCAACGTCTCACTGTGAAATTAAGTGTGACTGCTATAGGCAACTTGTTTGACTCATATTTCAATGTTTAAGACGTTTTTGGCAGCTGATTTTTATCTCTTCAGAGGAGAGTCTTAAGTGTTACTAACAGTCGTCATATATTCATGACTAACCAACGTGTTGGCATGTATGACTGAGGGGCAAAAAACGTCAGAGTCACTACATGAATGCCACTATTGTGCGTGTCACCATCATCCCCATCTTCATCACCATCACACTCTCGCCCTCCACATCCTCCTGCATCTGACTCACAAATATGAGGCCTGCATGTTTTTCACAGGGTTTCTCTCTCACACACACACACACACGTCTTGCTTTATGTTCTTCTCTCCATGTGATTTTCATCTCTCCTCTTCATCAGAACTACACGTCCTTTTCTTAAATGTCTGTCTTTATCTGCTCGCTCTCTTCCTCCATTCGGGGTTGAAGCTGTGGCGAGTAGATGCGGACACAGCAAACCTCCCAACAATAGACCATTCATGATGCCCCTGCAATGCAATGATGATCCTGCTCTGCCCTCCATCCCCCTCCCCTCCATCCCCCCTCCCCAGTCTGCACCAGCCTCCACAGCTGCACAGGAATGTGGTCCAACAAGTTACCCCCCCCCCCCCCCCACCAACCCTCCTCCTCCCTCTCCTCCTCTCTTCCCTGCTGCCTCCACCACCATCGCTACCACTGCCACCACCTCACCAGTGCTGCCGCCGTCGCAACCCAAGCCTCCCTCTCCCCCCAAATAAAGGCAAGAAACTATAGAAGGGGGGGAAACTCTGCAGACAGAGCACAAAGAGAGGATTCATGGCCGCTTACACACACTCCCCGAGAAAAAAGATGGGGACCCATTTAAGGGTGGTGCAGCTGCACTAATTTACTGGGTGAAAATGGGAGAAAGAGGGAGTGGCAGAGGTCAGATAGCAGAATCATTTTTTATTCATCCCCATGCATGGCCATGTCACTGCATCATCAACACTGACAGAGTGTGTGTGATGGATAAATGCAGTGACGAACACAGAAAGCACCTGCAGCCTTTGGTCAGAATCATTCAGCACAGAGTCAAAGCTCAAGGCCACTTCCTCTGCTCACAACAACAAAACAACAACTCTGCTTTTAGTTCATTTTGTTCTCGTAAAGATATTAAAACTAGAGCCGGTTAGCCTCCAGACAGAGGAATGTTGCCTTGGTAAAAGTGATGGAATAATGTTACATTTACTAACCCTAATTCTGGGTTTCAACACGTTAACTTACATGTACTTTGCATTAATGTTTTTCATTTTATTCTCGTGTTTAATGCCTCATGTTGTCTAGTGTGTTGCTTTTGCTTAGCTGCCAATCCAATTTCCCTTAAAAGGAATGAATTTAATGATTTAGTCTACATTTTACAACCTTTCTTTGTGGTGTAGTCAAACTGTTTGAGGGCAATAAATAAGGATAAGAATAAATGTAAAAATAGAAAGAGGACTTGTAGCTTGCTATGGAGCACCAGACTGCTAAATGTTATCTATTATTTTCTTCCTCTGGCAATGTTTTGGAGAGCATTTTCTTAGATTTTTACTTTTCTGTCTCTTTCTCAAGTATTCTGTGAAGCGGGAAGCACAGGCAACGTCTTAACCTGTCAGACGTAAGAATGGGCGGGTAAAAAGTAAAGGTCGGCAACCAGAACCTTTAGGTAGACTGGAGGTTCATTATTGAAATCCTTTTTCTTTGAGTAGGTTATATTTAAACATATTAAAGCATGGGTGATATGAGGGGGTCTGGGGGTTTTCCTCTAATAAACTTTGAGCATCTTGTTCTTAAATCCCCTCTTGTCAACATTAGAGAAACACTGATCCATTTTTTTCTGATCCAATCCGATACCGATACCTGGGCTGAGCGTATCGGCCGATATCCGATACTGATCCATGAATGAATGAACTGTATACTTTGCCCTGTGAGTGAAGGCATCAGGCTTGACATTAGCCTTGTTAAAAACAAAAGGTAACAAATTAAGACAGATATAAATTTACTTGATATTATTTTTTAACAAATAACAAATCGCAAATTAGCACACAGCAAAAAGAAGTAAGATATCCATATATTAAAAGAAAAATTAATTAAAAGAAAAAAAAGACTGGATTGGCATCATTCATCTGATATCCGATCCAGTTGATTTGTAAAATCCAAATATCGGATCTGTGTATCCCTTGTCAATATTTGGGGTGGAAAATTAACGATGCACAACCTCAGTTTTAATAAAAGATAGGACACCTCGTGAAATGTTGACAGAATCAGATCTGAAAATTAGTTCAACCCTAAAAGTAAGTAAGATTTAGTGATGTGTTGTCCATTCTTCTCTGATGTAGGACAGCTACTTGATACTTTAGGGCCTCTGTTGTTGCATTTACATGCTGTTCAAAACGTTGCTAATGAGTGATAAGACTACAGACAGGCCAGTTCAGCACCCAGACTCCTTCATGGAGCCATACTGTTGTAATGTCTTTTGGCACTGACATATGTAAGCATTGAAAACAAAGCTTTGTCAGAAAGGAAGCATATGTTCCTCTAAAACCTGCGTATTGTTTAGCACTAATGGAGCCTTTCTAGATGACTTTCTCAGATGGTGGTTTTTGGACTGAAAATAGGCCAAATGGTCCCTCTCTCTTTATTAGACCACAGCGTGTAATGTCAAAGATCTCCAAATAGGATATCAAACTGTGTTCTGTTGGACCTTAGGGTGGTTTTCTAACTTGTCCCAGTCCTCCTGGAAGTTGAGATGAGAAGTTTTCATTTTTGGTTTTCCTTTTTCTTCTTCTACTTTATCAGCTACAGTATGTAAAGCCCTCTTTGTGTCAACAAATATGAAAACATGGCTGTTTCTCTCAACCCATAAAAGGTCGAGATATTTGATTCTAACAAAAGGGAAATGCTAATCACATATGATGTTATACTGCTTTATATTTAATACCAGGTAACATTTGGAGAGGTGAGAGTTATCATCAAAATCTGACTACTAAATTTCTAATGTTAAACCAATGACAGTGACTGTGCTCTCATTCTACATAAACTCACAAACTAACTCATAACAGATTTGTGATTAAAGACTCGACTCATGGACGATCTCTGCCTTCAGTAAGTTTAAAGAAATGAGTCATTCTTCCGGCATCAGACGTAAATCACAGCTCGGGTTTTCAGGCATCAGCTGGAGGAGAACTCCATGGGTATTAACATTACACAAAATATTAGAGTCACATGAGGTTCGTTTATATTGATGGTCCAGCGTCAGAGCTGGAATTCCCCGGGCAAAAAAGCAATAACCTCGACCTTCTTTCACACAAACCCTGAGACTAAACGGTCTTCATGAATCAAGTATGCATTTTGTCATGAACAGAAAACGCGAAAGAGAGATACTTCATATAAACTAATTTAAAACAGCGACATTAGTCTGACTGGGATGAAATCTGAAGCTCAGAAGGAAGTAAACAGGCTTCATGTGCCATCCCTTCGCCTTTCCGACATATAATTTCAGATTCCTTTGTCCAGTTCGTCATTATTTGGAACAAATGACGCCATTCATCTCAGGCCCAAATGTACCCATTGACATGGGAGTGAAAGCTTTCCACCAATTATACAGGAGTTTAATGCAGAATGTGACCCAGCATGTGAATATTTGACCGCTGTGCATGCTCCTCTTATCTGCATCCCTCTCACACTATCTGCATCTTTCTGTTTTTCTCTCTCTCTCTCTCTCTTTCTCTGAACTTTTTTTTTTCCTCTCCATCCGTCGTCAGATTTCAGGAATTTCCCCTGGGAGTTATTCAAGTATAAAGGCCAAAAGCGAGAGAACTTTTATGTTTCTGCTTCTCCTCTTTGTGATTTTTCTGTCTGCAGAAAACATCTGAAAGCAAAATCAGAAATAACTTCATCCCTTTAACTCAATTTCATCCTGATCCCACATGAAAAGACATAGACACCCATGACTAAAGTGAACACCTGAAGGCTGACTCTTTAACCCCTCCCTCTGATCATGACCTTTGACCTCCCTACCGATCATGAGACCTTGTCCTGTCATCCTCTCTCCCTGCTCTCTCTCTCTCTCTCTCCTGCAGGAGCCGCAGGAAACCAGCTCTTGTGACCCAGCATTCTGTGCAGCCGTGGAGAGGCCCATTACTGTGGTCACATGGCAGGTTAGCGAAGGGACGGATGCGACCATGTGAGCTCTATTTTCTAAAAAGATACAGCTTCCCTGAGGCCCACGAGGGTTTCACACAGAACATAGAAAATGTCAGGACGTGCATGTCTGGGTTAGAACCCGAATTTAGTCTCCAGACTGAGAAGAATCAATCTTAAGAATATCACAGGTGTTTCCTTCACAGGTACAGTGATGGGTGGAATATCAACAGACTGATAAGCATTAAAAAGAAGCAGAAAGATGGAGCTTTGAAACAGATAAAACATCCAAACATCCTTTTTTTGAACAGCATCTTTATAGATCATGGCCTGAATGTCCAAAATTAGATTAGAGAAAATAAGTATAAAAGAGTCGGAGGAAGAAATAATGAGGTTATCATGGACATAAAATAAATACATTTATGTGGGGGTACTTTAAAAGGGTTTGGTTTCCCATTTTCCTGGAATTGAAGGTTTTGTGTGATTGAAGTTTTGCATCTTCCTATAATAGTTGAATAGTTTTGACAACAGCACAATAAAAATATTCAAGAATACAGATATTTTGGGCTCATTTTCAAATAAGAATAAAAATGCTCTGAAGTGGTTTACTTAGAACACTGTCTTCTAGGATGAGAATAAAATGACCTGCAGGCAAATGGGGATGAAAATGATGAAATGATCCGTCCGACCGCATGTTATCAAAAATTAACATCTTTACGATCAGACAAATTTTAGTTTTTATGATATGTCAGCAGTTTTACACTTTGAACTAAAGTCCCACGGCAGAATTAAAAAAAAAGCTACACGATGGCCTAAAATAATAAATGATCTGTCACTCGGTTTAGAATAAAAAAATAAAAAAAAGTAAATAAAAAAGACGGCTGATAAAATCTTTATCAGCCAATAGACTGGACAGAGGCGAACTCGGACTCGGACCGAATAACTCCTTTGACTTGAGACACCTAAAAGAGCAGAGCGATCAATAATATGTCTTCATGATTATAATAATAAAAAAGCCTGTGGGCTTAAAGTGGCAGTCAGAAAGATGAAATATTACAGTCTGTGATGGAGAATAAAAGAAAAAGATAACGAAAGAAAAACACTTCGTTTGCAGGTGGGTACTGGTCGGCCGAATATATAAATACATTTATGCATTTACTGTCTCGCCGTACAATTTGGCCTGTGCCACGTTTCAGACAAATTAAACATTTCATTCAAAATACAAAAATACAGCATTATTATCTTAAGGCGAAGAATATGTTTTGGCCCAAAACTTTCATGCCAAATAGTGTGTAAAATACAACAATAACGAGTTTTAAAAACGAACTTTGTCCAGAATAAAACAACTTCGCCAAACTCTAAAAAAGTTTTTGTCCCTCCGAGTCTTCTTAGAATTACGACAACACGGTCAAATTAGTTTAATAACAGTCAGCGAGTGTTTGTTTATCCCAAAATGTGGCCTAAATTACAACTTTTGAAAAATACCGAGACGAGAATTATAAAGTAGATTTGTCAAATGTTTGAATTTATCTGAAAAATTACCGCTACGAAAAGCACAAATTTATCATTTCAACAGGTTATTTCTGCGTAATGTAAATTATACTAATAATGGATCGGAGTCAATGTGCGCACATACACTATTCTGACTTCACATCGCCGAGGTCAAACACATTATTGATGAATTACTGACATTTTCAAGGAGGCTATATAAGGTTTATTATTGTTGTTGCTTCTAACGATATATTCTCATAACACATTAAAACACCTCCTCTGTCTAACAGACGTACTGTACAGCACATACTCCCCTGGGGGCCATGCACCCCCCAACTGCCCTAACCAAATACTGTGCGTAAAACCGCAGCCTCTTCCAACAGCTCTCTGCTCTGCACACATACACACACACACACGAACACACACACACTTTTTCAACACTTCACCATAGGAAAAAAAAAGAAAAACAACAACAGCAAAAACTTCCTTAATCTCATCCAGCACGAACATAAGCACTCACTTAAAGCCTCGGAGGCCTCACGCAGGACTCCACTGATGTTGGAAGGTCAGTGGGGTGCACCATGAAGGTGTTACCCCCCCACTCATACACACACCCATCTCCCCCCTCATCCCCCCTACCATAAGCCCAGATCCAGGTGCTGCAGATAGTATAGAGGGATAGCAAAAGAATCGCTAATAAACAGTGAGATATCCGTGTGTCCCGTCTGCTGCTGCTGAGTGTTTTCTATGTGTGCGCCACTGGTGTCTTTGCTCGGACATAAGGGGAGAAAGACGCACACATCGCTCTCTGTTATCAATTTTTTCCATGTTTGCAGCAACAAAACTGCTTTTTGTTCCCCATTTTTTTCATTTACGAGGGTTAATGGATAGAGGCTTGGGCGTTTGATCACATGGCTACAATTCACCTGAGCGCGAGACAAAGAGAGCAAAGAGAGAGGGGAGAGAGAGAGAGGCAGAGGGCTCAACATGAGAGGGAACGGACACACAGGGGTTATTGTTGCATTCATTTTGTGTGTGTGTCTGTGTGTGTGTAAGAGGGAGAGAGAAAGAGAGGGAGAGAGAGAGAGAGAGAGAGAGAGAGAGAGAGAGAGAGAGAGTGTGTGTGTGTGTGTGTGTGTGTGTGTGTGTGTGTGTGTGTGTGTGTGTGTGTGTGTGTGTCCGGGTGCATCAGATGCTTTTTTTCAAGTCTCTTCTTTTTCTTCCATTAGGCCTTGGTCTCACAGCCAATGAGACACGTGACTGAAGAAAAAAACAGGCTAACATAACACACAAAAAGTGTAACGAACAATTTAGAAAGACTTCTAAATTACATCAATATCATTCAGTAAAAAGACCAATAATATTTTTTGGTGGTTTTTTAAGAATAAGTCCGTCTGACAGTTTCTGACCGTCTAATTCATGCGTAATTCACGATCTGCAAACTGTGCCAATATACAGTCTTTGGTTTTATTCGTGTTGACAAAGGTACGACAACATGATAGACACAGAATAAATTCTTATAGACCTGTTGGGATATCTAATTTCAGTCAAAACTGATAAGGTCTCCGTCAAACTGATTGTGACTGTCACAGTGGTTGGGTTGATAAAGGGTGGTCTGTATATTTTTGTCTTTGACGCACCATTTTCTTATTTTTGACATTTTTGGCACAACTTTTCCAGCCAACCAATCAACATCCATTTATATCTGTGGTAGAGCATCCAAACAAGATATAAATATTGTAAGGCTCCAGGTGAACGATGCAGCAACAACAATGTAAGGCAAAATTAAGATAGGTTTATCTCATATATTTTATAGGGACTGTTTTGTTTTACTTTGTCCACATTTGCTCAATTCGTGAGCTGAAGGAAGATGTCACCCTGAGAACCTTGTTAAACATATTTAGGCCAAATTTTGTGGCATTGCAGCTTGTGCCTGAATTAGCTACCACAGGCCTTTGAATTTGATGAATCTTAAATAAACAGACAACCTTTTTGTTAATAAGAATTGACTGCAAAGAATAATGTAAAGAAGCAAGAAGTTGTTTTGTCGTCCTACTTGTTCAGGACAGATTCTTGCTGATTTTTTTATCCCCCAAACTTTGACTATTTTCTGCAGACCTTCAACTTTTTTCTTTTACAGCACAGACTGTCCTTTTTGTTTACGTCTTCTCGTTATTAGTTGATTATTCTATTACCATGTTGTCAGTGAAGAGATAGTCAAGGGAAATAAAAATGTCATCAGGCATATGTAGACACTAGATTAACGTAAATATCATTATTTATTATTATTGTATTTTTACTGTTTGTTTGTTGACTTAAAATACAATTAGACTCGATCTGACCAGAACAATCCTTACATTTTATTTTCCTCAAATATATTTTGACTTGGGCATTAACTTGAATTCGTTTCTGGACGAAATTATCTCTAAACTGATTTGAAGTTAAATATTTAATTTCAGTGAACCTTTTTTTTTCCCCTTGGCGTAATCAGAGTTGAACTTCACAATTCAAAGCTTTTTTTTTCAAGAAACGTGACCACAGGAGGCAATAACTCTGCTCCTGATTGTTTATTTGTTTGATATAATATGTCAACACGTCTCACAAAGCTGGCCTTCTCCTGCCTCTAAATGGACTCACTGTAGAGTCATTTAAGCCACTCCGATGTAAAATCTCACCTCTACTCTGTTGGAAATGTTGCACTGACGGACAGACGGGCATTAACGCCGAATTGATCCGGACCAATCACCAAATCGAGGGATAATTAGAGGACGAATCAGAGTGCGGCGTGGAGCTGGGTGGGCGGGGCTTAGCGTGTGCTGGAATGCTGCCTCTTTGGGAATGTTTTCCACTTTCAATCACTTTTTTTTTCTCCCAGTCCTCCTCACAAGGCGCTCTTTAAGCTCCGCTGTTAACACAGAGCAGCCATTCATCGGCGCTACAGTCAGCCACACACACTCCCATGTCGAACCACTGGACAGCTAAACTGGTAAGTTATGTAATTTTTTAAATAAGACATTTATCATATAAAAGGAAATATTTCATATCAGCGTGCATGAGCCACACTTAATTTCTATTTTGCGTTTGGAATAAGCTTTACTTAAAAGAAAAATTCTCTCTCAATTCTCATTTTTTTTCTGAATGAGTTTACTGAGTCTGACATTTGCCTTTTAATTCTTCATACCATTATAATTACTGGTTCAGAGTTTCATGTTGTTCGGCCTTCACGGTCACATTTCATCCGTTAAATCTCTTAAACTGTTTGGCTCCAGGTAAACCGATGCGTGTTCGGCTATTAAGAAAAGCGAAAATATGTTTTTTTAACCCCTAAAATATTTAAAACTTAAATGTTTTTGTCGTAATTTCTGTGAATTTTCAGGTCTAAAAGTTTCTTCTGAAGCGGATTTCCAGCCACCGGTGGACTGTATTTGGATGCTTTTACGCAGCAGTATGGCTTTGCCTGAGGAGAGCCAGCAATAACTGAGATCGACATCTTATTCGATTAAACTCAATAATCTTAGGCTACCGAAAAGTTCTTGTGTAGGTTTGAGGATTGTCTTGGGATCCGTTTTTAAAATGTCCGGTGAAGAGCACAGCCTGTCCGAGGCGGAGCTGAGTCCCGGGGGGTCAGAAGATGGTCACTCGCTGTCACCGATCCAACCCGGAGCGCCCCCCGGCCAGGGCTCACCTCTGACCGGGCCGCAGCAACAGCTGACCGCGCTCTGCGTCGGGGACGTCAGCGGGGAGGACGAAGGGGGATCCAGAGCCAAATCAGAGGAAGAGGAAGACCGTTTCCCGATCGGCATCAGAGAGGCGGTTAGTCAGGTGCTGGACGGTTATGACTGGACACTTGTGCCCATGCCGGTACGCGTGAACAACGGAAACAAGTCGAAACCCCACGTCAAGAGGCCTATGAACGCGTTCATGGTGTGGGCGCAAGCGGCGAGGAGAAAACTGGCCGACCAATACCCCCACCTGCATAACGCGGAGCTCAGCAAGACCCTGGGCAAACTATGGAGGTTTGTATGAGGGAAAGAGGAACAGTGTGGCCATACAGTGGCACGTTTCCTGCGTGGGATGTGCGTAAAGGATAAGTGCGGGGATGGTGAACTCGAATGCAAAAGAAGTCAATATACACATGTTTATTGGTAGGGTAAACTAAATAGACATAAACCTAGGATTATGTGGAAACTTCCTGATGTGAAATGAAGCCCTCTTTTAAAATATGTACCAAATCTACATTTACGTGGGCTATGGCGAGTTTTATCCATTTGCCGTATTTATCTATTACGCACAGGGTTAAATGCGATGATAATTTTAATTTCCAGATATTTACTGGGAAAAAACAACAACTTTCGCATTAGTTTCTGTAAGACTCAAAGTCACTCCTTGTTTTTTCCCCTCAGGCTACTGAACGAGAACGACAAGAGGCCATTCATCGAGGAGGCGGAGAGGCTGAGGAAGCAGCACAAGAAGGACTACCCAGAGTACAAGTACCAGCCCCGGAGACGCAAGAACGGCAAACTTACGCCTGCCAGTGAGTCTGACAGCCAGGGGGAAGGGGAGGCCAGCCACTCCCAGTCCCACTACAAGACCCTTCACCTGGAGCACAACGGTGGTGCTGGGTCTCCCTTAGGTGACCTGCACCATCACCACCATCACCACCATCACCCTGCAGGTAAGCAGTTGCTGAACTTGTCGTTTGAACTTTTGCATTTTACAAGACATTTGATCATGACAAAAGGAACGGTAAGTAACACCTTAATGAAACTTAAAACTTTGTTGTACCTGGGGTCAAAGTTCACCTTATTGTATTGTCCTCTCTCTCCAATTTCCTCTAGGTCAGGGTCACAGCCCACCCACGCCCCCCACAACCCCAAAGACAGAGCTCCAGTCTGGGAAACTGTCTGATGCCAAGAGGGAGGGGGCAGCAGGGGTGGCCGGGGGATCAGGGGGGTCCAGGGGAGCCTTGGGTGTGGGAGCTGAAGGGGCCACAGGTGGTCCATCTTCATCAAGTGCAAAACCCCACATCGACTTTGGCACCATGGACATCGGCGAGATCAGCCACGAGGTGATGTCCAACATCGAACCATTTGACGTGAATGAGTTTGACCAGTACCTTCCTCCAAATGGGCACCCACAGGGCGCCACCGGGGCCTCTGCAGCGGGGTCCTCAGCCTCCTCTTACGCCTATGCTCTGGCCGCTGCCAGTAGCCACTCTGCCTGGCTTACCAAACAGCAGCAGCAGCCGCCTCAGGGCTCCCCATCTTCTTCTGACCCCTCAAAGGCCCAGATCAAGAGTGAGTCCACGTCTGGGAGCCACTACGCTGAGGCCTCATCCTCCCCTTCCTCGGGCACCCACGTCACCTATACCCCCCTCAGCCTCCCTCATTACGGCTCCGCTTTTCCCTCCCTGGCCTCTAGGGCTCAGTTTGAGTATGGAGAGCACCAGGCCCCTGGGGCATACTATGCCCACTCCAGTCAGGCCCCTGGGCTGTACTCAGCCTTCTCTTACATGGGTCCTACACAGAGGTCTCTGTACACCACCATAGGAGACCCTTCCAGCGTGGCCCCCTCCCACAGCCCCACACACTGGGAGCAGCCTGTTTACACCACACTCACAAGACCCTGAGGGAAAGCAGCCGAGCAGAGGGAAATATGGGAAGTGTGTGAGTGGACCTGTGTGTGTGTGTATGTACGTGTGAGAGTGTGAGCATGTATGTGAGTGTGCATATCTTTGTGTGTGTGTTTGTGTGAGTCTTGCGTGCTGTGCCATATTGATGTTATATTAGAGGTTTTTACTTTTTTAGCCAATATAATGCAAGACGCATTCATGGGGCCTTACAAAGTTTGAAAAGAAACAGCTACGTATAAAGTGTGAAAAAAAAGCCAATCAGAAATTAAACCTACCCTAACAAATGTGTGCCATCGTGAAATTGTAAGCCAGGTTGTACAGAAATGTGTATACCAGATTGTAGATGACTGGACAAATGTTGCCTTGACGATTACTATGATTTTGACCCAGGAACGATGGGCTTTGACTGACATAATCAGATCGTATTAACCAAACTAAAGCAGACGTTTTTGATGTTATTGTGTTATTTTATATGAGTAGTAAGTTTATTGTTGTTGGTGATATCCTAGGGTGTAACTTAATTGATTGATATTACACTAATACATATGCACCACTGCTTTGGGAAAAGCATGTTTCAATGGTCCCTGTTTTTTTCTTCTTGTTTTTTGGTGGCCAGAAAAGGATACTTGCAACCTTTTTCTTTGTAGTTAGCAAACTCTGTATTTCTGTCCTTTCTTATATTGACTTCACTGATCTGATGATTTAAGCATTTAAGGGGAAAATAGGAAAATGAGAGGGAAAGAGAGCTCTTACAGATGCATCTTATCCAGAGTCTTGTACACTTACCTCAAGTCTTTTCATTTTGTGCCAATAGCAGAGCAAAAATATGACTTTGGATGCCTGGTTAAATAATGCTTATGATTTTAAACCTATTAATATTCACACTTTGCTTTTTTAAGTGTCTGCCGTTTTGCTGATTCACACCAGATTTATCCATAACTGCATTAAAATCTATAAGTACAGAGTCCCAGCCAAATCTCTCCAGATAATTGACCAGCTTTGGGTCCTACTTAAGGATTAGAATCACATGTACGGCTGTTCTGCGCTGCATGTAGGCCAAAAGCATGTTACAGTTTATTCCAATAATGTGCCTAAACAGCCCTCTTCTTCCTCCTCTGCAATGTGAATAATGGTCATTACCACAGGCTTCAACTTTTATGAAGTGATGCATACGTAATCATTTTATACTGACCCTCTTACCTTATTATGTTTATGTCAGTAATAATGCATTGTGTGTCACACCTTTGCTTCTTTCATTTTGTATAATTCTGGATAGTTTTGTAAAGTGTTTGCTATACATTCACTCGAGTATTTTGCTTCCATACAAGAAAAGCAATGTTGAAATATTATTGTTGTCATCTATTAAATCAATTTATTTATAAAAAAAAATTCCTGTGAGAGTTGTTCTATGCAGTAGTTCTGATTTTGAGATAACACCAGAAACAATTAGTAGCTGAGGGGTGAAAAAAAAAATCAAAAACACGCTGCTGACGTGTGAACTGTAATAACAACACAATCAGTCCCCCACCAGCCTAAGCTGTTTAGTGTGTTTGTGTGTGTGGCAGGCTAAAATTGACTACTAATTCCCCACATTTAATCGGCTGGGGACTGCGTGTTACTGCCAAAGACAAAGAGAGCCATTCAGCAAGGCTGGGGGACAGAAAGCAAGAGACGGGGTAGGTGTAAAGAGCCAGAGGCATGGCCAATTTCAGCTCAGTGGCCGGCATACACTTGGACTTTTGTACATGGTTTTCCTTTCACTCTACCCTCTCTCCTTTCCACCTGAGGCTCCCTCCCTGCTTCCAGGTTCAGCTGTGAAATACATTCAAAGAGCATCCGAAATCCAAATAGGAAGATCATTTGAGTTAAAAACTAATGAGTGAATTCTGACTCATGTGTTTTTACAGATAAAGAAGATATGCTGTTGCCAGAGTAGTTTACAACGGGGCAAAATTGTTCAGTTACAAAAGAAATTGCATAAACTGCACTCGGTTAAAGAGAACAGGGATCAGATCAGCCCATCAGGGCACAAGACTATAAAAAAATCAAACTGCAAATATAGTTGAATAAATGTGTGTAGATATTAACAGCAGCTTTACCAAATACTAGTTTCCTGGTGCTGTGACCATTGGTAAAAAAATCACCATAGTTTTGTTCAGGGGTAGACCATGATCATACATGTGACCTCTGCAGCAGATTGAACACGCACATCTTCCTGTTACATGGTAACACAATGCTGTTTAACTCACTAAAAAATCATAGTCTTGACAATATTGCATCAGTAAGGTCTCAAAGGTACAGTGAGTGGAAATGGGACAACTGAATGGTCCCCCTGCTCACCCCTCCAGTCAGTGAAGCAATGGTGACCTTCGAGGGCAAGAGGTTCCCGTAATGCATAAGTATGATTCTCCATTTATCAAGTTTTTACTTTCAAAAATGTCTATCAATACAGATACTTTAGCGCACAACAACCTTTCTCTTTTCTTCATCATGCAGCTGCTCACTGAATACAAAAATATGTATGTTATTACTTAGGCCATTTTGTGCTATGGTAGAAACATGGCGGTGCAAGATGGAAGCCACTGCAGAAGAAGATCCTCCCCTCGCAGAAAAAAAGCTCATTCTAAGTAAAAAAAGGAAAGTGATTTAAATATTTAGGCAAATGTACGCTAATTCGAACATTCATATCAATACTATAAACCATTTCTATCCATTCAGTTCTGCTAATTGCCTCTAAATACTACACATTGCACCTTTCACAGCCTCTTCAACAGGTCTCTTCAACAGGATACGGTAAATACATTAAAGTGTTTCTTGTTGACAGGTAGGGAAGTTAAGGCTAAAGGTCAATTTATTCATTTCATGTTCAAGCAAAGGCGTATCTAAAAATGTATGCTGTATATGACAGTTAAATGTTGGATATGAGTTTTTTTTTCCTTTTTTCCGGCAAACAGCCATGAAACTTTGACTCCCAGCCACAGTCGCGCTCTTTGACTGAAACCCATCAGGTAATTTTTAACGTTAAATGGGTATGTTCAGCATAAAATATGTTGAACTAAATTAAAGTGATTAGATGAAACCTTTGAGGGGATATGCTATTACTTTGAAAATAACAATGGCATTTTTGAAGGTTTTTTCCATGTTTACTTGAAAAAAAAAAAAACATACATGTAAGTGAACCTAACTTCAACATAGACCCCTTTCCTTAAATATTATTTACTTATCTATTGGGGGGCTACTATAGAGCAGAAAAAAGGATGGATAGGGAAAAAAAGGGTTGATCCCAAGACTTTCTAAGGGGGGAAAAAATTCCATGTTGCCTAAGGGACTCTCCATTAAATTATTCAAGTGGAGGCTTCTGTCTGTTTTTGCTTCAAACTATAATTTTATTGTTTGTTTGTGAGATAATAAACCAAGGACTGGTCCTAATAGCCTACTAAAATAGAAGAATATTAATCTTTGCAATCAGAGCTATTTGACACAAAAATGGTTTAGAGATTTACATTATCTGACAATGATAAACAAACATATTACCAAACAAGTTCACCAAAGGGAAGTAATAAAGAATAAACAAGAACTGCTCTGCTCAAAATCAGTTAGGCTGTTTGACTGACTTGTGCTGGGCCAAGCCTACTGGCTCTAACAGGGTGGGCATTTCTGTACCAAAACATTTTATTTTGCTACTCCAAAATCGTCTATTTACATTGTGTATTCGACTATTTCGACTTTTACCTGGCAGTTGAGTGATGTCCAAACCATAGACTGTATGGCCAACTTGGTTCCACCTTCCGCCAGTACACGGATTTTGTAGTAGCGACGGATTTGACGCCAAAATGTTCTTGGTATTTCCGCGTTTTTTCTCCACTTCCTGAAGCAAACGTTGCGCAGTCGCATTGGTCGCATTCGGCGGAAGAGTCGCCGAGAGTCGCGAGAGTCGCCGTGATGCAAGACGCTCGGCTCTTTTTTTATTTTTTACTGTCATCATTACAATTTCCAAATTACCATATTGCCTTTTACAGCCAAGAGATCAAGAAAAAAAAAAATAATAATAAAGCTGACGCTCGGCTCAAACAGCGTATCCCCGGGTGAGCAACACAATCTTCGTACGCCCATTGGCTGTATCAAGTGTCAATCAAAGAAAACGCGAACCACCTAATAACTTTTAAAAATGGAGAAAAAGAGGACTTAAGCACAAACCAGTCTTATAGTAACTCCATGTCAACATCGCAAGCAGGAGGCAGAAAAATATATTCTGCGTAATAAATTTCTAAAGTTTGTACGCAGCTTCATAAGATGGCTGGCGGAGGCGGGATTTCATGCCGTGGTCCTTTCAACTCAGGATTTAAGATTATTTTAAAAGGGTGACGATATACAGTCTACGGTTCAAATTTAGAGATGGCAACGGTCTCAGTACTTCACGAAATGGACTGAACAGAAACCATTTTTTTTCATACAGGTTGGCGGCGCCCTACAGGTGGCGCCATCGAGAAAATTTAAACACACGAAGAAGACACTTCTGACGTCATTACAAGGGCGCCAAATCTGCTGCATACAGAAACACAAACACGAAGCAGTCAGTGCCAGATTTCTCGTTCAGGTTTTCAGAAGTTTTAGTGTTAAGACTATCTGTTGTCTCTCTTTCGCTTGCTGTCATGGACCTGAGCAGCTTTGAATCAAACAACTCGGTCAGCTGCAGACTGGCCTCTCAGATCCCTGATGTGTGCCGAACTGAGGACTGCTGTCTGGGCATCGACGAGGCGGGGAGGGGTCCTGTTCTGGGTATGTGACTGAAGTGATTCATGTGGAGTTTCAGTCCGGTCCAGTTATCCATAACACTCATCATGGCTGCTATATGTGTTTGATTTACACCCAAACCTCCTGTTGTTGATGCAGGGCCGATGGTGTATGGCATATGCTTCTGTCCAGTTTCCAAAAAAGAGGAGCTGAAGAACTCGAAAGTAGCAGGTAAGATGTTTATCAGGTCGACTTTAGATCATCTCCACTGTTGTTTTCCCAAAGGTTACAAGAAAACTTGAGCCTTTTCATTGTGCTTTACCACGGTTTGATGCCATCCACTTTTCCTCTGCATTATAAACAGTAAAGATAAACCCATACATAGGGCTGGGCAACATGGAAAAAAGTTTATCACTATATATTTATATATATATATTTTCATATCAGTCGATATATATCAAGATATAAAAAATGAAATTTAACAGTGCTTATTGGTAGCATGTCTTTTGCAATACAGTAAGTTACTGCATCTGTGAGGTCCCTGTGTCTCTTCGACATTTTGTCATACGGCGTTGCGCTAGAGAAAGCGAATTGAATGGTCGGCTGTTTCGGCTGCACAGGCGCCATGGGCTCGTCGCTCTGCTTGGGGTTTGTAACCTTTTGCATTGCGCATGCTCTGCTGCGTGGCACTGCTTCGGGTGGTGAAAGAGATTAGAGGTATTCCCCGACTTTGCAGGAACATGTACTCGACTGCACACTACTCTGCTTCATGTCTGACCTCAAAAATCCTAAATACCTCCACATCAGCGATGTTTCGTGTCAGTGTTGTCGATGTTGTCATCATCTGTGGAGCGTTCATCTGCAGTTCTGTTGGGGGTAGCACTCATTTTCTTTTTTTATCACCAGCAGTGCTGTCGGCTTCATGTGTTAAAGTGTTATGGTTGCGTGTAGCTGCAGCCTGCTACTACACAGGTGTCTGCTACTTGGTTCTAATTCAGCACATGATTGGTTCAGCGCGAAGCAGACCTGGAGCAACTCCCCTTTTCATTGGCTATTTGTGTAGTCTACCAAAACATGGCGGAATACCAACTATTGAAAATGATATTGACCCTGTTTTATATTGATATTGAGGGAAATTGATTTTCAATATATATCATTATCGTTTTATCACCCAGCCCTACTCTTACACATTTTAAATGATGTTTGAACTCTCCAATCAGATTCAAAGACTTTAACAGAGGATGAAAGAGAGAATCTCTTTGAGAAGCTAGACGAAGCCAAAAGTTATGTTGGCTGGGCTCTGCAGATTCTCTCACCAAACACTATCTCCACCAGCATGTTACAGAGGTATGTGGATCTCCCTGTGTTTTATACAGTAAATGAACATTAATGGTTGGTGTTTTTTAATTTTTACATTTTGATTAAATTGTTTGTTTTTTAGGACAAAATACAACCTAAATGCCCTGTCACATGATACCGCCATCGGTCTTGTACAGTATGCCTTGGACAGTGGAGTACAGCTCACAGAGGTATGTTGATGAGTTGTTTAAATGAGGATAAAAGCAACAGCAGTGTTGTAAATACACTTATGGCCTTCTGCAGGTATTTGTGGACACAGTCGGCCCAGCAGAGAAGTATGAGGAGAAACTCTCAAAGCTGTTCCCAGGTATCCAGGTGACAGTGAGGCCAAAGGCTGACTCACTCTTTCCGATCGTCAGTGCAGCCAGTATCTGTGCCAAGGTAAGAGACTAACGGTAATTGAATTTAACAAGATTAGTCAACCTTAAATTAATTGTTTTGTTTTGTTCTTACGAGGTAACATCACTCTCTTAGTGAAACTTGTCCATTAATTCAGGATAAACAGTATTCAGCCTATTCATGTGTAGGCTTTGGGAAACAATTGTAGAGAGCCATGTTTGACTGCAGATATATCTGCATTGTGTCTCTGTTTAAATTGTGTGTGTCCTCAGTCTGAGATGTAGTCCTGCTATTGTTTTTTTTTTAACCCTTTGTCACTGGTGATTTCAGAACCGACAAACTTAAAGGGATATTCCAGCATAAAATTAATTTGGGGTCAAACACACCGTAACACCGAGTTAGACACCCCCTCGAGAGATGAATGTTGCCGACACAACTCACCTACTCTCTTCCAGCAGCCGCTTGTTTGTGGCGAGACCTCAGGCCAGTCCATTACGGACTGCTGCGGGGTGACGTAGCTCAAGGAAGAACATTTATGATGAAGTTAGGTGCTGTTCTGAGCATTATTTGTGGCTATAGAGTGGCTTTTTGGTTGAGGTTTGTTTATGGCTCTTCAGACCGCTGTGTATTGCTATCATGTGGTCGTTACTAAAGTTGGTATAACTAGTGAAGCAAGCGGTTGGCAACATTTATCCCTCAAGGGGGTGTCTAACTCAATGTTACGGTGTGTTTTACCCTGAATTAATTTTAAGCCAGAATATCCCTTTAACTTCATTTTGAATCAATCAATATTTTTTCCATGGCTTTTCACTGACTTTCAGGTGGCCAGGGATCGTGTGGTAAAGGGCTGGAGCTTTGCTGAGGATCTGGGGGAGGTGGATACAGACTATGGGTCAGGATACCCAAACGGTAAAACCAAAGATCCTTAGCTTTATGAGGATCCTGGCTTGCATGTAGTAACTGATACTTATCTGTTCTTTCTTCTGTTTTTTTTCAGACCCAAAGACTAAAGCATGGCTGTTAAAGTACTTGGACCCTGTGTTTGGCTACCCTCAGTTTGTGAGATTCAGCTGGAGCACCGCTCAAACCCTGATGGACAGCAAAGGAGTGACTGTCCACTGGTAAGGAGCAGCCAGACACTGTAAAAACAGAGCTGTATTTGAGGAGAAAGAGCAGCAGCACCAGGATTTATAGTATCACACCATGAAAAAATCTCTTTTCTGCTCTTAATTAGCAAGTATTTGGCAGATGGTGAGAATTTCCTCGAAGCTGTAACATACTTCCCCAGCTTGTCAAGACGGATCAAAAACAATCGTTACTGATTTGCTGTATTTCAGCTCAGTTTGTTGGAACAGTTTGAGTGTTGCATGTTTTGAAACCACCCTCTAAATTTACAGTTCATGCTTAATGTCTGTGAAAATCATTTGACTTTTTAGAGACCAGTGCCAACCACAGACTAAAGATCAGTCTGGTTTTCTTATCTCCTCAGGGATGATGATGATGAAGACAGAGAGAAGGCAGCACAGCGGCTGAACAAAAAGTCCATGTTGTCCTACTTCGGTGCATCATCTGGTAGTAAAGCCCAAAACCCGACCCATGAAACACACCGCTTCTTTACTGAGCGGAGGCTAAAGAACCTCAACACCCTCTGAGAACAATGTAGACGTGGACATTAATATTAACAGGGAACCACACATTGGACTTGATTATAACATTAAAGATTCATATTTTCATAGCCAGTGGCTTAAAGTGAAGATTTATATTCATTTGCCTTTTTTTTACTAGTTTTAAACAAATATAAGATTTAAACCTCATGTTTACTTTCTAAGAGTCTTTGTTTTAGACACCCATCAACAACAGGAGGTATGTCTACAGAAGAAGCAAACAGGCTCTATTAAAGAGTGTCACAATCTTTAATGCCAATACTGACACCTAGTGGCTGTACAACAAAATACACCAGGGGTTTGAAGTCAGATCTAAGATCACGTGAACCGTTATTGACACCAAAATGGGCGCGTTAGACACTGACACAGACAAAGTCAAAATTTCCACAACAATATGGAAAACTGCTGAGCACAATATATACCACAAATAAGATCTATGAAAGTGTCTGTCACATTGTTAATGTCAGTATACAAGGTCTGTATTGATAAATCCAAATAAACATTACAGTAATCACAGAATATTTCCAGAAAAATAATCTCTATAAGCGTTTCATCTTTAATTCCTGACTTCCCACTCTTGCATAATCATGTCAGTCAGCAACCATCTTCTACTCAGTGCACAGCCCTTGATGAGGAAATGAGAAATCTTCTTTATTTTAATTAAGGTTTGCTTTTCTTACTTTCAGCACCCAACACTTTCTGTCCTTTCAGATTTGTCGTTTAAAGAATGAGAAGTTACACAACAACAGCAACTGTCCTGAACTTGAACATCTACAAACCACTTACTGGAGGTAAAATGGAAAAAAGAAGGACAAGGCTGCATACTATCACCCTCTTTAATACCAAAGGTTCCTCTGTAGTAACACAGCAGAGCATATTTGATGTAGTGTAGAGAGATGTCAAGGTGGATGTCGAGTGCTGGTCTCAGATCGCTGCAATATTGCAGATCTGCCTCATGTCCTTTTCATCCTCCAGTGTTTCTCTCTACTTGAAAATTTGAACACAGTGAACCCATCACACTTTTCCACAGGGACACAAAAGGCAACACAAACTACCAAGTGTCCAAGATAGTGTAGGAAAAATAAAACTTCCTCTTCTCACCTACTTCAACAGAGGTTTACTACAACGGTAAAAAGCATCAATATGTCCAGTGTCGCTAGTTCATGTTGGGTTTGTGTCTTGATTCTTGGATCCTCTTCCCACAGTTCATAGCAAGAGTGGAGACCGCAAACGAGGACAGGATCACGATTGAGCTCCCCACAAAATGTGACGATGCTCCTCTTGGTGGTACCCTCATGGCCCTTTTCGCGAAAGATTCTCTGTCAAAGGTTGCAGCGCCGGTCACGGGCTCAGCCACAGGATTCATTATTACTGATGATTCCTGGTCCACAAGCTCGTGTCTGAATCAGTTCAGTTTTGATTCTGCTGGTAGAAAGTTCCCAGACCTCTCTGCTTGACTCCTCAGGACGCAGGACTGTTGAGGTATGTCCAGTCTGAGTCCGTCACTTATCTCCTCCTTTACACCCATTTATAACTTCCCCTCACTCCTCATCTAATCCTTCTTAGCTTGGGTTCCGACTACGTCAATGGGATTAAAAATAGTTAGACAGTGTTTGATGAGGACTCCGGTTGTGATCCATTTCATGTAACACAGTTTATATTAATTGTATTAGTTCACCTCTCTCTGTGGGGCCAAGAGTTGTTTAGGGACACAAGCTTGCAAGGCATTACTATCTAGTGTTTGATATTTAAGACAAATAATAATAATAATAACTGTATTTGTATAGCACTTTTAAAAACAAGTTTACAAAGTGCTTTGACATATAGTCATAGAGCACATGGAAAAAGCTCAGTAAAAACGGAATTAAAGGCCATTTTCATGTCATAAGGAACCCAGACAATACAAGAACCATGCAACATAAAATGAGACCATGAGGACCAAAATAAAAACGCAAAATAGTGAAGAAAAAAGAAAATGCAATTAAAAGGGGGGTCGAAAGCAGAACCAGGATGGTAAATTTAAAAGGCAATATCAACCATGCTGATAAAATAATAACAGGTAATACTGATAATAATAGTAATGATAAAATAGAGCAACAGAAATGAGCAAGAGATAAAATAATAAAAAGCCTAAAAGGTTAATTAAGAAAAGAGTACAAGTATAACAAAAGTTAAAAAGACAGTAAAGCCAAAATAAGAGAGGTAAAAGAGATGACAGGTAAAAGATAAAATGATAATAACAGTACAGTCTTGTAGTAAAGATCACACATCCTCTCTGGTTGAAGTCTAAATAGTGTTGCATATTGTTCCCCTTCATATTTGTTTAAGTGGGGGTGAAAGTTCTCCACTTGATTTACGAAAACTTTGGAATTTGTTCTGTTTTTAAAAATAACAGCATGACTATGAATCTAACAAAGGGTGGTGGTGTAAACCTAAAGAAATAGACCTGAGGTAGTTTTGAGGACCAAGTTAATTATGAGGTTAATCGGATTAAAATGAAGTTGTTTTTGGATGACAGTCTGATTTTCCATTGATGGTCTCTTTTTGCACCTGGAGCTAACATGATTTTTTTTAATCGATCTATTTATTTATTTATTACTCTTTAAATCTGCTCTCACTCTTTTCTTTTGTATGAAAGAGGATTAGGGCCACAACAAGAGACAAAAATGATTCCAGGCGGTAGATTTTTCTCTTCATAAAATCTTTTGAATCTGTTTGTTTTTTAAAATAACAGCATGAATTTGAGTCTAACAAAGGGTGGTGGTGTAAACCTAAAGAAATAGACCTGAGGTAGTTTTGAGGACCAGGTTAATCGGATTAAAATGGAGTTGTTTTTGGATGACGGTCTGATTTTCCATCGATAAGAAGTTGTAAGTGATACCTGAAAAGCTGCTACGATAACACCATATACTATAAAGTGCTTGGCCTTGCCTGGCCTATAATCAGGCGCTCCTGGCCCCCCATCCGATGATATAACAGCAGACAGAATCAAGAGGTTAACTAGCGATCAAGGCTGATCAAGGGTAGGGAGAGTACATCAGATTAAGACGCTGCGCAAAACAGTTTCTCAAACGCAGGAAGAAAGTTAAAGTAACATCCTGTGAGTAAGATTTTTTAGTTTTATAGCTTCATTCATAAGAGACTTCAGTTATTTTTTGTAAAAGTCAATATTTATTATAATAAATTAACATGTTTGATGATGTACCGTAACTGCTGCTCTCTGAAATATCTTCAAAACTAACATTAATATTTTCCGAGCAGGGTTAGGGAAGAGTCACAAAGTGTAAATAGAGTTTTGTCTTGGAGGAAAAGAAGTGAATTTTAGTGACATTCTTGATCTTGAGCTGAAACAATCGCAGCAATCTTTGAAAACCACTTTGATAAAAATTCATCATTTTAGTCGTTATTAGAAACATGTTCAGGCTGAAGTTTCTCAAGCACGATTATGTGCGTTAAGCCCCAGTTTTTTCCACTGTATAGAGGTTATGATTTGTTTTAAAAATTTCTAAAATAGAGATATTAATTACAATAAAATGTCATCCATATGTTGATATTTAAATAGAAATGACCAAATTCTGAGCCAGACTTTGTCCTCATCCTCTCCAGTGACAGCCTCTGCCGGTCTCTTATGATTTCTCCACCGTTTTCAGCACCAAGGACAGCTCACTATGACCACGAACGTCCGGGGTCAGCAGGTCTCTAATCCCCTGAGGTTGGAACACTTAGTCCCAGTTTCTCGTAACAGCGTCTCTTTAATGGTGCTAATTGGATTGCACTGGTTCTTTTCCACAACTGACACAGTGAGAGCTCTCATGAATGGATGGGTGGGGATGATATCAGACCCTCAATCCTGAGGGGCCGTCAGTCATGTTTCATCTATGAATGAAAAAGACGTAAGAATTAAGACTGTCAGCATAAAGAGGATGTATGTTCTTATATAACTGTTCTTTTCCTCATACTTTTACCTCATATGTTTACAAATTAATAGAATCGCTTGCAGACTAAAATAAGGGATAACTTTTCGAGAAATCCTCAAAGTCAGGACTGGTTTAACATCTGTTGTGACTTGCAAAAAAAAAAGACAAAATAACACAATACATAGATTTAAGACAAACTGCTTGTTTTGTAGTGGATGAATATTTCTGAACTTGAAGTGACATACTCAACATGATGTTGCCATCTCTATTAATGTGTCCTCGGGCATCTCGTGCTGGCTTTGTAAGTGAATCTTGGTTACAGATTCTCCTCTGCCCTGAATCAGAAATAACATAAGTTTGTTCCTGATTTAGCAATAGGGTTTTAAGCTTCTTCCCATGTTAGGATCAGCAGTGAGGACTGGTCACTTTTTTCAACTGGAGCTAAGATTAATTTCTTAATTTTTCCTTTTATTTTTTACTTTATATGTTTACAAAGTAATAGAATAGCTTGCAGACAAAAATAAGGGATAACTTTTTAAGAAACCACCAGAGTCAGGGCTGGTTTAACATCTGTTGTGACTTTTTAGAAAAATAACAATACATAAATTTACCACAAACTGCTTGTAGTAGATAAATATTTCTGAACTTGAAGTGACATATTCAACATGATGTTGCCGTCTTTATTATTCAACGGAAGAGTGCAGAAATGTGTCCTCGGGCATCTCATGCTAGCTTTGTAAGTGAATCTTGGTTACAGATTCTCCTCTGCCCTGAATCAGAAATAACATAAGTTTGTTCCTGATTTAGCAATTGGTTTTTAAGCTGTTTCCCATTATAGGATCAGCAGTGAGGACTGGTCTCTTTTTACACCTGGAGCTAAGGTGAAATTTTTATCTTTTTAATTATATTTATTTACCCTTTAAACCTGCTCTCATTTTTTTCTTTTTTTGTATGAAAGAGGATGAGGGCCACTAGGAAAAATAATTCATTTTATGATTTATTTTTCATGTATTTTTAGATCAGAAGTAAGCTGGAGATGGGCCCTTTTGAGGTTCTCTTTGATTTCCTGAAATTTTTTTTTAGTTTTGTCATAACTCTAAAAAAATATGTTGCTGGCATCACATTTCAAATGAGTCTACATTTTTTATAAATCAGTAACATTCCAGTTTCAATCTCGTGTATGTTGTCTCAGCACTCTTTTAAATGAAATACAGGGTCAATATAATTTGCAAACCATCAAAATCTGTGTTTATCAACATTTTAAACAGCATCCCTCCTTGTTTAGAATTAAAGTCGGACATTAAATTTAATCGTCTTACTTTTGATTTGGCAAAAAGAGATCAAGCAATCAAAAACTCATTTTAATTTTTCCTCTAGATCTAAACACAGACCGCACCAAAGTTTATCTTGGAAGCAGAAATGTCTCATCCAGACAGAGATGCAGATCAAAGCGATCAGTGACACTTTCTTTCAAATGTAAGTCATTTTTAGCTGTGCTGCTTGTGTAACAAATGAACTAATGAGTTAACCTGATTTGTAGGAGTGATGTCTGACCATCACATTAGTTAGATAATACCTCATGGCAGACAGTCAGTGAAGGAAATCCAGATGGGAAGTTAA